ACAGTTTTCAAAATCAAATGAAAGAAATATTCATTTAATCTATTTGATTCAGTGAGTCTGAAAAACAAAAGACAGAATTTGAATTGCATACAAAACATGTCCTTATTTTGTAATTAAACTAGGAAACCCTACCCGACATCATTCAACAAACCCCTACTTAACTCATGACCCTATTTCAAGAGTCCTATATTGACAATGACACAACATATGATCATTCCATAAAAGTTTGATCATCACACCATTATAACCCAAAAAAAAATAAATATAAATAAAATCTCGCATTCAAATAGATTCAGCCATAAATCACCAAATTCTTTCATTTCTTCTCTTAATTTTCCATCTTAAACGTTCACTAGCCATTTCAACATACACTACAACTAGTGACGTCATTTTAACTTCTTAACTATTTCATACAAATTTGCACTTCGCTAATGTCAAACATAGAGTTAAGGCCTATTTCATAACATTGACGTTTCATCCAATTTTTTAAAAATACAAGTGTTTGGCAACGGTTCAATTTATCGTTTCTTATTTTTAAGAAATGTTTTCAAAATTATGTAAAACTTTTGAAAGCAACAAAATCAAGTTTCTTATTTTTGTTATTGTTTCTAGTTTTTTACAGGTTATTTTATCATTCTTAACTTATAAAATGCATAATAAATATATATATATATATATGTTTGGGGGAAAGAATACCCTGGACACGTGGAGGACAGCCATTGGTGCCCCAAGGTGACCATGAGTCATGCCCCAGCTCGGATCGTCGAGATCACCACCACTAGCGTTGACAAATACTAAGTATGAGGGCCGAGGTGAACCTGGCCGAGGTCCGATCTATCGGGAAGCTCGGTGGGGGCCGATGTGAGCTACTGTCAGCGGCGTGATTATCGGGTGTAACCGTCGGTCCCGAGATTACCGGGTGTAACCGACAGTCCCGAGGTTACCGGGTGTAACCGTCGCGAGATTAGCGGGACTATCACCCATAAGTAGAGGACCTCACTCCACGATCAGGTACGATGATTTCTGACCTCGAATTAAATTGGGAATCTGACCTATACTGACTTGATCGTCGGAGTGCTCACCTTTTTGTGCAGGTCCGCCCAAGTATTCAGATCGGTCCGGAGGCCGAGTTCGAGCTGCAATCTGAAATACACTGTTGTGCATATCCTTGCATAAACAATATATATATATATATATATATATATATATATAAAAGATACAAATTTGTTAAAAAAAACCAAAAAAAATTACCTTTTTAATTTAAAATTTTAGAAATAAAAAACAAACATCAGTTATTGAAAATATTTTTGTTTTTGTTTTCAAAGAACGCTAAACAATAAACAATTACCAAAAATAGGTATGTTTCTATTTATTAAAAATAATAAAATAATGAACAATAAACCTAAACAACAAAACTCAAATATTATCAGACGTATTCTAAACAATCAATCAACGGTAAGTTTTTTCACCTTCCACACCAATAATTTCACAAAATGGGGGGAAAAAGTTGAATAAAAACCATAGGTTACATATGTAGATATGATGTAAAATTAAAGGGAAATTGTAAAGCATAAGATAGTTAAAAAGTGACAGTAAAAAGGCAAAAGCTTCTCGTGATTAAGAAATTATCTGCTTCAACTACAAGGTTGATGTGGCAATGAGGGCGAAGATTTTAACCCACTCCATAAATGCACAGCTGGCAATTATTTAATAATTAACAGATGGAAAAATAAAAGTAATTCAATTTAATTTAATTTTTATATATCCGACATATTCTTTATGTTTCTTGTACTCCAAACTACTGATATGTTTTTCAATGTTTTTATTGTTCTGATTATGAAATTAATTGCACATCAGTTACTTTTTATCACACGTTAATCACATTTTATAATAAGGTAAATATAATTGGGTTTTGATCTTATGAAATATGTTATTCAATCATAATCTAATTACTTTAATTTAAATAAATTAAAAAAAACAATGGCAATTTAGGGACAAATGGAATGGAAATTAATCTTCATGCTTGTACATTCGGATTCTGATTTTATCTTTAGTTCTATTTTTTTTTTAATAATTTGATTCATATTTTGAAAATATATATTTTTGAAAAGTATACAAAGCAAATAAATTAGGAATAAACTATATATTTTATTTTTAAAAATAAAATCACCACCAAACACCGCCCATAGATTTCCATCTTTATCTACGCAATGTCAATGGAAAAGAAAAGGGTGTACACAAAAATAAAATGAATAAATAAAATACACTTTCAAATTCTTGAAATTTAGTAAAGGTTTCAAAGTGGTTTCTCAATTTTAAAAGGACGGCACTTTTAACTATGAGAAATTAATTAAATTGGTCTCTATATAATTGTTCCATTAAAATTTTTTTAATAAAAGGTGCAAAAAAAAAACTATATCAATTCATTAATCCCGTTATATTCACAAATGAAAAAAATAATTACAGAAATTAATTTAATTCATTTCTTCACCAATTCGATAGTTCAGTGAATAAGACATATATTATATTTTTCTAAAACTGACAAGATTTAATTTTCACTCCACATTCTTAAACTTACTATTTATATATATTCTTAACAAATTTTTAATATATCAATTCATTAATTCGGTTATATTCACAAATGAAAAAAATAATTATAAAAATCAATTTAATTCATTTCTTCGTCAATTCGATAGCTTAGTGAATAAGACATATATTATATTTTTCTAAAATTGACAAGGTTTAATTTTCACTTCACCTTTTTTTTAAGTAAATTTTCATTTCACGCTCTTGAGCTTACTATTTATATATATAACAAAAATCAGATACTAAAGTGAATATTTTCTCGAATCTTGTAGGCAAAAAATATATTTAAAAGAAATTAATAATAAAAATGTTAATAGAGCATAGGGCAATATTAATTATGTGTGTATGTGGAAAGAGAACATGTGATGTGAAAGTCGTATTAATAATTCAAAGGAAAGTATGGCCTTTTTGTGAAGAGAAGTTGGGATTTAATTACATGAAATGTTCGATGGCTTCCTCCCTTATTATTGTTTTTTATTAAAAAAAATTGCATTTATTTAAGCCAACTACTGTCGGTTCTTCAAATATTTATTATACCAAAATTTATTTTCATAATATAAAAAAATATTGAATTTGGTCATAGAGGACATTTTGATAGTGATCCTCTACCTCATTTTCTGTCTTCTTTTACAACTCATGTGCAGAGAGAGAGAGAGAGAGAGGTGTAAATTATAACAGGTTTGATGAAGTGAATAAATCAAATCATATTCTTAATTATTGGTTTATTTAAATATAATTGCTTTTTGCACTTAAGATTTTGAATTGATATAAAATGCATTCATGTTATTTAAAATAATCACGAACGAACTCATCATCCTTGTAATCCAAAAATTAATATACTTTCGTACTCTTTTTTTTTTTATTTGTTTATAAAATTTCACATGATGACGACTTATATGTACACGGGATAAAAATTCGAAACTATATCTAATAAGCTAGATATTAGAATTTGACCACATAGCTATTAGAATTTAACTTTTTTATATTAAATGATTAATAAAAAAATTAAAAACTATAGAGAAGACAATTGGATCTAAATGAAAATTTTTGTAGCATTATTGTAGTCATTACTTCCATCAATTAAAATAAATAAAAGTTAGATCTCACACATGAAAATTACAAATACACTTTTAGTCATTGCGATTTGGAATAGCTGTCTTTTGACATTTTCATTCGATGACCAAACAAATACCTACTTAACTTAACATTGTAATTTTTTCAAAAATACTTATCGATTAAGTGATTGAATTTAAATGTTAACATAAGTAGTACCTGCCACAATAATACTGTGTGTGTGTGTTTTTTTTTTTTTTGAATTTAAACCTAAGGTTTGATATTTAAGATTGGAATAATTTCACCCCACCCCACATGTACTAAAGTCAAAAAATGGAAAAGGAATTGATCTACGCAACCATTTTGGGCCCTAAATATTCTTCCTCTGATCTCCCCATGGAAAGAATAAAAAAATCCCAAGTTGGGCTTCAAATTTCTCACTCCATATTCTGTGTTTGTTTGTCTGTTAATTTATGTTGGGTGCATATAATAAATACAACATAAATGGGGTAGTAAGAACTACAACTAGAATCAGCATATTCCAAAATCACCCCTTTGTTCTTCTTCTTCTTATTATTATTCTTCTGGTTTGGTTTAAAAAGCTGCTTCTTACACTCTTCTTCTTTTGGCCCAGTTCACTCTTAAAAGAAGCAAATAAAAAATTAATAATCAAAATCTTACCGCTGTAACTATTGTAAATACCAAAACCCATTATTCTTCTTTAAACCTTTTTTTTTTTTTGTCTTCTTCCCAACTCCTCATTTTTCCACCTTTCTCTTATTCCTCGTTTGGCAAAATTCCAAAATAATCTAAGCATTCGTCTCTATGTTTCATATTTCTAGGGTTTTTCTTTGACTTCATTTTTTGTGTGTAACTGCTTCAGTCTCTGCCCAATTTCATATTCATAGTTTTGGCCACAAAAATACAAAGTTGCAAATCTTCACTGCTTTTCTTGCCTTTATAAATGGGGTTGCTTTTTTTTTTTTTGGTTGATTGACACAGAAAATAAAATAAGAAAAAGAAAAGGAAAATTGTTAAAAGTTTTCTTGCCATCTAAGTAAAGTAAATGCCTTCGTCCTCTCCCTCGTGTCTTTTTGTGCACTTTCCCCCTCCATCAATTCCACATATTTCAACTTCATTTCCTTTTTCCTATTTTGTTCTCAATACGAGATCTGCCAAAGGCTTGGGATCAATTTCTCAGCCCAAGGCCCATTTCAGTAGAGGCCCAGTTTAACCAACCGATAGAAAAGCCCAAGAAGTTTGAGAGGTCTTGTTTGCTTTTGGGGATTTATAATCAAAAGGAATTAGAATAGAACTCAACTAATAGCAAAACAAAATATTTTCTCTAGAAATTGAAAAAACTCTTTCATTAGAAACTTATGAACATTGTGTATGAGAGGGGAAGAGGTAACCTCTTGAAGAATGTATGCATATTTGCAATGTCTGGGCAAGGATTAGAAAAGAAACGATGTCGTTTGGTCTGGAAGAAGGAGAATCACGAGTTTCTTCTTCTTCTACAGCGCCTGCGATTCAAGGATTAAAAACATACCGATTGGTGAACCATAATTTTATACTACAAATTATTTATTTATTATTGTTATTTTGTGATAGAAAATGAAATAGAATAATACCTGCTGTTTCTTAACTTCACTGCTCACTGCTCATTTTTTGCTTGAAACTTCCCATGATCATCTGTCAACATTTTTGTCACAATATATATTTTAGAACACGTAATGATTAAAAATTTATCATAAAGTAGCACATGTATCAAATCAAATCAGATCATCCAATTTTATTTTATTGTCGTATTTGCTGCACATATAGGAAAAAAAAATATACACATTTTCCCGAAACTGTTTGCACGAAAATGTCCTTAATATTTTGTAATTACTTTTTAACTCCATAAATATTTTCTAGTCTAAATTCCTTGTGTTCATTATTTTGATAAAATATCTATAGATTTAAAAGAGGATATATATGGATAAATGTGTGGATAGAAATTTATGTCTTAATCCATTAAACTATGTTCAGTAAAGTACCTGAATAGGGCCAGCAGCAATGAGTGAATTAGCAACGACACCACCAAAAACTCGACCGTTGGGTTCGGCCAGGGAGACGGTGAGGTGACCCTTCTTGATTTGGGTATCGGCCGTTTGGCGGATAAAGGATCCAGACAGACGCAGAATCTCGAACATACCCTAATGCAACAATTTCTTCCAATTAATTATTTCATATTATAGAGTAGATTATCAGAAGAAGAAGAAAATAGAGATCATACCTGGAATCTCAAGACGGTGGGAGGGTTAGAAGCAGGTTGATGGAGTAGAACGGTGGAAACTGAACCAGTTGCAGCAAGTATGCATATTGCTCTACTACCTTTACTTGAGAATGATGCTACTCTCTCCACTATATCCTGCAATTCCCATACAAAAAACATAAATAAATAATACTTATAGATAAATAAATCTAATAAACTTCATGGCTCATGAATTATTGAAAATTGAAATCATGTGTTAAAAGCATATTTATAATGAATAATTAAACCATGCTCACCTCTCCTACTGCAACGTGAACAACGTGAGGGGTAAAACTTGTACCGGCCGTGTCCCAAGCATAACCACCTTCAAATATAACAATTTAATAACAAAATGGAACTTGATAAAATTGTTCAATAGCTCTTATAAATGTTAGTTATCGGTTGTTGTGGAAATACAATTTTTAAATTCACACTCTTACAACCTCCTCTAATAGTTTCTCAAGATAACTCAACTAATCATTATCCTGAAAATTAAAATTCACGTCCGTTTTAATATTGTTGATTAATGATTTTCTTAATCTACAAAAAGATTATATACATCGACACCTTGTTTTTTGAGAGAGAGAAAGGAAAAAAAAAAAAAAAACAGGAATGGACTTGGAAATGTGAGTAATTTTTCATCAATTGATTCAAGATTCAATACTCAATAAAATTTAGTAAAGTGGGAAAAAGGAACAGACTATGAAATTTGTATAGACCGAAGAATTCAACAACCAAAATACAAAAAAATACGAACAAGAATATAGTGAACGACTCAGTCTTGACCGAAGCTTGACTCTCATCGTCGTGGCTGAAGAAAAAGAAACCGACGGCAACATGCGATTTTCACGGCGGCGGCGTATTACTCGCCGTAAATTGAACGACTGAAGAAAAAAGAAAAGAAACCTAGCGTACCTAGCGAAGCGAGGACCTGCAATTTACCGCCACCGCGAGACCGGCCAGGGCGGCGTGTCGATGAGATTTTTGAATCGCACGACGAAAAGCTCCGCTCCGGAGACGCCGGCACCAGTCTTATGGGGATGAGTTCGTACTTCCTCGGCCTTCCTCTTCTCTTTTTAGCGATGAATGCCGATTCGCCGGACATTTCGCTGTTTCCGGCCGACTTTACTCCGACGCGACCGCCGTAGAGGACGTGATGCGCGAACGATTCAGCTTCCGCCGTTAACTTTCTGCGAATTCGCACTCGCAGTTCCATGGAAAAAAGAAACCAACTCCCCCAAGAAGGCTCTGTTCTGTATCAGTTATCAGAGAGCAAGCTCTGTTTTGGAACTCAATTTCTGTATATTTGGTAGGTTTTAAATAATAACGATTTCAAAATAGTATTTATAACTACGGCTATTTTTCTGGTCCGGCTATATTTTAAATATTTTTTTATAAGGTTGATATTATAATTTACATTTTGGACCAGTTTTTAATTTATAGTAAGTACTATTCTAATTGTTTATTAAAGTGCTGGACGTTACGTAATAATTATTTAATTTCATTCCATATACATTTTAAATGGTTGTTTTTAGTACTTTCTAAATTACTATTCAACCTTATTAATAAAGTGACTATTTCATTGATATCGATATAGTTTAATTAGTCAATGCATTACTTATTTTATGGGTAGAAAGTTCGAGTCCTCCCTTCGAATTATTCCTCAAGTGTCAATTTCATAAAAATATTGAAACTTTTTTTTTATGAAATCAACTACAAAAATTTGAAGGGACTATTTTATTGACATGATCAAGAGAACTAATATTTGAGATAGGTTTGTATGGTCAATATTATAAAGAAAAATTCATTATTTGACCAAAGTTTACAGAGTAATAGAATTACTTTATTTTTAACTTTTAACATTTAAAGAAATAAAGTATATGATTCATCTATCCTAATATTTTCGTAAACTATTTGTCGTCTCTTTCAAATTTGTAGAAAAAGAGTCTCTGTGTACTATGTAGACCGTTGTTTTATTATCATTATAATTATTATTTATTTTTTTCTGAAGCAGATTGTTGTTTATTAATATTTCATAATATTTTTGTAGGGAGATTTGTCAACATCCTAGTATTCTCAATTTAGTAATTCGAGTGGAGCATATATTTTAAGTAGTCCAACTATTAATATATTATTTTATTATTTTAAGCTCCACTTCCTTCTCATTTATATTTTATAATATAATATAGTAAAGCAAAAAACAAATTGTAGACTGACTAATAAATTATCCACGTATGGTTATTAAAAAATATCTCGCAACAAAGTCATTCAAATTTTATTTTGACTAGCTATCTTAGATATTGAAACTTATGAAAACTATTAATAGCTTTTAAAATATTTTTTATGATTTTAAAAAACGTGGTTTCGATTATCTTTTTTATATAATTTAAATTTATTAAAATTCACGTATCAAAAAGTTTATTAAGGTTTTGTTAAGATTTAAAACAATTTTAAAATTAAGAGTATAGTAGGAGAAAAGTGTGGATAGATAACAACTGCCTTTAATTTTTTTTTTTTTTCTTTAAGTAGAATACTCAACCACAAAACTATTATCAAGCGATGAATAAATACATAATTTTATAATCTTGTAATTTTTTTACTTTTATTGTCATCAGATTTTTAATGGTATAATCTTTTACTAAATAAACTCGTTTGTAAATGAATAATTCGTTTATTTTTCATATTTTATTGATAATAATTTTTGTTTCTAATACCAAAATATAATAAGTTTTACATTTTGATTATATTTTAACATTAGTTTACGATCCCTTAATTTTTTTGTTTGATCAACATTACTTTATTTCAATTTATTTATTTTCTCCAGGAAAACAGTATTTTATTTGTTGGATTAAATTTTGTTCAGAAAAGCAAATTTTGAACTTAAATTAAATAATAATTTTATGATTTTTTTGTTTGTTTTTAGGATCTTCTTAATATTGTCTTCTTTTTAAATTTGAACTTGAAAATCTCCGAGTCAGGACTCACGAGTTATGACTCGTTTAGATGAGCCAACTCGTTGAAAGTTAAGCTGGTTAGATGTGTAAATTATATCTTTTGGGTGGTCTCCTTACCTCCCCCCTCTCTTTCTCGAGAGGACATAGAGGCATTATCAATGGCGGTTATGAAACCCTAGCAACATTGGTCTTCATGTTTTATCGCTTGCTCCAGCCATCAATTATGCTAATGTCGTGTTTTTTCCCCACAGAAACGTAAGGATTGAAAATCTGAATTTATGCCTACAACCTTGGAACTTCTCAAATCTGCTCATGCCACTTATTGTCCATTCGTTGAATCTGATTTTATTCAATGTTTTGCAGGATTTTCTTCACTCCTCGGGTTTAATGCCTCTCCAATGCGATATTCCAGATAGAGATAGTTTCGAAACCCTAGATATTGCTCTGAACAGTGTCTGGATTTAGGATTCGATCTTTCTTTTTGTTCATACTTCTATGGAACCTCCGGTGGTTAGATCGAGGGGTCGACCGAGGAAAAGGAGGAACAATGACCTTCAAGATGGCAACGGTGAAGCGAAATCGGCTCTTGAATCGTGTAAGCGGACCATCGTGTCGCGCCCCGTGGTTTTGGTGGGACGATATCTGCTGAAAGAGTTCAAGGGCAGTGGAAAGTTTCTTGGCAAAGTTTTATATTACGAGGAAGGACTATACAGAGTAATTTACGAGGATGGCGATAGTGAGGATTTAGAGAGTGGGGAAATTCGCGGGTTGCTAGTTGGCGATCCTTATTTTGACGATGGTTTGAGTAACAGGAAGAAGAACTTGGATGAACTAGCAGTTAGGTTTAATGCTAAGAGTACAAATGCGACGGGGAAGAACGTGACGGACTTAACTGACAAGGTGGATCCGGTTGAAGCATCTGTACCGATCAAGTTAAGCAGTGAGCATAGAATTGAAAAGGATGCCGGAGATGTAGAAGTTGACGAGTCTTCGAGTGATTCATTTGAGTCTGTTCAGGACCGGGATTGTGAATTTGAAGATGAAAGTCAGCTTATTCCAGCTCCACAGTTACCGCCGTCTTCTGGAACCATTGGGATCCAAGAGCAGCACGTTTCACATCTCTTATCTGTTTATGGTTTCCTGCGATCATTTAGTTTCCGCTTATTCCTGTTTCCATTTAGTTTGGATGAATTTGTGGGATCACTTAATTGTGGTGTCGCGAACACATTGTTGGATTCCATTCATGTTGCTTTAATGCGTGCCTTACGCCGGCATCTTGAAATTCTTTCTTCAGATGGCTTAGAGATCGCATCAGAATGCTTGAGGTACTTTTCTGGTTTGCTTGCCTTCATTTTTTTCACAAAGGAGATTAATGCAGAACATTTGGGTTTATTATAATGTCTTTCTTCTTGGACAACTAATGTTGGAAATGCTAATTTGAAACTCCTATATAATTTATGACTAATGAAGTCATTTCTCCACAATCTGCGTTACAGAACCCTAGAATGTTTACACATGTTCTGAATGTAATTGTGAGTATGCATTTTATTTTCTGTATTTATAGTTTTTCCTTACCACTAGATATCCACCAACTGTTATTCTTGCCTTAGTGTTGACTTTTTCTTTGGGGGTTGTGGCAAGATTCAGTGACTTTCCTAACCCTCCAATAAGCATGGCACTGAGACCCTTGATTTATTTGTGTTTAGAGGTATGCAATGAGAGAGTTGTTTTCAGAGTTTGGGAACTAGGGAAACTTTGATGTGTACCAGTAGTAAGTGATTTGATGCCATAGTCTAATGGTCATGTTTGTAAAAAAAAGGAAAAAAAAAGGGCATGGACTCAAAGAGGTATGAATCGTATGATTGAGGATCATATGGTTAGATGTGTTTTGAAGTAGCTCATAAGGCATTTGACCTTTTCATTGTTGGCCGGGAGGAAATAAACACATATTTTCAATAGTAATTGACAGCTATCTCTGACCGAGAAGTCATGAGTTCGAATCCCCAACCTCACATGTTGTACTCATAAAAAAGAACACATATTTTATTGTAAATTTATAGACATTGGAGTGTGCTAATCGGTAATTGAATGAATGTATGCAGTAGGATGTTAGTATAGGAGTGCCAGGGTTTCTGCTGTATTCTCAACTTTTTGTAGTGCTTGGTTCAACCACATATATTGGCCCAAAGGTCAAGGAGACAAGGTCATATGTTTAAACCATTGTGGTCACTTAGGATACTTGATATCAAGTTGTTGGGTTCCAAATATTGTCCAGACTGATATCCTATAAAATTAGGCGAAGTACATATGAGCCAGCCTAGGCCACATAAGGTCATTACTTATTAAGCAGCACGATGTGTGCATAGAAAACTTTATGTAGAACTCAACTTAGGTTCTTTAAATTAAGGGCTTGGGGAAGTTTCAGATTGCTATCTTGGAAATATGCTAGGCATGCCATTTTTCTTATCTGTATTGCAGAAAGTGGGAATGATTTATATTAAATTTTAATGGTGCATATTCTAATTCATTTTTCTATGGCGTTCTGCAGGCACCTCAATTGGAACTTACTAGATTCACTTACTTGGCCTGTTTATTTGGTCCAATATTTAACTGTTATGGGATACGCAAAGGGGTTGGAATGGAATGGATTTTACAAGCATGCTTTAAGTAATGAGTATTACTCCATTCCTGCTGGTCGAAAGCTTGTGGTTCTGCAAATTCTTTGTGATGAAGTATTAGAATCTGGAGAGCTTAGAGCAGAAATTGACATGCGTGAAATATCTGAAGTTGGACTGGATTATGATGCTGGAGCAACATGTCTGTTTGAAAATGGGCCTAGAAGGGTTCATCCCAGATACCCCAAAACTTCAGCTTGCAAGGATGGAGAAGCTATGGAGATTATTGTAGAGAATCATGGGATGAAATCTTATACAGACCAAAATTTTGTTGGTTTGAAAGGTGGTACTAATGGTGACTTGGATGCTACTGCTACTGATGCAAACAGAAATAGCGATGAGTGTCGACTTTGTGGGATGGATGGGAGCCTGCTTTGTTGTGATGGGTGCCCATCAGCATACCATTTGAGATGTATAGGCATGATGAAGCTCCTTATACCTCAAGGGCCATGGTATTGTCCTGAATGCAATATAAATAAGACAGAGCCAGCTATAATGAACGAATCATCTCTCAGAGGAGCAAAAGTTTTTGGCATTGATCCACATGAGCACATTTTCTTGGGTAGTTGCAACCACTTGGTGGTGTATGTTACAACATTTTTATTTAGGCTGCTTTTAAGCTCTATGCTTCTGACCCTTGAATTGTCTTCAGCTCTTACATGATTTGCTTTACTTATGTTTTAATTTTTCTTTTCAAAATTTTCCCAACCTTTATGTATTGATGATTGCAGGCTCAAGGCTTCCATCAACTCGGAACCATGTCTCAAATATTATAATCAAAATGACATTCTGCAAGTTCTTCATGTTCTTTGTTCTTCCTCGCAATATATTGCTTTATATTATGGCATCTGTAAGGCCATTATGCAATATTGGGACATCCCAGAAAATCTCCTAATGCTTCCTGAAGCAAGTGGAATGGATGTCCTACCTGTGGAGTTGAGAAAATCACTTCCAGCTAGTGAGGAAGAAGACCATAAGGAGCTTGATGTGGTTGAGGATAGAAAAGATGTGGCTACGTGTAAAAGTGAAGAAGACAATAAGGTGGTTCCATACTTGGATACCTTGCATGTGGGAACTTCACGGGACCCACCTGCTCGTCAAACTAATAGTGGAACAATGCCATTTGAGTATATGGGAAAAAACGTGCGAAGTAATGGTTTTAACGTGGACTCTTTTACTTCTAATTGTTCAATTAGCAAGCTGGAGAATTCAACTGACTTAGCTTGCCCAGATGTGATTGATATATCCAGTACAACAGACCTTTCAAATACTTCAGGAAACAAAAATTTTAGCCATACTGTGAATGCCAGTGCCTCTATTTCATTGAATTTGTCTCGTCAAAGCCAGAATGGTGGTCTTTTGGGTAATGGAAAAGTGAAGGGTGATATCAAGTCAGCTGTTGCTTCTACTTACATGGGCTCGCACTATAAGCCTCAGGCATATGTTAATCACTATGTCCATGGTGAATTTGCTGCCTCAGCTGCTCATAAACTGGATGTCTTGTCATCAGAAGAAACTCGGGTTTTGGGAACCCATGCCTCTGATAACAAGAGAAGTAGTTCTGCTTCTGCATATGCTTTATTGCAAGCAAAGGCATTTTCACTAACAGCCTCACGCTTCTTCTGGCCAACATTTGACAAGAAGCTCATGGAGGTACCGAGGGAGAGGTGTGGTTGGTGTCTATCTTGTAGAGCCACTGTCTTAAGCAAGAAAGGATGTTTGTTGAATCATGCTGCATTGACTGCTACCAGAGGTGCTATGAAAATCCTTTCAGGCCTTCGTCTTGGGAAGAATGGAGAAGGAAATCTGTCTTGCATAGCAGTGTACATTCTGTATATGGAGGAGAGTTTACAGGGTCTTCTTGGTGGTCCTTTCTTGAGTGAAAGCTATAGAAAACAATGGCGTCAACAATTAGAATTGGCTTCAAGTTGCAGTTTAATAAAATTTCTCTTGCTTGAAGTAAGTTGTGATGTTTCCTGGCCTTTTTACTCATAGTTTAAACTCTTTTCATCTTTTTGTGGCAGTAATGTTCCACCATATATTTGTGTACTCATGTGGGAGAGAACCATCATTATTTAAGAGATAAAGATTAGCATGCTTCTTGCGATTAATGTGTAGTTTAACGTGAAACTACTTGCATGTTTGTTAGGAGAGGGGGAGGGAGGGGGATTGTTGCGTTAACTAGAAAATTTACTGAGTTGCTTGAAATAAATATTGCTGGGGTCCTTAAATTTTTTTTAAGAGTCCAGCAAGAGCTGGTGATCTGATAGGCCATTGATTATTCATTTATATTAGTGGAAGTGTGTTAAAGGGGGAGGATCACTTTGTAACTACCAGAGATACATAAAGTTATGAGTGAGAGAGCTGATGTGAGGATTTTATGGAGGGTATGCTCTTGTCGGATGTGAAAGTAGGCGCTGAGAGAGTGGGGGCAGCTCTCTTATCTTTTCCAAATGATATATTCTTTTAAAGATGATTCTTTTTATGGGTTGTGGAATTTTGCTATTACATGGGCGTCATACACCTGTTGTGGTTTTTGAGATCATCTTGTAATTATTACTACACTTAATTTGAGTTGTAAGGATAGTAGATTAGCTCAGCCCTGATGTGCCAACAGCACTGAAGAAGAGACTCCTTTCCTGGCATGCATAAAACTTGAACCCATTAGTTGAGCCTCTGAACATCATTTTCATTCCTACTTTTAATCAGTGGACTTTTTTGATTTGATGATTGCTATTCTAGGGTGATCTGATTTAATTTACTCTTTCGTTATTGATGAACTCAAATTAATTTGCAGCTCGAAGTAAACATTCGCTGTATTGCTCTTTCTGGTAACTGGTTTAAGCTGGTAGATGATTGGTTTTTAGAAACTTCCATGATTCAAAATGCTCCGAGTGCTGTTGGTACAACAATTCACAAACGTGGACCTGGTAGGAGAAGCAGGAAGCAGTCTGTATCTGAAGTTCCTTCTCATGATCGTTCTGCTGCCAATTTTTTATGGTTTCGAGGAGGGCGATCAAAACTTGTATTCCAGAGAGCAGCATTGCCTCGATGTATTGTTGCTAAAGCAGCTCGCCAAGGTAATGACTTAAGTAAACAGCTTCACTTTTCATTAACGTATATGAGGCTTATAGATACCTTATTTTGCTTGCTCCAGTCTAAGAAAAAATGCGAGGCCAGTATCTTCTGTGAAAAATTTTATATTGATAAGTTTTTATCCATTAGGTGGCTCAAAGAAGATTTCTGGTGTATACTATACTGATGGTTCCGAGATTCCAAGGAGGAGCAGACAGCTTGTGTGGAGAGCTGCTGTTGAAGCGAGCAAGAATGCATCACAACTTGCCCTTCAGGTTAGTTATTGTTACCACCCATATTCTACTTAAACTATATTCTTCTTTCTCCTCGCCCTGATTTTTCATGTTTTTATCTTAATTGGATAGTCTGGATCATTTGAATTTTTGTTTTTACTGAATATTTCCAAAAAGAAAGAAATAGTTACGTATCAACTAACTCTTGGAAATTGGAATTTGTATTAGTTGAGGAACCTAGACTTCCATTTGAGATGGAGTGATCTTGTTCGTCCGGAACAAACCCTTCAGGATATGAAAGGTCAAGAGACCGAGGCTTCCATTTTCCGAAATGCTAGTATTATTGATAAGAAAGTTGTGGACAATAAGATTACATATGGAGTTGCCTTTGGGAGTCAAAAACATCTTCCTTCTCGTGTTATGAAGAATGTCATTGAAATAGAACAAAAGCAAGATGGGAAAGTTGCATATTGGTTTTTGGAAAATTGCATCCCTTTATATCTGGTCAAAGAGTATGAGGAAGGTTCTATTCAAGTTAATTTGCCATCAGCCACGGAATACCAAAATTGTTTGCAATCACGAAGAAGACAGTTGAAATCCTACCAGAGGGAGATATTTTTCTATCTCACGTGTAGAAGAGACAATATGGGATTGTTGTCATGTTCGTCGTGTCAATTGGAAGTTCCGATTAGGTCAATTATCTACACCTTTCCTGAATTTAATCTTAGAACCTGTACCAACTTGCTTTATAGTTAACTTTTTGTCTTGTGATCTGCAGGAATGCAATAAAGTGCAGTTCTTGCCGAGGTATCTATCATCTACTTCCTGGATCATTTTTCTCCAAGTTATTACTGAAATCTATTTTGTTATGGATAATGCTGAAAAGCTACTGAAATCGATGTTAGAAATGTTTCTTTTAAGTTATGAATTAGTGGCTTCATTAAGATTAGATTTATATCGATAGCTTCAGGTTATAATTCCTTTCCCGAAATTTGTGATCATCGTTTAGGTTCATTTTCTCCTGTTCTAATAGTTTTAGCTTGAAAGGCTCTATACAATTTAATGTGGAACTAATATAGTTATCATTACCTTGATCAGACTATTGTCACGTAAACTGTGCCGTGAGATCATCAATTTCTGCTCCCGAGGGTGTTGGGTATCCAATCACATGCAAGCAGTGTTACCATCTCAAAGCTCTTATTCACATTGAAAACAGTACAGAATCACCAACCAGTCCATTACCTTTGCAAGGGAAAGAACATCGTAGTTTGTCAACTGTACGCAAGAGTGCAAGGCCTAATGGCTCCATTCAGCCATCAGCTCCTGTAAACAAACCGGACCCGCAGTCTGAGAAGAAACAAGCTCCTCCTGTATCTGGTTCGGCTTCTAAGAACCGGCGGAGGAATTGCTCCTGGGGTATCATATGGAAGAAGAAGAATATTGCAGACACGGGTGCCAATTTCAGGCACAGTTATCTTCTTTTAAAGGGCAGGCGGGAATTACATCATATGGAACCCGTATGCTATTTATGTACTAAGCCATATAGGTCCGATTTAATGTACATCTGCTGTGAGGCTTGCAAAAGTAAGTTTTCTTTTAACGAGATTGGTGCTTGGCCCTTTTATCCTCCTAAAGAAATTGCCTCATTTCCTCGTATTTTTTTTTTTGGATATTTTCAGATTGGTACCATGCAGAAGCTGTTGAACTTGAGGAATCAAAAATCTTTGATGTGGTCGGCTTCAAGTGTTGCAGATGTCGCCGAATTAAATCACCTGAATGTCCTTACATGGACCCCAAACCCGAAAAACAAGAGGGGGTCAAGAAAACACGTGCAAAGTCGTCGAAGCAGGAAAATTCAGGGGTAGAATGTGATTATTCGACCGTTTCTGATTCTAAGAAGCTTGGGGCAAGCAGTCCTTTGTTGTTGCCTAAGGAAGAAGAATCTGGACAAGATTCTTTCATTTTCTCTCTTTCAAGAGTTGAGCTAATTACGGAACCCAACTCTGGATTAGATGATGACTGGAACGCAGCCGGACCACAGAAGCTACCTGTTAGAAGGCTTACAAAGCCGGAAGATGATGCAGATGGAGATGGCTTTTCCGAGACTTCTTTATTTTCCATCCAGAATGAAACAAGTACACTCTTGAAGCCCATAGACAAATCTTCACCATTCTCGGAATGGGACAATTCTAATCATGGCCTCGAGGGAGATGCGGCAGCCTACGATTTTGAGAGCCTTACTTATGAGGACATGGATTTTGGACCTCAGACCTACTTCTCTTTTACAGAATTACTAGCACCTGATGATGTAGAGTTCGGTGGGATAGATCCATCTCGAGATGCCTCAGGAGATGCGGGGAATTCCTTTGTAATCATGGATAACGATGTCCCAAATCACAGTTCGAGCGAGCAACTGGAACCTGCAATGTCTATACCCGCTGCAATCTGTCAAATCTGTACACATATGGATCCTGTCCCTGATCTCGCTTGCCAAATATGTGGACTACAAATACACAGTCATTGTTCGCCCTGGGGCGATGGTCCTCCTGTGACTGTGGAAGAGAGGTGGTCTTGTGGCCGTTGCCGGGAGTGGCAGTGACTAGTTTCGGCCATCGTTGGGAGTCTGTTTTTGTGCTTCTGGTTCTTGGATTCCATTGGGCAAAGAAGCCAAGCTGCCAACTGAACAAAGCTATAATAATAGCAAAGAAGCATGTTTGTAAATCCACGTAAATACTTAGGACCTCTTCTTGTTGAGCCGGACTGTTGAAGATTCTCAGGTAAGCTGCCCGCCATGCCTCGGTTACCACTCTTTTATCAACGAGGCTTGTTCACGGAAGTTTTGCATTCCGAGATGATGGTTAGCGGGCTCAACGTCGAGCTTAGAATTCTACCAGAAAGTTGCGAGTTCTCTCAGTCTTTTTTTTTTTTTTTTTTGCCTCTTCCAAAATCTTCAGTCATCTAACCAATTTTCTCCCCCGACTAAAAATTTTTTGGGAATACCTGATGGATGAATCAGCTTATTTATCTAGTGAGGTAAGCACGGTTTTATGTGCTTATCTGATTGAATTGCCTGTACAAATTTGTGATGGCACTTTCAACTCATCAAGGTGCTTGCTAATATCAAAAGTTTACATTCTTAAATCTCATATTTTATCTAAGTTTTCATGGGATGTATGAATCATATATCATTACCGTGCTTGATTTATTTTAAATTTGTGGCGTTTATTGATTGAGAATGTTAGATTATTTGATATTACGGGGAAATCTAATGGATGGCAAAAAAATTATGAACGTGTTGGAGATGGATACAATTCGAGTCCTAAATGCAATATCTTACATGTCAAATAATACACTACAGAAATCATCCCATGAAGAACTGGGAAGAAACGGTAGTAGAACAAAACTCTCACAACTCCCCCACCCTACCCCAAACAAAAACAAGGGAAAAAAGAATCTCACCTTTACTTTTTGGGAAAAAAAATCTCAGAAAAAACTCCGACCAACCCCAGTGATTTAACTAAAATGCTGTGCCGATCACGCTAAAACTCCGCAAGCCCTCGCATCATGGTGTCCCTCATTCGCCTTTAAGATCCCCGGAACCGGGGTAGGCCGGCTGTATGATCATGTTTACAAATGTATCCTGAAAGAAATCTGAAGATGAATCGCCTTGTCCTAAAGCAAACCTGCTAGCATTGCACCGGGATCTGTGAATGCTGGTGTAGCAACCGCGGGATGACCTACTGATGGTGCTGCTGATGGCGGAGTGGGTGCATGAGGCCCAGGTATGCTTACCAACTGTTCCTTGACGAACTCCTTCAACCTGCAGATGGGAAATCAGAAATGCGGCAATATGGCACAAGATTGAGAGCTAACTGAGCAACAGCAGCAGGTTAAAAGCACGTACTCAAAAGTTACTGTTGGATCCCCTGAGGCAACTGTCATTCGCAATTGGGTTCTGTCTGCTGGATCAGTTTCAATCCTAATCTGAATGGCAGATAGATAAAGATGGATCATGAGAACTGGATTCAGATAGTACGATATCATATCACACCATAGAAGTGAACCTAATTTCTCAAAAGACACCAAAATGAGAGAAACCGCCAAAAGAGAGGCCAGGCTTTTTCCCCCTTGCACTTTTGGGGAAAGAAAAGGAAAAGCACATGGACAGACCAATTACGATGATTACCAACAACTTTCATAATTTTCAGTGTAAAATGTTTTGTGTAAGTTGTAACTACAAGAATCGTCGTGGAAGTGGTAATGGAGGAACTTAGCGGCCATGAAAATAGTTAAAATTTCAGAATAGAGAAGTATTCCTTACTAGGCAGAGCATGGCTTGTGTACTTTCCGAGTAAAATGTTGTGCTTGCAACAAGATTGTTTGGATTTGGGTCCTAAACAACAAATACGCATAAAAAGTGAACTTTTTGCCAACCAATAAACTAACTATGTGAAAAAATGAGTGAATACTTACAAGCCCTGGAGAAACCATTAACCGCAGACTGTTGAATAAATTTGCCATCTCTAATAGCAGAAGGGGTTTTACACCTCTAACCTGCACAGTAAATAAGGGACGATAAATGTTGGTTAGCTTCATGCAATCAGTTGGCATTACCAATCATACTAAGTAAAGGATTTTCCTTCTTAATATTTTTTGTGCGTGCTTATTCAGATCCATTTTATGGCCAAAAATGATTTTTTTTTTCACTTATTTCCAGATCTCATTAACTTGATGCGGTACCCATTTTACTCTTCCGACTCTCTTGTTGGTTTTCTTCTCTTCACTAGACGCCCTAGTCAACTCTCTCCCTCCATCCAGTATAAAAGGATTAAAAAGATAAACTATGCAGTTTTTCCTGATACATGACTCTTTCACCTACATGACCTAAGATATGAAGGGAGATATCTACTCCTTATACAACCTCCATAGAACAGTATTATTTAGGTCCTTCCACGCCACACCTAGCAACATGAAATCTAAGATCCAACTCCTAGATGGAACAAGAACCTTTCATGGGATGTGTGGTAGAAAAAAATAAGAAAACCTTGCAGGGTTAGCAGAGGGGGAAGTGGAGGTCCGTAGGGAAATATTGCTATTATCTTTTCTTCTTGAAGCTCAATTTAGATTAGAGAAGGTAGAGAGTTGAGTCGAAATGCTATAAATTTTTTGACTCGCCAGATAGCCAGTGTTCTTCAATGAAATTTTTGTCAACGCCAAAAAAAAAAAAGAAAAACCGGTTAATTGATCGATCGAGTCATCAAGTTCATCTTTCACTTTGAGGTTTTTCTTCTTTTTTTTTTTTTCCTCTCGTATCTAGATATAAAGCATAAAAGCCATACCACTTCTTGAAGCTTCAATGGGGGCCCTGAGAGCGATCTCCATTGAGGGAAGAACTCCTCTGCAGATACAGATATAGGCTGGAGAAATTTATTGAAGACAGCTGGAAGGCGAAGCTTCACACTTACCTAAAAAGATCAAATATATAAATGCGTTATTCTGGGCTCTTGCAGCCAGTGAGACAGTGAATCCAGAATACCCAAAACAAGGAGTATTTACCAGGTCATTTCCAAACTTGTAAGAGAAATCGAGGACAGCCACATCTCGGCTTGGATGTACATTAATGACTTCAAGTGGGCATTGTACCTACCCAACCAAAGAGAATAATGACTGATGAAGGGTGAAGAAAGGTCTTAGACTTTTAAAAAGCACGATCAAATACAAACTAAATTGCTCGTTTTTACCTGGGCACGCGGAGGTATAGTTTCAGGTACCAACGACAATTCCATCTTTAAATTCGATGGAGGCAATATAATAGCCTTGACAGAGGCAAGGGGAGAAGTATTTTTGTTTCCAAGAAAAAGAACAAGTCGTCCCATATGGGCTCGCCACTCTGCTTTAATGCCAATCTGTGAGGAATTTAATAAGAAATATATTACAGGGCTTGCAAGTCTCCAAGCTTTGAATTTAAGTAAGGCTGAGAGAAACCAAAAGCGTCTTTTTGACAGCTCACAGCTTGTTCTCTAAAACAGTTCAGAGAATGTTTTGATAATTGTAATCAAGTGGCTATTAACGTTATTGTACCAACTTTTTACAGGATATTTCTTTGAAGGAAGAACAACTTTAATTCTAAAACAGACACCACTGGTTTCTTCGGAAGGAAAAATGAAGTTAAGAAAAGATGTGATGATAATACAGGGGAAAGATACCTGAATATACGGATCCTCGTACAGCACACCGCTATCTTTCATACACAAGGCATGGAACCTTTCAGCTATATTTCCTATTGGCTGCAAAATATTAAAGATAGAATTATAAATGATCACAACACTGAGCAATCCACAGTACAGTATAGCAGCTCACACTCAATCAAACCAGTCATATACCTTATTCTTCTTCTCCTCCATTTAAAAAAAAAAAAAAATTAAATCTCATCCATTCCCAATATTGGCTAAACCAGTCATATATCTAAACTGCTGCATCAGAATGGTATAGCCTCAAGCAGCAACATCAAAACATTATATTAATAAGAAACCAACAATAGATAATGATAACAAATACAACTGCAATCTAAAGAAATAAAACACAAATTGTGGCCTGGCCTCCTCCCAGAGTACAATTTATAGGATTTATTGTAATTACTTTTCTTTTATTGGTAGGAATTTTCCATAGCCTCCCAGGCTTTTCCCATTTTTGTATCACTTTGATAAATACATACCTTAGTCTCCTATCAAATAAAAAAAATTGCATTAAAAACGTTTTGGTTTGGCCTCCGGAGTTTGTTTCTCCATTAGAGAAAAAATAGTACCTGAACTGAATTTTGCTGTTCTCCAATTGGAACAATAGCTCTGCCCTCAGCTGCATTTGGAACACCATCCATTTCGGACATTATATTTTGCTGAGCCTGGGCAGTAGCACCCGGAGGACCTTCAATAGCAAGTGGACCCAAGAGATCTCCGAGGAGATCAGGTGCAGGGGGGCTAGAATCTACTTTGTTTAGAGTCCCATTGGTCTGAGACAATTCTTGGTCAGCTGCATCCTGCCATTGGGTTTTTAACGAAGTAAATTTCAGTTTAGACAATGATAACAAGCAGACTTCAATCATTATAGATTCGTAAACAATGTAAAGTCCAGTCAATAAATATCAAGAAGTGGACTCTCCATTAATCAGTTCTCAAGTGTTGAAAAGAATTCAATAGCGTTGCTGTGGAAAATAAAAAGGGAAAGATAAAGAAACAAACCGGATAACTGCTTGCATTCGGCACCTTCACCAGAGTAAGCTGGCTGGCAGATGGAGTTCCATTAACAGGACGTTGATCAGTTAAGACCAAGGCATTTGATGATTGTTGTTGTGTTCGCAATTTGATGGCACTTTGTTCTGCTGTGTCAGTTTCAGTATCCTCGGCCTTCTTGATCAAAGCAGACTAAAGTATGAAAAAATTAGATATATTAACAACCTTCAGCTTACCAAGATAGCTACTTTAGTACTTATCGTAATCCATCACAGAAATCTGCATCTAGTTGGACACTTCAAAAAAAGAGTATGCACCTGTCTCTCAGGGAACTTTGGCATTTCGGCCAATATATCCATTAGAGCTGCACCTTTCTTGCTCAGTGCTAAATATTCAACAGCACGCTGTTGTATCTCAACATCAATGCAACTCTCGTATCTAACCAAAACAAACAAAAATTAAATTTACTATAAGTGTAAATAAACAAAAGAGTTCCAATTTAAGAGTGCATTAGTAAGTCTCACTTGTTAAATATTCCCCAAATCTGATTTTGCAGTTCCTGATCTGGGGGTTGAGTGTGCATTAAGATCTTAGCATATGTTGACAGAAGAATAGGAATGGTAGATGTACTGCAAATAAAGTAGATGTTTTTAATCAGAAAGCAATAGCTTGTTAAAGAAAGAAAACTTCAGTACAATCTAGGAGCACTTACGAAACGGTTGGAAGCTTTTCATGTATTATTCTAAATAATTCTTTTGCACTGTAACCTGGTCTTCGGGCCAAAAGATGACCAAATTCTCCAATAAGATACGCACTGACCTGTTACATATAAGACAAACCAACCACATTCAGATCAGTCGTCAAGATATGAAAAGGGAAGGAAAGATGGAGGAAGGGTGGCATAAAATATTAACAAAAGAACGCTTGATGATCAACATATAGGGTATCAATATAAATTAGGCTCAATAACCGAAATAATAATACGCACCTTTACCATCGTCTCATGTATAGCTGGTTTATCAAGATATTCTCTCGCTTTTATTGCTGCATAAGACTGATCAAATGCACAAAGTCGCCATCAAATAATACAACCCAATGACTATAGCATGGAAAAGAAGAGTAAAATGGCATACAGGGATTAGGTTACCTGCAGATCTTCATTGTTTGTAACAAACTGCACAACACGAAACCATATGTCGTCACTAACAAAATCTCCTGCCTTATCGATCAATTGTAGAATCACATCCACATACCTGCAACACAAATAAGGAAGATACCAAGGAAAAATAATGAGTAATGAATAAGATCAATATTTAAACAAAAAAGCGAATAATCACATCCACTCTTCTTGGTCTTCCCCTTCTTGTACATTTCAATATTTTAATGAAATTCAGTTTCTTATTTTAAAATTTTTAGACCCAAATATTCTTCAAGCTTTCCATGTTCATTGTGTTATAGAAGTTTGAAACTAAACATTACAACTTTAATAACCATGAAAATTTCAAAGCACAGGACATTTAATAAAAAAATGTACAAATGCTAATCCAACCAAACTAGCTAAATTTTGTCCATTCCATCTTAGAATATATAAATTCTATTATTTTGTTCTAGATTCTATTCTAATCATTAGAATACATATTCATCAAATATTTTAATTTTGGATTACAATTTCAGTCACAACCATTTAAGATAAAAGCCTAGAATTTCCTATTTCACTCAAGTCATCCCATTTCAATTTTCCAAGTTCAAGTATCTTAAACAAAGCTTGGAACTGTTGGGACATCAAACTGGGGAAGGTCATCAGTTCCTTCCCTCTCATTATAGCAATGCTAGATGATCAATATGAATTTTTTTCTTTCCTCGTGGTTTACCTACAGAATTGGGTATAAACTCACCATGACAAATCAGGAGCAAACTTCTCTGCAAGAATTGCAGCTTTAAGAGATAATTCCTCACGCATTGCAAATTCTGCTGTGCTGAGATACTGACAGAATGTAGGTGAGTAGTAAGGCTATTTTCCCATGAAGATGTAAACGATTTAGGAAGCCCAAAAGGACATTAAATGAGACTGCCTATAAAGTTCATACAAAATACTAGAGAAATCCAGCATGACCAATACCTGTAATAATTCTTCAACTATGTCCTTTGCATTTGAAACATCACACATACCATAAAGCAAATCAAGAGCACGCCTCCGGATACTGAAAATATGGATGTAAAATGAAAAAAGGAAAAAAAAGTATTGTCAAATATCTCGTTCACATTTGAAAATCAAAATACCAGTGAACATACCAAAAGCACTACTGGATATATTTAAATGATGGTAAAAACGACAAAGCTATAGCCAAGACCATAAGATCTATAAACAATTAATCCATAGATATCGAAATCAAATGGATGGACAAGATATAAGATCTGATTCGGACATTTAAGACTTAACCTTCATCTCATCTTATGTTTCTGAAATTGTGAAATTAGTCAAAATAGAATATAAATATTCTTGTTATTTCTTGTATTTTAAAAAATAATATTTACAAAAATATGAAATATTTATTCTGATACTAGCCAACCAGTTTTTCCTTTGCTGTTTTTTCAAAGACCCACGGACTATTAAATAATTGTAGATATAATTCCAACATTTCCTGCAAGATGAAGACAAAACCTAGATATGCCCTTGACTTTCCTACACTTCCCTGCCAAAGTTACACCAATTTGGTCTCAACATTCCCTGCATCACTTTTGGACTCTTTCAGCTGTATTAGTTCCTTGGTCACGAACTGTCCAGCATAAGTTTCTTTCCCTGATCCCTTTATTTTTTCCACAATGCTGTGGCAAATGTATTGTTCAGAACACGTTTGTATCAGTCAGCTTAAGGAAAAGGGGTTTAACCAAACAAGCAACTGAAGGGTGAAGGAAACCATATTTTTCTAGCTATCTTTCTGCCCAACTGTATCCCAGTTAACATTTCACGTAATGATCCTCATATCTTCCATTTCCTCCTCTGTTAAGGTTCTCCATGACAAGAATGTTCCGAGTAGTTCTTTTTTCTTTGTTTTTTTGATACCATGAGTATTCAGCTAACTTATGCGCATCTTACTAAAGAGATGGTATCTTAAATATAGAACAGTTTTTTTGGGTGGGGGTAGTCATGGTATCTGGCCCCATTCCACTAGAGAGACCCAACTTAACACCAGATCTAAGAGACATCAAGGATTTTCACTTATTGAACCCAAGACCCAGAGACATCAAGGATTTTCACTTATTGAACCCAAGACCCAAGAGCCCTTACCTCCTAGTACCACCCCAAGTCCTCAACCAACTGGGCTGCACTTTGGAGGCTCAAACACATACAAAATCAATAAACTTGATCATCAATTTTAAAGATAAATAAGAAACATCTTAACCCCCCACTACTATCTTTCATCATGGTTGAGGCATATTCCATATCATCACCGAGCTATTGACCACTAAATCCTATGTTATTATTATATTTTTGCTACAACATATTCCAATTTCTTCTCCAAGAAGATCAGATTACTAATTGATACGATCCCTTAAAATAAAAATAATTACAGAAGAATTTGTCCAAAATCATTTAGTGCGAATAAAAAGGAATATTGTCGAACAAATAGGATGGTACAATAAAGTTTGAAACCCCAAACAAGGTACTAAACTACGATTTTTATTTATTTATTTATTTTTTTGGGATAAGAAACTTTCATTGAACAAAAGGAACAACGAACAACCTAAGGTCAGTGAACAGAAGACCCCTTCCCAAAACAAAAACTATGATTATTACTAACCTAATATCAGGATCCTTTAATGATGTTATGATCTGAGCCTGATGTCTTTTGATAATATCCTGAACATCCGTCACCATCAACATCCTAGTCATATTTTCCTGCACAAGAGGAATATAATACCATTATCATTCTCATCCTAACTTTGGTTGTCATCATTCAATCATTAGTTGACAAAAGGTGATAAGGTGCACCGTAATTTACCAAGCCAAGATATCGAATATTTGGCTCACGAACTGCAATAAACTTCCCAAGAAGGGCAACACACTGAGACATCATCTCTTTTTCAGCATCAAGATGCATCACCTATGACAAAACGATTTGAAATTAATGGACAAAACCCCAGTTAATAGATGACCCTTTTTTTAAATAGATTTTTTTTTTATTTTATTGGTCACTCATTCTTTACACAATTAGGATGAAACTGCGAGAGAGAGAGCAGGAAGGGTGAAAAATGTTAATTCATATATCTGTTAAAAATGAATTTGGAGATAAAAATTGACCACATACAAGAGCAAGGGCTTCAAACAGAACGGCATGTGACGCATTGTTCTTATTGACATTCTTCACAACATCTGTTCCCATTAAAATCCTTTGCAAGACCTGGAAGCACACCACGGGTTAGATGAATGAACCTGTCAAGGAATGACAAAATTAGAGACACTATCTTAGAAACAAACTAACCTCAAACAATGACCTTCGGGTATTTGGATCTTCAATTGTTGGAAAGTACTGAAGAGCCCTCATCGTTTTCACCTAAACAAATAAAAATTTCAGTCAACGCATATAAATTGAAATAAATTGCTCATCCGAATAACGAAATCCTACAGAATGACATGTTTTTATATGAAGCGATGGAAAATATATTACAATAAAGGCAAAAACAGCCTAATAGCATACATAGTATGGATATCTCATTAGCATAACTATATGGTTAGCTAACTTTACACTAGGCAAAGTTATTTAACTGAGAAACAGTCAAAATATCAAGACTAACCCACAATTCAGCATACAAGTCAAAAAAAATTAAAAGATTTGCAAAAATAATGGCCTCGAAGTATTTTTTGTTATTGCCAAGCCATGGTGGTTTCAACAGCAAAAAAATCTGCACCAGTTTACATAAGATAAATTTGCTCACAAATAAGCATCTTAGAGAATTTGTTCAATATAGCATCCATCACATCAGAATTTAGTAGCAGAACACTACAAACCTGAAGCCAGGGAGATGGGATACCATAATATGTGTATTCTTGTGGAATATCCTGGTTCCTAGCAAGGCGCTCCAGAATTTTAACGCACTTTGGAAGAGAGCTCCAGTAGGAGTCGTGATTGTTTGATACAAGAGAAACAAGAAGGCTCATGGAAGATGTCAAAACACCAAGATCACGCTCATCTAAAAGTTGAGCCATGCGATCCGCCCTGAATAATTTTTAAAAGATGACTGATTAGAGGAGGAAAAATAAAATGGCAAGGGAAAAAATAATAGTATAAGGAAATTAAAACTGAAGCATACCAGCCGTCCACATTGACAACATCGGGATTTTTTCTATACAGACGCAGTAGACATAATGCTGCTTTTTTCCTCACGAGTGGTCTACAGCTGCTTGAAATCTAGAAAAAGAAATTTTCTTTCATGTCATTGTTTATCTCCTAACATCAGTTAAAACTAAAGCTAAAATTTTCTTTTATCACTTACTAGCAACTTTTGGACATCTGGTGCTAATGACTCGGCAAACTCTCGCCCCCCAATATTTCCAACCTAAAGAGATGGATTAAAGAACATTAAAGTCAGTAGAGAGGGTTATTATATTGTTAATAAAATCAATACAAAGTGAATTGCTTCAGCTCTGAAAGGATCACAATAGCAAATGTTGAGAAGTCTAATGATGTTGTTAGAAGCCAAGAAATATATTTCCATTAATCAAAACTCAGTTTTATGTTCCCCGGGAAAGGAATAGAAGCTAATGAATGCAAGAACCGATACTTGTATACACCTATCTCCTCTGGGGTATCATAACACTACCAGAAAAAGGATATATATATATATATATATATATATATATATCCTTCATACAATAAATAATATTGACACAAGTCCCATCAGGTAAAATTAGCAGAGAGGGTACTCCCTAGTCACTATATTCCCAACCCACTGAATGAAAAACCAAATGGCAGCTGCAACAATACTCTTAAATCCCATTTGAGAAGAACTTTGGCTGCAAAATATGTTGTACATATAATTAATTGTTATGAGTTCTAAAGCGATCAAGCCACAAATTCTTTATGCAGCTGAAGCACGTAATGGTAAGAATATTTCAACAAAGAAGGTAATAAAAAATATGCAGAAAAGATGATGTGTGAAAAGGTTGTTGAAATTGATAGACTAAAGTTAATAGAAGACTTCCCATGGTCATACCATAGTCAGCGCAAGGCATTGAAATGTTTCGTTGCGACCAATAATGTCGTTACGCACAGTATTTATCGCTAACCTCAAGAAATCATGGTTCTCATTAAGCAAACACGATGTGACGATATAGCCAACCTGCAATTATTTAATCACGCCAGAATCAATTTAGAAGTAGATAATACATTTTAATTCAATATCAAGAAGACTTTTCTTTAAAATAAGAATGTCGAGAAGACTTTATTTTAAGACTAAATTAAGTAACCATAAAATGGAAGTCTATAAGAGAAAACTCTCTGATCCATATAAACTACTAGTAGAATAAAATGTTTCTGAAGCTTGCCTGCTTTTCAGGGTACTTTGGTGCAGATATAAGAGATACAGCCTCCATATGACCAAAATCCACATCATAACCAAGCATATAAATGTAAAGCATTTTCCAGACATACTTTTTCTTCTCATATGGCGTCAGACCCTGTTATAAACCAATATTAACAAATCATAGACTCATTAGTAACATATTTCAATATTAACAAAATTTATTCAGCCAGTCATAAAAAATTAAACCCAATTAACTGCGACAGAAGGGAAATTTGATAACTCTTGCAAATTTTAAAGTAATCCAACACAGAAACTATGATAATATCAAGTTGAAAAGTAATTTCAGATTGAAACCATGGAAACAAAGGTACGGATAAATATAGAGTAACAGTATCCAATAAGGATCCACTGGCTTTATTTTGAAATAAGGATCCACTAAGTATAATAATCAAACTATCTGTAGTCCAACTAGTCCCAAAAATGTCAAATAACCTCGACCCTACTAGAAAACAAAAGATGGTTGCGATTCTTGATATGACTTTTGTTTAAGATAAAGTCGTTTGGAGAGGGGAGCTTTACAATAATTCTTTGCTTGGATTTTCTTAGTTGTACTCAGTCCTCCAAGTAAAGTAGTTCCATAGGACAACTTTTACCTTCTTTGGATGCGTATCCTTCCATTCCACAAACTCTTAAACACCTCCTTTGGGGAAAGAATGAGCTTTCATGAGTTAATGGAAAAGACATTTGCAATTAAAGGCTGCTGATGGGCCTATTTTCCAAAGTAATCAGTTTTCCTCACTCTAAAAATTAAAATTTTCAAGCAATTAATCCTCAACCCTTGAATCTTCAAAAACTAAGGCCCCATGTTTTTTAAAATTTAGCTTCCAACCACTACTTCCACCAATTTATTTCTTCATCTTGTTATCAATTTTTTTTTTAGTTCAAAATCTAGGAGAAATTTTGAAAACCAAAAAATATATATATTTTCCAACATTTTTTTTTAAACTTGACTAACAATTTAAATGTGTTCTAAATAAATGTGAACAAACATAATAAAAAATGGTGAGAAAATAAGCATAACTTTAAAAACATAAAACTAAGAATGAAATTTCGTTATCAAACGGGGTCTACAATTTCACCAAAAATTTTGATTTCCAAAAAACTAGATTTGTGATTTTTGAGAAATACAAGTGTCCAGTGGCTGAAAGCATCACCAGCTTACACTCTAAACCAAGTAACATGGGTACGTCAAATTATATATGAATCCAAAACGACCATCTTGCAAATCTAAATACTACCAAGCCACAACTCACCCTCAAGCCACTGAAATAAAATCAGTCACTTTCGATGAATACAATATCATTTCCTTCATCATATATTAGGTATCTACATTTCCTCCTAAAACAATTCAGAACGCAACTCTAATCCCGTAATTAGGTAATCGCATGATTTCCACAGTTGTTGTGACCAAAACTGTAAGGACTCGCAAAACAGGGAACAGAAGGGCGGAGAATTACAATCATATATGCAAGTACAGGTCAACCCTAACCTTCTCGTTCTTAAAGCGAGTGCGGACATTTCCAAGCTCCTTGTCGACTCGGAGCCTCTCCTGCTCTTTATTCTGGCAATTGCGAATGTCGCTGATGAAAACGGAGAGGCCTCTCATGCCGGACAACGCCATCTCCGCTCAGATCCAGCCGGAAACACGCAATCTCTTCAGCTCCGTATCCTAGATCCCCGCGCTCCACCAGCGGATCTGATGGAACCAAGCGGCACAGCTAATCCAAAGAAGATGAACTCCAATTCAAAATCCGGATAAAACAACCAGAAAACAATCCAAAAATCCGTGGTTTGATCCAGAAGGAACAGCGAGAAATGTATAGATTGATGGAAATCGGGTGATGGAGTGAGGAAAATTGGCTAAAGCGGTCGACGGGAAGTGGCAGGCAGCAGGAGACGACTTCTATTTTACCTCCATCAAGCCTGAAATTTCAACCAGAAATGATCCCGCATCCAAAACAAAACACTATTATTATTATTATTATTATTATTATATTAATTCCTCCGATTTTAAATTCTTTATGGCGTTCGTTTTATTTTTCTTTTTATTTTTAAGTCGAAATATACTTCCCAATGTTTGTTTCTTTTTCTTTGTTTTTTTTTTAATTGATGGAGTATCAATATTTTACATATTTTTTAAAATTTAAGAAAAATCTTTTGATCATGCATAAAGTGTATGATGGTCGTGCCTTAAAACTAGAGTTTCTTTATTCTAAAACATGAGTGATTCATCTTTACCTAATTCAGTAAAAATAACTAATTGCATAAATATGACAAAATTATGTGTAACAAAGTTAATGAATTTATCTTTCATGTTCTACCAAGGGCCAGTCAATATATTATATTAGACGTGGTTGACACATGGAACAAATAAGGAGTGACCATCATATGAGGCATAAAGCTTCGGACCATTTAATTTATAGCTCGGTCAATTAGTACCTCGATTGGTCATATTTTGACCAGTGAATAGCTTTATCACGATCACTTCTTGCAACCACTATTCAACTCCCAACTTGTTTCTAACGCACAAAATCACATAAGGTTTCATGTGATGTGCAGTGCAGTCAATAAGTAGATGTCATACTTAAAAATTTGTAGATTAAGTATGCAATTTTGAATAGCTCTTCTTGAGAAGCAACGTCTCATACTAATATTGACTTGAACGTCGAAGAGACTCATATACCGAACGTTTCAAAATAAAACCAGGAGTGAGGGATTCAATTAACCGAGATTCAAGGATTGTCGAATATTTTTATGCAAAGTCGGTCTCGTTCCCTCATAGGTCTACTTGAACTAATAATTTGACATCTGACCATATACTTACTTCTCGTCCATGGGAGGTTCATATATCTCTACTGCTAAAAAACCAAAAGAAAAAAAATTAATTGGCGATGTTTTGTACCTATTTGTGGAGGTTCAAGTGTCAAAGTTAATGAACTAATTAATTGATATTAAAAAAAAAAGAACTCTTTTAATAATAAAAATGTAAACTTCTAACCATTTCACCGATAATATATATTTCATCCATTATGTTATTATTAGTATTATTTTTTGAGCTATACAGTACTACTATACATCTTCATCGTATATTTATTTTTGTGTTTTTCGTAAATTACTACTTTACGTTATCAACATTAGAGTTGCTGCGGCTTTTTCTTTTCTATCAATGGAAGAATTTTAAAAAAGGTTAAATATATTTATGTACTCAGTCCATATATTCCAACAAATCTTTAAATTAATCTTAATCGTTAATTTGAAATTATTTTTTTTTCCGACATGGTAAAAAGAACAATAACAAATTTCATTAATGAAAAAACATCATATGATGAATATAATTTTCTAAATTTCTAGAGGAAAGGCCAATAAAGAACTATTAATTGAAATAAAAATAAATAAATAATAAACTAACTATTAATTTTAAGATTTATGCTCGCCTGAGAATTCACTCCGTCTCGCTGCGAGGCTCAATCAGAATCACCGATATCGTCTTCATCGCAGCCGATGGTCGAGAAATAGAATCCATTGCAGGAGCAATTTCCAGTTTCCGGCGGAAGCTCGCCGTCCGTACGATTGCGTTAATCGGCCGTCCGGCCTGAGGCGGCGACTCAAATATACAATGATTGCTAGTTTCCCCCTTTCTTTTTCCCACATCGGTTCCAGGTCAAAACTAATCATTTCGGCTGCGGCCACATCATGCAGAATGGGGCCTCCCTCGCCGCCGCGTCATGATGCTCAAGCCTTTCTGCAATTGTTTCGAGGAATTTTCAGGTTCTAATCATGTCAAACGTTTTGGTCTGAACCTGCAACCCTCCATTTTCTTCTTTCAGCTTCAATTTCAAGGTCGGAGAAATGTCAAGAGTTGCAGATATATTTCTCATTTTCAATCTAACAATGATTTTTTTTAGTATGAATATGTATATAAATCATAACCCATTCATCATTGAAAATAAATCAATCCTATTTGAAAGGGAGATTCTACAACCATTCAAAATGAACACACTAGCAAATTCTGAGAATTTTTGTCATGTATAATCTAAAAGAATAAAAGACTAGCATTCAATCTCAAATCAAGCATATTTGCCAGATCCACTATCGTTAATAGGTAATATGTTTGGATGACAATTTGTGACCTACAACATTACCATTCAGATTTGTTTAGCATAGCAAATGTAGGGATAAAGATTAAACCTTCGACTGATAGAAAATGAGCAAGATACATTAACGGTTGTGCTACGCTCATGTTGGCCATTACTAACATTGAGATTAACGATATCAGCCACAGTTTCAGAACATAAATGACTAAACTATGCATGTTTTGCTAAATAAATCCTAGAATTTGTCTAATTCATGGCCGAATGGGACTACATAATTTCCATACAAAACCAAAAYTATCCAATAGATAAAACTTGGATCCTACCAACTCCTAAGTACTAGCAAAGGAGAAAATTGACATCCCTATTCGCTATAAGTGCAACCCAACTCGGGCACAACACAGAGTTCCTAAACCTAAAGCCTAAAACCTATCGGTATCAATTATGAATTCATAAGGAGAACTCACTCAAAGTCAGAGATAAATATATGATATAACATTGCCACCGGATCTGGATGTTATAGGAAGGCAAAGTAAGGGCAATGAATGGATCTGGATGTTAAATTTATTGAACCCCGCTCCATCTTGCCCAATCCACAAACTGCATACCACCGTAAATGTTGTTGGCAAACCGCACACCGATTGTGAAAGCCATTGCCACCGGCGGAATCTTCTTTGCCAAAGGCGATGCTTCGACCACCTGCTCGAGCGCGTTCACTATTTGATAACGAGTGTTGGAAGATACCGCAAGGAAAACACCTGAATGAAGGCGAGGAAGGGATTTCAAAGTTAAAATTTTACATATACAGAACTAAAATAGTCTGCAAATTTAAGTTGATGCGAGGCAAAACTTTCCACAAAATCTATAGTATTTTATATAATATATACACCTTTTGAATTCAGACAAACTCATGAACCATTAAAACTAATAAGAATATGGGGTTTTTGGTCTGAAGTCTGAACACAGACCATTCAAACTTGACCGAACTAGTGTTCGACCGAAATCTAAATGAACATCCTAAGACATAAGTGACTTGTGCACTGACCAACGGATTATGATTATAGATCATAGTTTAGTATAACCAAACAAATAATTATTCATATAATGTATTTTAGACTTGAACATGGAAGCATGAGGAAATGGCTTATTGGATTGATTCAGAAGAACGAGGGCCCACTCCTACAAAGCTAAAACAAGATCATTTGCCTCATTAACAAACAGAATAGTAGAGTAAAATAGAGAGGATCCAAGGAACAGGTAAGAGATACCCCAGAGAGCAGCACTCTGAATGAGAGGAGGCACAGGTACATCCTCATCTGATTTCTTTATGCACCTGAATCATTAAATACGGTTCCAAAGATGAGAGTCTAAAGAGAGTTTTAATATATCTATTACGTCGTGGCTCATAATTAACATAAACATCCAAGAAAAGCAGGTATATGCATCCACCTATAGATGAAGCAAAAATAGTTTTAACTTTATAAGGTCACCATAATCGATTATTTCAAACAGAAAATTAAGTATCCAACAACTTGGAGGGGTCAGGTGACATGACAGATCCGCGATCCTTTTTACGCAAATATACAATATCACGTCGAACTGAACAACAAATAAGTCATTTTCACGGAGTTTTAAACAAGATTGAGGAACAAGCAAAGGAGTAAAAGAAAAATACAGCTTCTGCGAACCAGGACAAATAAAAGTAAAAGTATCTGCAATATTAACAAGCAATAGATGTTAGTTAAATCAGAGAAATCTACAAGATCAATAATATTGCAAGACGAGATACTGGAATCTAATGTCTACCATAAAATAAAACTCTCCTCATCAAAAGATGCACAAATATGCATCTAGTATCACAATTCAAAGCAGAAATTTTTAGAAAAAATGCCACATTGTCGTAGTTGTAAATTTTACCATTTTAAAATTACATGAGAAATTTGGCTTCCTCATTTAAGTCATTAAGTGTATACAAAGTATATTTTTCCCCCTTTTTTATATCAGTCTATAATCATCAGAAACGAATTGTGACAATACCAAAGCTACATAAAAAAAAAACACATCAGATAAAGAACACCTCAAGTTCATGAGTTGATCAACACTATCAAGTGAAGTTCTTAAAGATGAAGAATTACAATACTAAAACATCTTACAAAGGAATACATACTTAAACAGGCTTACCGTTTTGCATTCATGATCAAATTAGCAATCCCCTGGCCAATGAGACCACACCCGAATCCCACCGAGCCATACAAGACACCCTGGACCCAAAAAGCCCCAATGAAAAAATTAAATAAAACCAGAAAATAATATACAGCAGCAACCAGCCAACGGAAATATGATCAAAGGTATGTCTGGAGAACTTAGTTTTGAACAAAGAGTTTCGATTTGAAAAAAAACACAAACAAGGATGAGAAAGTAATTTCTAGTTTAATCATTGCTCAGAATTAGAAAAGGTTAAAATCTATACCTTGTAGAAATATGATGCAATTCTCTGCTTCACTGTGAATCTACACCCCGGCCTTTCAGCTTCAAAAACACTGCAGAAGCAGGAGGAAAAATAATTATAGATGTCAAGATGGAGCATGGAAATTCTAAATCCAAAGAAAATTGAGAATGGTCAGGAGATCAAAGCCAAATCAAGGGTTAACTAGTTTTGCATCAAATGATTTAAGAAATCATCTCATCTTCAAAACGAAAAAAAATAAATAATAAACAAAACAGTTACACAAAAAACTTTGACAATCATCCAACAGCTGGAAGTAAAAACAGATGAAGGTAACACAGGCCACTACATGTCTGAAAAAAGAAGCATAGTAGATTTCAATGGAATAAAGTGTCATGCGATGTTAACCTGCTAGGAAGAGAAGAATAAGCATTTTGCATCTGTCCCAATAAACCTCGTGACACAGGTCGCTGTCCTATACGAGCATATGGTGCTAACATACCAACCAAAGCAACGTCAACAACTACACCGACCAAAAGATCAGCAGCAAATAACTCGAACTCTGCCCAGAAATTCTCGCCCCTTTTCTGAACTTCGGCAAATGTAGCACAGCATGAGTCTATTACTACCTGCATCATGAATCCCACCAAATCAATTGATTGGGAATAGTATTTTACAATCAATCATCAAGTCAACTGTATTAAGCAAAGAGAATCACCAAGGTGCAGTATCAGTTAGAACAAACAACCAAGGGACTCAAATCCGGGATTTAAATGTCAACGGTGTGATTTAATTACAAAAAATGTTCAAGATGGATTAAAAATGGCAATAGCAAGCAACGATAGGTGAAAATTCACGCATTGGAAACTATGGTGAGAAACGTTGATCATTAGCTTGTAATGAATTTTAATACATCAAAACAAACCTCTGTTCCAACTTTAAATAGAAAAGATGGGTCAGCAAGCATTCGGTCCCGAAACATGGAACAAGAATTCATCAAGAAGCCTAACAACCAACCTGATCCCTGCAGAACACCAAAAGAAATTTGATTCGTTGTTATATTTCAACTTTGAATTTCAAATTAATAAAAAGTCATCTTTATGCTCTAGCAAAGAAGATCAAAAAGGAAACCATATACCATTAACTTCCAAAGGATGAAGGGGCAAAGGATTTTAACTGATATATAAGAGGAAAAAAGAAAGTTCAGGAGAATCATGATGACCTTGTAGTGAAACTAATGATCCATTCAATTATCGGGAATGTATCCTTTATCTATAAGATTCCTACAGGTTCCAGCCACAGGCATGCAACAGTATTCTCTCTACACTTCCTCAGAAGCCAATCGCGCATCCCAAATAATTTCAAGTGCTACGCATGATGTATGTGATTCATTTACTTTCACAAACTTGAGAACTGGAACGAGCGTACCTGCAAGTCCAAATAACGGAGCAGAAAAACTTCCCGAATCCCGGTAGCCTTAGCAGCCTCGAGCATATCCGGAGGGAGTCTCACTCCTCGAGCGTCTGCCTCCTTGATCACGTCGTCAAATTTTAGTATGGGCCCAAACTCCCTCTCATCCTCGCTATCACCATTTCCATTTCCATCTCCGCCGCCGCCGCCACCAAATGAATTCCCGCCTCCTCCAATGCCACCATCCCCACCAATTCGAGGTTCAGAGTTAACATCAAAAGACTTAGAGTTCTCTGCGCTTCCAGTCCTACCGTCTTCCGATGCCGCGATGGTCTCAGCCGCCGACTCGGACGAAACACAATGAAGCCGAACACGACAGTTCAGTTTCGACGAATGACGAAGAGCAACAAGCTTGAAAGAGCCAGTGGATTCAGAACAAGGCCATCTAAAGCATCCGGAAGCTCTAACTTCGAGAATCGAAGGAAAGACATCTGGGTTGGAAGGAACGGCGGAATGGAAGAGATTGAAGCTTGAAGAGGCAACTGACATAGTAGTGGGAGCTCTCTTTGCGACAATGGCAGACCCTAGAAATGGTTAACGAGTTGAAGAATACGTGTGAGAAACGATCAGAAACGAAATGCCTAAATTGTGTAAAGCGTTTCCTAGGAAGAGATGCAAGAACAGCACGAGGAGAGGGGACCTGCCGAAAATGAAAGCAGAGAAAAAAGTTTTATTTTGTGTAGGGAAAAAAAATAAAAATAAAGAAAAAGAACGTCGCCTGAGAGATTCGAACTCTCGCGGGGAAACCCCATGTACTTAGCAGGCACACGCCTTAACCACTCGGCCAAAGCGACTTGTGTTTGACTTTCATAGATTCAAAATTAATTTATCTCAAAATTGTTCTTCGAACGTTCAAATGAAAAGACGCAATTTGAAACCTCCAACTTGAAGAGACTGATCAAGTAGTCGTGCTTGACTTTGATTTAAAAATTTTAGTACTTTTGAGAATAAGTTGCCACATTCAGACAAATGCATGCTCGGGTGTCGAGATTGTTCCATCAATTTCTTCGAGATGGTAATATATGCAAGCTATATTTAAGACCCGCTTTTTGTTTCTGTTCCTCATTTTTAACAATTAAAAAAAAAAAAGAATAGAATGGTATGATCTCAACATCCAATAGATTAAAAGATTCAATAAAGATCAAACAATGGTTTTATGTTTTAATGTAAATGGGAAACTAGAACAATAGAAAGTTAATTTTGAAAATGTTTCTTTAAGAATGAAAAACAAGAAACATATATAATTAAGTTCCGTAATAAAATAAAAATTGGTAATGATTGATACATTACCAAACGGACCCTTGTGCAGATTAAAATCGGACCCTTATGCGGATTAAAATCAGACCGTTATGCGGATTAAAATTTATATGCACGCCTTGAGATTGTATTAGACTTAAAACTTACTGTTAATTTTTTTTTGGTTAAAGCTAACATAAATCTTATGCAACTCAATATAAGAAATTGAATGACAAAGAAGAGAATAAATAGATGGGGAAGACAGAAAAGTAGTAGCAGATTACTTGTATTCTCCCTCCTCAACTTGTAGTCCAAGCTTGAAATTTTCAATCATTTTACATATACCATCGAGTCTTTTCCCCAACAGGGCTACACATATCGCCTATTCAACTACCACATTTCAAAACCAAGAAAAAAAAAATTGTTACTAATGTGGGACTCATCCATCAACATATAGTTATAATCTCAGAAAAGAATTGGAAAAGTTTGGACACGGCCACATATTACAAATAGAAAACTCTTCCGTGAAGAAAAGAATGACCAGAAAGTAAACGGCATCACATTATCTAGCTGGATGCAGCTGGTTTCGCTGTCGTCTGCTTGATCGCCTCCGCGTATGTTCGATGTTGATAGGTCAGAGTCGATTCCAGCAGGTCCCAAAGTGAAGTTTTCGGGTTCCAACCTGCACGATGTAATTGTGTGCTCCATTGAAATCACTATTTACAATCGAAGGAAAAGAACAAAAGGAAATGGCATGGCATCATACCGAGCTGCTTGTTAATGATGGTCATGTCGGGAATTCGCTTATCGCTGTCATCATAACCCACACCATAGAATTCTTCAGAGCTTACATCGATGGTCGGCGACTTGAGCGCAGGTTCCCCGCTTACCTTTGCATAAACCTACAGAATCCAAGCAACCGGCTTTTTCAACTTTCTTCATCCACAAGAGCAAAAGAAAAACAAACTATTGACCCAACACGATTCGCTACCTCAGTCATCATTTCAGCAAGCTGCTTCACTGTTACTTCATTGTTGGGGTTGCCCACATTGAAGATATGGCCGTTGGCCCTCGATGGGTTTTCCTGAACAAGCAATTACACAATGCAGATAAGTCTGCTGTATGCAAACTTTAGGCTGAAGATGAAAGAAAAAGAGAGGGACATCGTACAATCATCAAAAGAACAGCTTCAATCGCATCCTTAATATATACGAAAGTTCTTTGGGATTGGCCGCCATCCACAAGCTTCAGTGGCTCGTGGCGAAGGAGATTCTGCAAAATCATAAAAAGAAACAGAGTCGGTCACAGTGTTTGAAACTAGAATCTTAAAGAGAAGGGCAAAGCAAACTAACAGTACATACATTGCTAAAGCATGCTAGGACCCTTGGAACACCCTCGCTTGGGCCATCAATGCCAGGAATGAAGTCCATCCTTGGCCCGATCCAGTTAAACGGTCTTACGATCGTAAAATCCATCCCATTTTCTGCACCCTCAGCTGTGAAAAACAAGCATAAAGAACACAAGCTAAGAGCTGCATTTTATGTGGATTTCATTCCCATAAAGCCACAGAAAGTACGTAAAAGAGCTAACCATAAATCAGCCTCTCAATCAATTGTTTCGCACATGCATATGACCATCTTTGCTTGTCAATAGGGCCAAAGATGCAAGGAGAGGCATCCTCTTTCAAAACATAATAAGCTGGATCCTATCATAAAGAAGACATAATACATTAATTCAACTCACTCCCAGCAAATTATACGAGGATGAGACAAAAAGTAGCATCAGGAAAGCAGGAACAAAACACATGCAGTGTACAGACAAAATCAATAAAACAGACAGAGTAAAAGAAGAAACAGTTGGCATTAACTTTATGCACACGACAGCTAGAAAGAAAGACAGCAACAACTTCGTTGCAACTAGTTTGAACCTAGAAATTAATGAAATACTCGATGACACAAAAAATAAAGCCCCATATTTCCGACCAGGAAACTTTTATATCGAATCTCTGAGATAAAAGAACAGCAAAAAGTTATAAACCCCTCCCTCCTCCATCCAATCCATCCTAACAAAAGCCAGCTTACCAACACAAGAGAGATGATAAGTAATGCAATGTGGAAAATAATTTCATTGCAAAATCAACAAGTAGAATGTGGTTTATAATCTGCATTTTAGCCAGAGACAACTGAGCCAAATGGTGGATCAAAGCACACAAAAATCTACATCTTCAAGTAAATCACAATATAATGCATATTCAATCCTTTATAAGGGGCATATTAATGGTTCAATTCAAGATCTAATGTTTTCACGGCAACATAACCAAAGAAAAAAAATGCTGTTTCTTCTTTTCTTTTTTTTTTTTCAAGTACAAATCCTTACTAACTTTCATGGCCATTCAAAGACAGTCGCTTAACTACTGTACAAGATCCTGTACAAGAGCGCAGCTCTCAGAAAATTCAAATAAAATGGCATGCATCTTGAATCTCCACAATACGTATTCATTGCATTTTCGTTGAGAGAATGGCAAATGATTATAGATCGAATTGAGTCGATGAAATTTATATTATATAATAAGAGGAACAAGAAAGAAAGAAAGTAGAAAGAGATGGCTTACCTGACGAAGAGGGCTATCTTTTGGAAGAAAGCTTCCAATTGTCTTACCATACACTTCGCAAGTTGAAAAGTGTATGAGACGCTTGTTGTTCCCGGAACAGTATTTAACCTTGAAAAGGAAGCACATCAAATCAAACGCCAAATCACCAATTCTTAACGATAACAAAATGCTTTGAGTTGAAAAGTAACACACACTCAAATCAAAACATTAAGAAACGAGAAAAAGACAGAAAGAGGAGTGAATCGCATACACACCACAGGGATTGCGTCGATGAAATTGCTGTAGATGGTATCAAGTGGTCGCGTATTGTAATCCGCCGGCGTACAGATCGCAGCAAGATTTATTGTCTGCATCACGTAAGGGAAATTTACAATCACGAAACATCTTATAAACACGAGGTTAAAAAGAAAACAAACGAGCATTGCTCATAAACCCACAAATCACCAGAAAGAAGGACCAATTCGTTAACTAATCCAGAAAAAATTGATCAATTCTTCCAAGCACACAGAAGAAAACGAGTAGCAAAACCAGAAAGAATCAAGAGAGGGAAAAGTACAGAAGTCGAACCAGATCTGCCATTCGAATGAGGCTCTCGAGCCTGGAATCATTCTTGATATTGAGACGGTGGAACTGAATGCGATCGGCCCAAGGGAGCGAATCAGGTTCAAGAAGGTGCTTAATCTTGTCACTGTAAACATCCAGAGCAAGAACCTTGTGGGGCGTTTCGGCCATAAGCTTCTCACAGAGGTGAGAGCCAATGAATCCACCAGCGCCAATCATGCATATGGTAATCGGCTTAATGGGGTTGCCGTCCAGATCTACCCTCTTCTCCGACGCCATTGATGCTACTCTGCAACCTCCCAAGTGAAAATCCGGCGTGCGAATCTTGCGGGAAAGAGAAAGAAAAGCTTCAGGAAGAGAATTACGCGGAAATGGGTGAGAAACCAATAATGGGAAAAACGGAAAAATGGGTGTGAGGGAGATTGAGGAGAGGCCGAGCGTATTTATTGAGTGGGAACCAGAGAGCGAGAGACAAGGCGTACGATCATTGAGGATACGAGAGGCGAGTGGCGAGTGTGGGGGAAATCGCCGGCGAGTATGGAATTTTAGCTACTCGCTACGTGAGACTGGACACGTGTCTCTCTGGGTCTGTGAATAAGAATAATTAAAAATAAAAAGGGAATTCAATTAATTTTGAGAGAAATGCCATTAATAGTGCTGAGGCAGGGTATGGATGCCCTTGATTGATCACTGAAAAGTTTTTGCAGTCTAATTTTAGTACTAAAACTTGAAGGATGAGCCTTGCTAATCATTTTGGACGCCCCTTAATCACAAGATTAGGGGTCGTTTAAAAGTCGTTATCGAAAATTACTTTTTTTTAACAACAATTAAATTAAAATATTATTTTGGTCCCTTTAATTTTAAAAAAGTCAATGTTTGCAAAACTTTATCATGAATTCTACGCACAACAAAAACTCTTTAATATGAAGTTGTGACTACATTTCAATAGATATATTGTTTGTGATTAAAAAAAATGAGATAAAAAATAAAATGAATGGATTAAAAAATGTTTCAAAAATACCATGGCTAAAATAAATCAGAATTGAAAGTATATTAATCAAAGTAAATATTTTGAAAATTCGAAAGGAATAAAAATTGAAAGTATATGGACTAAAATAATATTTTAATTCAATGCTTAAAACATATATGATATATGTGTTTTAAATTTATGTTTATAAATTATAACCCTACTTCTCTTATGTGCTATTTTATTTTGTTACCTRCTTTTTAAAAACATTTTCAAAGTTTATGTCAAAAAGTTTTGAAAATAAAAAATATATAGTTTTTTGTTCTTTAAATTTTATTAAAAATTTAAATGTGATTTCATAAAATTGAATAAGGTACCCACAAAATTACAATGAAACAAGTCCATATTTTTAAAAATATATAATTAAAAACAAATTTTTCTAAAATTTAAAACTAAAAACAAGTTTGATTATCAAATAGGCTTGAATATTTATAACTTTTAATATATGGACTAGCTAAGCTAGAGCCATGTTAATGATACAAAATTATTATATATTAAACCTTAATACTTTGTATTGATAGATCTTTACCAGTAAAAATTAAGTTTGGTCACGTTTTTTAAACCGTCAATTAATTGCTACATCAATTAAAAATATCAAATAATTAAAAATAATCTTTGATTAGATTGTTTATATCGAACGCTTTTTAAGCTTCTTTTGATTTAACATTTTAGGAGTTAAAAGATTCGAATTTCCGACATTTTACTCGTTGAAAATATATGCATCAAGGGTTTGTACTATGTCCAGGACTTTCTTTTTTAATTTATTTTTTATCTTTCCCAAGAAACCCTTCTTTATATTATTATTATTTTTTACTTACCTCTTCTGTAGCTACGTTGACCGGTTTGTACTTAATAATATTTAAAATCGGGTTAAATGACAAGCAATGAAATTATGTCCATTTAATTGAGATAATGCATGACACCTACTCTTATTACGTTTATAAAATAAAAATAATAAATCATTGTTGGTAAGTTATCTATACTATATTAAGAATGGAGGAGATGGGAAAAATATTTTTGAACATTTTTATCTTTTACTAAATTAACTAATTTATTAGATAAACAAAATATTTAAAAGAAAAATAAAGGTAGCATAAAATAGTTTTTATCTATTTATTTTTTAATTAATATATTAAAATAAAAATAAAGGACCCATATATTAGGTAGAATAAAATATTTTTAAAAATAAAAATATTAAAATACCTATTTATTTTTTAACTCATCATTTCTTAAAATTTATTAAAATAAATTTTTCCTTTACTTTTTAATTAAAATATGTCATTAACAATTAATTATAAATGGTATATTTGAAAAAATAATTATAAAGAGTACATTTATTATTAGTAATGAGCTGTTAATAATAATACGTATATCTAAAAATTAATCTTAATTATTTTTAAAAATAATTATACTTAAAATATTTTACCTAAAATTATTTAAAATTGAAATTGCCTTATAATTAAAAAATATATATACGTGCAATGTATGTGGTAATACACTAGTAGATTTAAAAAAGAATAATAATCTTTAATTATTCTAAAAATGGCATTCATGAAAATAAGTTAAAAGACTATTTTTAATTATGTTTTATCCTAAACGGTAAAAATCTATTTTTGAAACACTCAAACAACATGGGTTATATCAACATGGTGCATAACACTATTTTTAATAGTTAAAAATTAAATGGAAATGGTATCCATACCAAAGAAAGAAAAAAGAAAGAGTTTCATAGATATATTTATAGATTCTTTTTTAATGTGATAATTGGGGTGGATTATTCGAATTTATGATCTCTTCTTCAAATACAGATGTCAATTATTGTTAAGTTTAGATTGCTACATAATTATAGATTCGAAGTGGGATAAAAATACCTTAGGATTTGAATTTGAAAATGTACCCATAACATAAGCCATTTAATATTTGTTTTAAAAAATAAAGCTGATGGTGGAGTTTGGTTTTGTGTAATATAGAAAAATGTTTTTAGTCAAATTGAGGGGTCATGTGGGTGTGGTGTGTGCTCAGCTTTATCATGAGCTGTCTTTCTGTACTGCATATGTTCATGTGGGTGCCTTCACTTATTTATTTTTCTTTGAAAAGACACACGCAAAATAATAATAATAATAAATAATAAATAATAAACAAACAAAAAAATGACAAAAAGAAAACCAGTTTTTAAACTTATTTTCAATGTTATGAATACATAAATTTGATTGCTTCTTCTTCTTTTTTCTTTTAAAAAAAAAAATTGATGTAGTATTCTAGCGATGGATCCGCTTCATTACCTGATTTTGCTATAGGTCAAGTTTGTATCGAGTTAAGAATTTGTTAAGTTGCATAAAGATTGCATACCTTTGTGAGGAATGAACTACATATTTTATAGGAGAGTTTTGGAAACATTGTCATGTCATTCTAGCACTCCGTACCTAGGTCAGTGATCTATGTTTTCAGGTTAGTACCAAGTTCGACTTTCGCAGTGTCAGCTGGAGTAATTTGACCTAATTCATCTCATCTCCAACCTATTCAAATTGTGGCTCAGAGTCATATTTACGGCAGACTCTAATTCCACATATAATAAAAATAAAAATAAGTATGGGTAAATATTTAGATAATCTATAAAAAAGAAAATAAAATTATCTGAATCCGAATATCCAAATATATTATTGTGGTATTTGTGGAAGCAATCCTATTCCTTGCATAGGATGATAAATGTGAATAAAAAAATTCGATTAAATTTAAGTATGAGATTATAGAAAGTGATCTGTATTAGGTGAGGAATTAAGTCATTCTTCTCTTTATTGGAGGCATTCTTAATCACTTTCCCGATATTAAATAAACAAAATAAAAAGAAAAGAGAATTTGAAAAAGTAAATAAATAAGAAGAAAAAAATGGTTATAATTCTTCACGTTAATTTATGATAAAGAATAATATATTTTATTTACAGTTTAGAGGAGAATGATTTGGGTATTTGGTCCAGCATTTAACTATGCAATTACGCATTTATATTAGGCGACAAATCCATGTGATTATGTGTACAAGAAAAATTAAATTAAATTCTAGCTTTTTTTAGAGGAAATTAAATTCTAGTCTAATTACGTGTTTATATATGTATATATCTTGTTTGGAAATTCGAATTCTCACTCCCAAATATATACGTATAAAATTTTATTCAACTCAAACGAACAATCTTACATACTTTAATATGAGGACTTTGAAACATTATGTCACTAAATAGATTGAGTCATCCACACCTTTCGGACTATTATCATTGTAGACTAATAATTTTAGGCTTAAATATTATTTTGGTTATTGTACTTTTGATTTTAATTTATTTACTTTAAATTTTTGTTCATTTTGGTATCTGGACTTTTAAAATGTTCGTTTTGATATATTTCTAAGAACCGGCAAGTTTGGTCTCTAATGGTAAAATTTAACACAGATATTATACATAATGGAAATAGTTTAGTATGAATATTGCTACATTTTAATAAATTTAATGAGTGAAGTGTCAAAATAAATCATATAAAAATGAAAGGATGATGATCACTTTTTTAAAGTTACATAGACTTTTCAAAAGTAAAAAAACTAAAATAAATAAATATTGAAAAATACCTAGATCAAAATCTACCCAAATTGGAAAGTATAGATAATAAAATAATATTTAAATCATCATTTTATAATGTGATTTATTTATTTATTTTTATTTTATTTTGACAGAAACATAAGGGATATATTTTTTTAATACAAACCATCAGGAATAATTTTTTTTTTTTTTGAGAAATAAACCATAAGGAATAATTGGTTACAAAGGTTATGCAAATTCTGGTCATATCATTAATATTTGTATTCAATTCGTAATTTATTACAAGGGGCAAAACCTTAAACGTGTGGTATATCGAAATTTATCAAATTAACATTAAAATATTTGAATAAGTCATAAGTGTTTAAGTCAAAGCGAGTCTAGCTCAGCGGTAATTGACATATATCTCCAGCAATGAGGTTTTGAGTTCAAATCTCCACTCCACATATTGTACTCTAAAAAAAAGTCATAAGTGTCATTTATGTCCGATCAAAAAATTTCCTACAATCTAGTTTAATTTGATAGAAAATTAAATGTTAAATAAAAATATGAGTTTTTTAAAAATAATATTAATAATTTTTATTAAAATTAATGGATGAATTAGAAAAAACATATATCAATCAGTTTGGTTAAAATTGATATACTCAACTTATAGTAAAATTTGAAATTTTCTCTCTTATTATTATTATTATAGAAAATTAGAGTTGAAACTAACGGCTAAGGAAATGGGGTGCATAGTAAACAATGCTCCCTGACAAGAAAGCTCAACTTTGGCGTCGTTTATTTTGTGCGTTTTGTCACCGACATTACATTTTTATATTGTATTTTAAATACTTTAATTTATTAAAATTTTATGAGATGTTTATTAAATTGTAAGAAAAATAATGTAATCCCCAATCTTTATTGTCCTCCCAATAGATGAAATATATTACGGAGGATTGAACAATGGGGAGTGAGATAATTCTAAAGTTCGGGTTCATTTAATTTTTTTGTTACTTATTTTTTAAAATTAAGTTTATATATTTTCTATCTACATGCTATAGGTGAATAAATGTCCATTACGTGATTAGTAGTGAAAAATCACGGGAGAATAGATTGGGACTCGCCCCAATTGAAAATGGGTAGACTCACCTCGACCTATTAAGAGGTGTAACTCATGCCTTAACCACACATAGGAGGAAAGGAACCCACCCTAGCCACAAGAAGTTGCAGCCCACTTTAATCCAATCAAAAGAGGTCGAGCTCGCACCTCGGCCATGTAGAAGAGGTCAACCCCTCCGCTACCAAAAGTAGTGGAGTTCACCTTGGAATAGATGGTATGGAGCCCACCCTCAACCGAAAGAGGTAGACTCCCGTCGAATTTAACATTAGCAAATGTCTAAATGTGTCATAATCACACATCAACAACATATTCCTTTTGTTGTTATTGACCTTTTAAGAACGATATTTTAGTCAAAACCAGCATAACTAAGCAGTAATTGACATATATCTCAACCTAAGAGGTTGTAAATTTAAACGTGTCATAATCCCACTGTTGTAAAAAAAAAAACGATATTTTAAAGAAATAAGTGTGGCTTTTTAAAAATACAACACGAAAACTCATTATCAAATGAGACTTATTTTTCTAAATCTCAATCAATTAAATATATCTACTTTTGATCAATTAATAAAACAAATATACCATTTCATACTAATAGGTTTTAATAGATATCTCTACAATAGATTTGATGTCAATCCTCATTATTTAGTTTTTTATCAACTAATTATTAATTGATTAATTAATTTTAAATTTTAGATTTTATGTTTCAATCTTAGTTGTATTTGGTCTGTGTGCTTTTAAATATTTTAAGGTTGTTGATATACTTTGATTAACTCCTACTTATAAATCTTTTATTAAAATATGAAGGGGGCTATGTCCAATATTGATTTGGAATACAACTCGTAATTCATTTCAAATTACTTTCATCAATAATTGTCAGATTAAATTTTTGTTAATTTCCATTTACAGTAAAATGTTGGTAAGCTTTACTAATAATGAGTATATAAGACAATGAAGCTTTTAAAGAGACGGAAACTAAATTGAAATTCGAAATAAAAAATGTTATCAAAACAATAACATTTTAAATTTCTATGAAGTACTAAGAAAAAATTTGGGGTAAGGATTAAAAATTTTCCTATTTTAAATTACATTTAATTTCATTTATTCACACATTATTATATGGTGTAATTTTATCATTAATCAATTTTAACATTTTTTACTTGAGAGACTAAATTAAAATACAATAAAAGAGTTAAATTAAAATCTTTAAACAAGAAAAACTAAATTAAAAAATATAAAACTAAAACATTTAAATAAATACACGCCGGAATACAGCATGAATACGGAAACATCGAAAAATTTGATCTAAAACTAAAATTAAAAGAATTGGCCAGATCAGATTAGAATCAATAATCCAAATAAATTAAGCTAAATAAAAGAAAAAATGAATAAAAAGGTATGTAATTACAAATAGTATAAAATAAATATGCATAAAATTTAAAATTTTATCATAATTCAATCACAGTCTAATTTAAATGTAATAAAATCATACTATATTTGAAAAAAACTGAAAAATTGTAATATTTCTAAAACTACATATTAATTTTACGTGATTGAGTAAAATTTTTTATTTTAAAAGTGGGGTCCACAGCACCACTGACTTTCCCTGTCGCGGCTTAGCTCAGTGCACCGACAGACAGCTATCAAATCTAGACTTTTAGCCACGCGCTCAAAGTTCCACGCGCCTGTGTCGGTTGCCCGCTCCGCCGTGCCCTGCCCGTGCCTTGTAAATAAATCTCAACTTTTTTTGGCTGTAATTGTAAGGCTGTGGCTGGCTGTTCTTTCTTTTCCAATGCCAACTTTTTATAAATACAACAACTTCTTCACGAAACTCTGTTCAAATTTTGTAATTTTTCGATTTTATTTATTTATTTTACTTTTTGCCCCCTGGCCCCTCTTCCATTGTTTGGCCTTTACCCAATTATGTTAATAAATCTGATATTGGGATTTGGGCAAATAGTGAAAAGAAGTGTATCAAACTTTAAAAATGTTTTATTACGTCCCCATATTTATTCCTTTAATCTATTTTAATTACATCAATATTGATAACAAATATTAACAACAAATATGATCCAATGCCTAATATTTTTATAATAAAAGTAAAAAAATTAAGACAAAATCAATTAAAGTAGAGATGAACATCCACTATTTGAAAATTAAGGAGTCAGAAAGTACACACTATACATTTCAAAAAGAAGAAATGACCTTTCAAGGAAAAAAAAAGATCACAGCAAAAACACCACACGGATCGAGAAGAAGAAACTTACCCTTTGTTGGAGGAAAATATATTTACAAATTGAAATTATGGATACATGATAATTTCAGCTTAATTTAAATTGATACTATATATTTCAAAATTAGTAAACATCTAAATATATTTTAGTGTGTCCAAGGGCGACATTTTCAGCCATTCTTTCTCCTCTTCATTTTTTCCCCCTTTTTTAAACAGTTTAAGTGGAGCTAAGTTGTAATTTGCAGAGAGATGACACCTGATGAGGATGCCATGCAGAATCAGAGCCAGGTGTCACTTTCACAAACCAAAATCTGTTGCTTTGGATTCTCCGTTCCCATTCCCATTCTCATTTCCTCAGCAATTTGCAGAAAAAAGAGTGTTTTTCCCACTATGGCTGTTGTTTTCTCTTCCCTTCCCTTGCCGTCCCCTGTTTTCTTCTTCTGCATGCCCTCAGCTACCCATGGCCACCTTCCTCTTCCCCTTTTCCTACCTCCACGTGTCCTGCCTCTCTGACAGCTCCTTGACACGCCCATTTCTCCTCCCTTTTCCTGTTTTAAAAATCTCCCATAGCTCACCTCATCATTCTTCACTCCTCCATCAATGGCTTCCGTTCTTCGCCTCCGAAAATTGTACTATGTCGACCCTGTTAAGAGCTCTTCCATGGGGATCAACCCCAACGAGAAATCTGAGGATAAACGCAATGTTATTGTTGCATACGTGAAGAAATTGCTGGAGAAGAAGCAAGAGAAGGACAAGAGGAAGAAAAAGAAGAACATCAAGAACAAGGGGGGAGGCAAAGAATGGAAGTGCTTAGATAACTGTTGTTGGATTCTTGGATATATGTGCACAATTTGGTGGGTGCTCTTTTTTCTCTACCATTACTTACCACCTGGGTTTCCGGTGATTGATTCTCCGGGGAGCGTTCTAAAGCGTGAAGGCGTTTCAGCTCTTCACCCGGTGGTTTTAGTGCCCGGACTTGTCACCGGCGGGCTGGAGCTCTGGGAAGGCAAGCCCTGCGCCAAGGGCCTCTTTCGTAAGCGCCTGTGGGGTGGGAGTTTCTCTGAAACATTGAAAAGGTTAGAAAATTTCAAAGCAAATTTACATTCTAAAGTACACATTTTGAGAACTGAATTGAAAATTTGCAGACCTTTGTGCTGGCTGGAGCACCTGTCTCTGGACAATGAAACAGGGCTTGACCCACCAGGCATTCGAGTCCGGCCAGTCGAAGGGCTTGTCGCCGGCGATTACTTCGCCCAAGGCTACTTTGTTTGGGCTGTTCTCATTGAAAATCTGGCTAAAATTGGCTACGATGGAAAGAACCTTCACATGGCTGCATATGATTGGAGGATCGCCTTCCAAAACACAGAGGTATGCCACCCAAAACCCATCTTCTTCCAATCAAAATAGATCTTCACTTCACTGAGTTTGCCATTGTTGAGAGTAAACGCAGGTTCGAGACAGAGCTCTGAGCAGATTGAAGAGTAAAATAGAGGTAATGTATGAAACAAATGGGGGAGAGAAAGTGGTGGTGGTGCCTCATTCAATGGGGGTTCTGTACTTCCTCTACTTCATGAAGTGGGTGGAAGCGCCGCCGGCGATAGGCGGCGGCGGGGGCGGCCAAGGGTGGTGCGGCAAGCATATTAAAGCAATCATGAATATTGGGTCTACATTTCTGGGAACTCCAAAGGCTGTTAGTAAAATTATTTCTGGTGAAGACAGATCAATTGCTTCGCTCAGGTTCTCTTCTCTGCACTCTAAAGTCTAAGTTATAATTTTTATTCAAATAATAAGTATACTGTAGTAATTACTTTAGTTAGATTATTTTACTTGTATTCAATGCATATATTATGTCGATTTTGTTATCAGTTCTTTCTTATTTTGATTTTCCTTTTTCATAGATGTTTTGACAAAGTCCCCAATCTTCATTTCTTTTTTTCCTTTTCTATTTCCTTTTTAGTAAGATTTAAAGTATTTGGGATAAAATGTTTAATTTTTTTTATAAGTTAAAAGTTTTGGACATTGTAGTTAACTTATATTTATTTATTACTTAAATTACATATTGAAAATCATGAAATTGAAAACTACATCAAAGCTTAAAAAGATATTTATTCTAAACTAGTACAGCTTTTGAAAATATATAATAAATATGTAATGGAATTCTTTTTCTTTTCTATTTCATAAGTTAAACAGAACAAGAAATAGTAAACTTCTAAAGCTGTGTCAAAATCGTGACTCAAGTGTAAGGTTTACTCGAAAATTATTTTTAAAAGATACTTTCATGACTAAAAAGTAGTTGATGTTTTGTGATTTTCCCTTTTTATTTGGACAAAAAGCACAAAATGATCGTCAATGATCAAACATTATTCTCTAAGAGCAACTAAGAAGCTAAAAAAACTCGTTTCTTATTCTTCTTTGGAAACAAACAAAAAAAGTAGAAACGAGTTTAATTGATGTTTTCTTTTTTGTATTCCTCAAATTTATCTATTCAAGATGGGATACACCTGCAGATGCCAGGCAAAGAGAAGCCTGCTTATAGAGATTCAAGGACAAATTATTGAAATTAGCTTTCTTGGCATTTTACAGAGCTATGACCCCTGGTTTTTTGAAATCTGAAATTCTTGGCTTTCAAACCTTAGAACATATGTTGCGGGCTTCCCGAACGTGGGACTCAACCGCCTCATTGTTACCAAAAGGTGGGGAGACCTTCTGGGGTGACTTAGATTGGTCTCCCGAAGATGTTCAGAATTGTGATTTGGAGAAAGTAGATACACATTCTTTTAGAAACGAAACTGATTCCAATGACAGTGAGAGACAGAAAAGGGAAGGTTTTCAACAAAAGGAGGCAGTGCACTACGGAAGAATAATTTCTTTTAGCAGAGAAGCAGCAACACGGCCTTCTTCAGAGCTCTCTACTCTAACTTCACAGGTAATCCTTTGGCTAGTTTCTGTGCATTGGAACTAACTTCTTTGATGGGGCAGATGATGAAAACTTAGCTCTTTCAACACATCCATTTAAAGAATAAAGCCAACAGAGAAATTCCACATAACTTGAATAGCTTGCTTAATGCATTAGTCACTATTTTTGTTGATAGGCGTGCTTATATATTCGAAGAGGGAATATTTTTCTATTCATCTTGAACAGTAATGACTAATGTGTGGATCTTGAATAGGAAATTTTGGATTCGGGTAGCTCCAATGATTCGAGCTTCTCTTGTAGCGACGTATGGACTGAATACGATGAGATGAGTAGGGAAAGTATTCAAAAAGTCTCTGAGAACAAAGCTTACACAGCAAAAACTGTGTTCGATCTACTCCGAGTCGTGGCTCCAAGAATGATGCAACGGGTCGAGAGTCACTTCTCTCATGGGATTGCTGAAGATCTTGATGATCCTAAATATGCTCATGATCACAAGTACTGGTCAAACCCACTTGAGACAAAGTAAGTACCTAGTGTTTATATATTTAAGAATTTTCTGAGTTTCTTTTGAAGATTTTCTTCCTATGAGGTATTGCATCCATTCAAGTCTTGGTAGGAGTTGATAATCCAATTAGCAATCTAACAACATCAAGAACAAGGTTCTGGAGGAATAATTCCCTTCATCCTCTCCCTCAATCTCTGACCCCCAAGGAAAGGAAGACGTCTTTCTTAACTTTCATTTTCATTTCTGTCCTGCTGCCACAATTCATGGAACTTGACATTTTTTTTTGGCAAATCTGTTTCAGACTACCAGATGCCCCAGATATGGAGATATACTGCTTATACGGAGTGGGAATCCCCACAGAAAGATCATACATCTATGACTCATCTTCTGACAAGTGTAGGAGACTTCCATTCAGGATTGATCTCTCAGTCGATGGAAAAGAGAATGGTTGTCTCAGAAGTGGTATGTATTTCGTGGATGGCGACGACTGTGTACCGGTCTTGAGCTCGGGTTTCATGTGTGCTAAAGGATGGCGAAACACAACACGATTCAACCCATCGGGCAGCCCGACGTACGTAAGAGAATACATGCACAAGGCTCCTGCTAGTCTGCTAGAAGGAAGAGGAGTTGAAAGTAGTGCTCATGTTGATATAATGGGAAATGTTAAACTAATTGAAGATATCTTGAGGGTGGCTGCTGGAGCAAGTGGGACAGAAGTTGGTGGTGATAGGATTTACTCTGATATCTTAACACTATCAGAGAGAATAAATATTAAGCTGTGATTCAGTCTGAGAGCTCATTTATATCATGGCCCATATACCCGGAGGGAGAAGTACTGTAGACAGAATTGATTTTGCACGAAGTGAGCTTCAATTGCAGGAAAACATAAAATGAACTTGCAAAAAGGAGAAGAACGAACCCATAGTTTTGGCAATGGAGTTTGTTCCCCTAATCTTTCGTGTGAATAATACAATGATGTTTGAGGTCTACTTTCTAAGCTCCTTTGAACGTAGCCATTTTCTGTGCCTAAGTGATTATAGTCTAGCCACTTATATAGGAGAAAATCTCATATATTTCAACGATACATAGAAAAGAAGAATTCAAGATACGGATGGATTCTGCGATTTGGTAGACAAGAGTGCGTACATGCAACTATGAAAGAACATAAGACGTCCCATTGTTCTTCTTTAGATATGTGTAAATGAGTAAAGTAGACACTATTATATCTCTTTTTATTTCAAAACTCTAATTTTAAATTAGCTATGGTGTAGCCACTGGCAGTAATATATCTCATTATTTGCAAAATTTCAATCGAAGTACGAAGCTTAAGTTCTTGATAATTAAGTACTTACTAACAATGTCACCGAGTCATGAGACAACTTGCTGGTGAATCATTGGATGATTGGGTACCTAGATAATAAACAGAATGAAAGTAATTAGCACAAAAAGGAACAATATTCTAATCGAACCCATATTTGCACAATAAATTCAGTCTATTCACGTTAATGCATATATACATTTATTGATATATATGATTTTTTTTATTTTTTTCCCTCGAGACAAACATATATAGTAATAGAAATATAAATTAAAATTTATAAGAAGAAATATAGACGCGAGAGCTAGACTTCTTTTGTTTAATCAAAGCTTGGTTTGGTAGGCCGTCGCCTTTCATTGGGTAAAAGTAAAAAACTCATATAAGTCGTCCATAGCTGTTGGCCTAAAAGAAAAAGAAACCACCGAAATCTAAAGATTCATAAGAAAAGGATCATTTTCTAATAGAGAAAAAACCCAAAGGTACGCAATAGGAAAGTAAATAAGGGTACATAAAATATAACATGATAGTGATAGAAGAGCAGTTGGAAGGTAAATAAAGGTACTCAATACGAAATCCAAAGTTCAAACATAAAATTTTGGGCATGCATTAATATAATTGCAGGTGCCCGTCTCCTCAAGCGAATTCAAATTGACTCTTCACTTTGAGTGGGTGAAACGAAGAGCTGTGAACAAGAAGCTGGACTCAATAAATGGCACAATTATTTATCACACCCGAAACTTCAAATTGGCCTAAACCACTCGATGTCCAGATTATAATTAAATTAAACATCTTGTGGAAGTGAACATATTGGAAACCTTTCAACCCTCTAAAATATGGATTACTAAATCCCATGCAAGTGAGATTCAGTGCCAGCTAAATCTTGAGGGCCTAATAAACATAAATTCGTACATATCAAGCTGTAAATGATCAGATTTCTTGAGCGTTTACCTTAAGAAACCACTTATTTCACCTTATACTCACTTCTGAATCTCCCTTTAAAATTCCCTCTTCCATGTCCCCAGCTTGGCAATTTAGGCCCTCCTCTCTGTTTCCAAACAAAACTCATTGCTAACTTATGGATACGACTTGCCTATCCATTTTGTTTCTTGTCCTTACTCCTGTGATCTCTCTGGCAAATGGGCAGCCCCTGGTTCCCGCATTGTTCACATTTGGGGACTCTGTCCTTGATGTGGGGAACAACAATCACCTCAAAACCATTGTGAAAGCAAACTTCCTCCCTTACGGAAGAGATTTTATAACTCATAAGCCCACAGGAAGGTTCTGCAATGGAAAAATTTCCTCAGACTTCACAGGTGCTCTATATTTTAGAAACTCATTTCAATTACTCAAGTTCATATATGAGCAATCCATGATCTAACTTGTTTTTTGTTGCCTTCTGAACAGCTGAGTACCTAGGGTTTACAACTTACCCAAAAGCTTACCTCAGTGAAGCAGGAGGAGAGAACCTCTTGATTGGATCAAGCTTTGCCTCAGCTGCTTCTGGTTACCATGACACAACAGCAGAGTTATATGTAATACTATTAACCCAAAACTCGAATTTTGTCCGTCTCTTGGGCCCTGCCCCCAAATAACATGGTTTGGCTTCTGGTATTGCAGGATGCTCTTTCCTTAACTCAGCAGCTGGAGTACTTCAAGGAGTATCAAAATAAAGTAACCGAATTTGCTGGGAAAACCAATGCTTCATCGATAATATCTGGTGCAATTTACCTCGTTAGTGTAGGGAGCAATGACTTTGTGCAAAACTATTACATCAATCCTCTACTTTACAAGAAATATACCGTCCATCAGTTTGCCAACATTCTAATCACATCCTACATAAATTTCATTGAGGTTTGGCTCCCCATCAAAATCATAAATCAATTCGATCTCTCAAATTCTTTTCAGTAATGCAGTAATAAATTGCAGAAACATTTATACGAATATTGTATCATCAAACATATGATTTCAGAATCTATATTCATTGGGAGCACGGAAGATTGGAGTTACTACACTGCCACCACTAGGATGTCTTCCGGCTGCCATAACGATCTTTGGATCTGACAGCAACGAGTGTGTGGCTAAGCTAAACAATGACGCAGTTTCATTCAATAGCAAGCTGAATGCCACATCTCGGAGCTTACAAACCAAGCTTCCTGGCCTCAATCTGGTTGTCTTGGACACTTACCAACCTCTCTATGACCTTGTCACAAAACCTGCTGAAAATGGTATGCCATGGAGATTAGTTCCGAGTGACAGTACAGGTTAATGAGTTATACAAAATCTAAAATAAAGTAGAATAAATATGCCACGAATATTTCACATAGAACCAAGGACCGGAAATCCACATTGATGCGTCAAGATTTGACCATCAGAATTCAGGATATGTCGTTAACTCATGGATAACAATATGTAGGTTTCTTTGAGGCAAGGAAGGGCTGCTGTGGCACAGGCTTGCTTGAAACGTCAATCTTATGCAACACAGAATCCGTAGGGACATGTACCAATGCATCTGAATACGTGTTCTGGGATGGATTCCACCCATCAGAAGCTGCAAACAAGTTCTTGGCTGATAATCTGCTAACCAGTGGCATCTCTCTCATCTCATAAATCATACACCTGAGTGTCCCAAAGTTTTTTCCTGTTCGAGGGATTTACTTTAATGTTGGTCGTGTGCTTTGCTTTATTGCTTTCTTCTGTAGACAAATAAAGTCTGAAAGAGATAACATGCAGAGAGTGTGCTATCTTTGACTATTGTCATTCTTCATCTATGAAAGAAGTTGTGTAACACACTGCTGAAGACGGCCACTTGAGACCTGCTCCTCGTGACATTAACCACAATTTTTGGTAAAATATAGAAGGGGAAATAAGTATTAATTTTGTTACTTATTCAAAAGCAACTAAACTGCACGAGAGCAAGAGTTAATTGTTATACAAGGGGGGGACATAGACATCAGAAGTTATGCATCAAAATAGAAATGAGAAGTAACTAAGGTATGAAATAGGAAAGTTAGTAACCGCTCTACCCTATGATCAGATACCATAAATGTAAATACTTAATGAAAATTGGTTAAAAAGATGGGTGGGAACCGATGAAGTAGCAGTCAATTCTTTGAGCACGATGCAGTGATCACTGAATAATATATGATTTTAGATATAACCAATTACAGCTAATTTGTAGTCTTAAAACCGTCTTCAAACCACATATAAGGCAAGTAGTATACAACTGAAAATTTCACAGGAGCCTGGAAGTTTGGAGACTCTGTCAAGCCTGAGACCAACAAATACCATCCGACAAACAGGCTTGACCTCGTTGCATAGTACAGCCACAAACTATGTTCCATTCAGTAAATATTTGTATCGACTCTTCCACTTCACTTGATAATGAATTCAAAATAATATCCTGGACTGTGTACTGAAAGGTGAGGCTGAAACCAAAAGGATAAACAAATAAAGCAATGACTCAGTACTGAGTCTGCAGTGAAGATACTCTTAATAGGAACTCCGTAGCAAAACATTAAAGATGTCTAATCTATTACCATTTAACTTAAGTGTACGTACTGAAAGTGGCTGAGAGTGACACTATACGTTATCACGTTTGGATTTCTGTTCGCTAACTCCCTGGTCATCTGAGTTTTGGAAACAAAAAAACAGGGCAGTTAAATAAGGAACTGAAGAATAAGAGAAGAATTCGAAATAAACTTCGAAATTAAAATAGAGCTTACTCAGAATGTTTACAGCAGCAATTCAACAATCTATTGACATCTACATCTTCGACATGATATTCATCTCTCACGTTTGTCTCTTCATCCTTTAAAGCAGTCCAATGATTTAAAATAGTAATTATCTTTCTTAACTAGGAGATGAGTAAAGGAAAACACAAATTTCATCTATAAAAGCAAAAAGGACCCATCAAAAATTGAAGACAAATTGAACGCATTAACTAGTAATAGGTAAACGAACTCAATTATCAGGATACAGATATACATCTAGAGGTTGGTTTCATGCAGGTTGAGATCAATTCACCCTCTTCTTTACTTGATTCAGTCATCCGCTGGTCCAGAAGATCATCCTCGATGAGATCAGTCTTACTCACTAGTAACGAGACGTACTCAAATAGCCTTGGCCGGGTCATCACATTTTCTTGAACACGAACCAGTATCCTGGCAATGATGCTCCAAACAGCATCACGTGCCTCTAAATCATCCCCAGTAAAAGAGAATATATCAAGTAGACCTTGTAGGAAAGACAAATCTGGATAGATCAAAAGTATCAATATCTAAGCCAACGCTAGGTGATTGGTGAATGAAAATCAAACTCATAGTTACCACCAGAAACTTGCCAATAAGAAACACAACTTACCCTGAGACATCTCAAAGGCTAGGTCAGGTACATCTGACAGAATATTTGCAATCAAAACCACAGCACAAACACAAGAACTGGAAACCTAGAGAAAGAAATGGGTCCATTTCAGAGATAGAAGGGTTCCTTGATCGTGCAAAAAAATATATATATATTTGCAGAAACCCAGCAGACAAGCACAGAACGTAATGATAGTTTAAAATATGCAACAAACAACGACTGAAGAAGGGAACTTCAGCATGTTCTAACAACAAATTAAAATATGACAATGGCCACACAACATTGGAAAGGGGGTATCCTACATGACAGGGAGCACTACGAATCCACACTTGAGCACCATATAAATTGTTGGGTGCCAAAAATCAACGCATTTGACATGCTATGAATGGTCTCACACTGACAAAAGTAAACGGAACAACTCTGAGGTCTTCAAAAGTGAAAGAAAATATTTGCAGACATCGATTCTTTATTTGCAGACATCGATTCTTTTATAACTGATACATTAATCCCTGTTACTATAAGGTCACATGTCTGTTTCTACTTTGAAAGCATCTTCAGGTACCTGAACTGTACCTCTAATACATCTGGCAATTTGACTAGATAACAAAGTAGCTGAAAAAGTTCTTTATTTGAACGTATTTCTTGAGAATGCTCTTCAATTGCAGAGAGTGCTTCAATTGCCCGAAGAATCACATCCAAAATTGAGTACCTGAAATTAAATTTTGTCAGAAGACTGATGGACATGACAAAAGCTACTTTGAACATGTATAAAAGAAGCTTTACTAATCATCATTTCTCACTCATAGTATCTACAAGCATTATAAACCACATGTCGCCATAAAATGCAGGTTAGATCTTCCATGACAATGAAACATACAGAATTATATAAGCTCTGTCAGAAGAACTTCTCTCTACTGTGTACTTTACTTTTTCCTCCTCCTTTCCCATCTGTTTTGAGGATCCAATGTTTCAAGACCAACTTAAATGCCTCAATCAAATAACCAAGATAACCAATTAATACTACAACATTTGGCATGAAAAACTTATCTTATATTTTAGATAATGACTCTCCAGACTCTAACCCCCAGCCGCTAAAGATATTGGTCATTAGTCAATGCTTACAAATTTCATAACATTATATTTCTTGATAAAATACATTGGGTGAAGGAATTTTCCAACTTGAGAGGGAAAGAAACCCACTTGGTCAATTGATTACAAAACATCTCAATGTCACTTAGGGTGCTAAAGAGGACCAAGGGGATAATTGACTAGTTTGCAAGATAATAGATATTTTCTCAACTAAGATAGAGAAGAAAAGCACGTCATTCATCCAAACCCAGTAAAAATTCAATATTAACAATGACATTGATATGTCCTGCAGGCAACCAATAAAGAAATAAAAGAAATGAACAGATTGTCTGTAAGAAATAAAAACTTGTAACATTAAAAGGCATGAAGATTCAATGTCAATTACAAAATTTTTATAATCCTGTATGCAGCATGTAATCCTATTACCTATAGAGAAAGAAGATTAATACCTTTCAGTTGATCTTTCATTTGTTAATATTTTCATCTCAAAAGCAAAAAGGTTGAACAAAACACTCGAAAAACCCAGCTTCGTCAAACAAGGGAGAAGAATTTTCGCAACTTCCTGCTTACTCTCAACAATGGCTGATAATAGTCCAACACTCTGATCAAGAAAGAAACAATTTAAGCCACTGATCAAGCTAATATTTTGGCATCACAATGATACTATGCTACAATTTTACTGTAACTCTTTATGTTCTTTGCTTCCACATGAACTAGATTCTGATACCTTTTCAATAAGTTGTGGATTTAAAGTGTTCTCAGAAACCCACAGAATACGAGAAAGAACATGCTCAGAATGCAAAGCCTCGGCCCATGTGATACATTTGCAACTTTGAATACCCGCAGTTAATAACCTGTTAGCCATAATAACCATAAAAAAATGTATACGTTACACAAACGAGTAGAAGGATTGAAGAAAATGTCAAAGCCCAAAAGTACATGTATATTCTACATGTCATAACAATTGCATGCCACAAGAAGAGGTACCAATAAAGGCGAATGTGGGAAACAAAAATTTTCCTATATAAGGTGTGGAAACATAGAATGGCAGGGTATGAATGTGTAGACCTGACCTCCAATAGAAACATTGGGAAAAGAAAGTTGCATGTAATTTGCGATTGGACATTATATAAATTGATTACAAAGGCATACATTTTTATGCTACCTGCAAACTTCACATAAGCATTGAGCATCATCTAGAAACAACTGGTTCACAATGATTGCAATCAATCCACTCTTAGCGACTATTTGTTTCATGGGAACTTCATGGCAGGCCAGGTTTCCAATAATTCCAAGGCTAATCTCCTGCAGTAAGTGATCATTTGAATATGGATCTAAAGCAGTTCACGACTGAAATCCTCAAAATTCCATAGCAATATTGTTTATCCATCTCTTTGCAAGAATATAAAAGATATGGATGCAATTTCTAACACAATGGACAAGGATTGTTTAAATTATATGTCACATTGTCACGTACCAAAACACGCACAGATTGTGAGACCATAAGGTTCGCAGAAAGGACTTCAAGGACAAGGTTCTGAACCTGAAAAATATGTAAACGTGAGTACTAAATAAATGAAAACGGGTTCTAATTGCATGTGGCAACAAAATTCATGATGACACAATTGCTAGAATGCCTAAAACATTAATGTTGCCGGTTCCATTAGTAAAGTTTCATATCATTTCCATATCAACACTACACCAAATTTGGAGGGTATCAGCAAGAGAAGAAAGAGTATAAATAACGAGAGTTGGAAAGGCCAATAATAATGACTACGATGCTTAGAAGAACATGTTTTTTAACATAATCAGCCAACTTCTTCTATTAACAAGACAAGTGGCCATAACTGAGAGAGTGTGTTTTTGTGTATGTGTGAGTGTGGGGGAACAAACCGACAGTACGAGGGAGAGGAAACTTGAGTACCATAAGTTCTGCATGAGATCTACTCGCAGAAAGATCCCACAGAATGCAGCCATACTCTTCCCAGACCTTTTCTTCTGATGATGAAATGGGTTGCTCCAATCTAGGGCAGGAGCCTTCCTCCTCACCTTCTTGATCAGCAAATTTATCAGAACCATCCGTAATTTCAATTCCCTGGCATTTACCTACCGTCCCTGAAGGACTTAAGACTCGGTCGCCTGATAAACAGGCATCACTTTCATCCATTTTGGCCACTGATCCTTGTCCTGGGTCGTCACGATCATCATCTTCATCAGATTTGCACGGGTTACTTGCGTTAGATGGCAAAAGTTTCCGTATTAGAGAGATGATATAGCTAGGATCAACCGTCGTCGAGATATCAAATAACTGAAAATCGATGTTGATAAGATATTAAATCAACTGTCTCGGCCTCAAGTTTTTTAGCTATTCTATTTCAAAAACAAGACTTTCTACAACAAAAACCACGAAGAAGAGAACAACGAACTAACTTATCACCGTTGTAATTCCAATTCATCGCATAATTTTACTCCGTGAATTCAAGTAACAAAGAAAAACCAGGATAGCGCAACTGAATGAACAAATGCAGTGCCTCGCTTAAGTTCCGAAGGAAATTGCAGAGCATCAACTGAACCATAAAAAGCTATAAAATGTGGAAGAAGATAAGTGGTTGAATCGTAACCTCATCAGGTGGCGCAGAAGGGTGGTGAGAGGGTCCATTCCGACCTTCTACTGGTTCAAAGTCTTGCTCCAATTCCGCTTCCACAGGGTCGCCCAGCTCCATAACGAGCTTCAAGAACACGATGAGCTTGTAGACTAGTAGTCGTCTTCAACCTTGGTTTCCCTCCAGAAGTTTCTGTAAAGCTAACGTCGTATAGCCTGAAAATTTCCCGGCTTCCCAGTCTCTCCGGCACTCGACCAGGTACCAATTTCGTTATCGGGCCGGGCCCAATATTTCGAGCACAAATTATCAATAATTATTTCATATTTATCATTTTTTACTTGAACAAAAATAGGTGTCTTATATCCGTCGAGTTACATTTGGATTGACCATATTTATCCAATCTTATTCCATATATGACCTTGTACTTAATTAAATAAATGTTAAAATATTATTTTTATTAATATATTTTTAGCTTTTGTCCATTTTAGACCTTATAATTTCAAGGTTAATTAGTTTTTGTTCACATACTATTAAAATGTTCGTGTTGGTCCCTATACTTTTCCAAAGTTACCATTTTAATCCAATTTACAAAATTTGAACACAAATTTTACAAAAAAATGGCTTGACATGTATAAATTAAGAAATTTGTTGTAAGTCACAAATTTTTGCATTTATTTTAAAGGACCGTAGTTGTTAAAGAAAATTACGAAAATAGCATACAAAAAAATTTTCATTGTTAATAATTAATTTGATATAGATACACCATACTACCTCATGCGGATTTCAAACTAAGTAAATAACTTAACTTAGATAACCAATTATGCAACATTAACTAAAACATATTTTTCATAGAATATTTAGTCCTCAAATTTATTCATAAAGAGCTCCGAACAGTCCCCCCATTGCTAAGGAAGTTTTCGAACTGCCAAGTGCCAACATGATCATGGCCTGTAAAGACAAAATACAAAGTGAATGAATAATTCAAACTAAGGAAAAAAAAAACATCTTTTAACGCTATTCTTCTTAAAAATACCTCTTAAAAAAATTAAAATAAATAAATAAATAAATATCTAAAGGGAATATGAAGATATCTCATTAAAAACCAATTCTCACAAAACCTACTAAAAATCTAATTATTTCCAGTCTATATCAATAATCTTGTGATTAAAGAAAAAAAAAAGATCACCAACTTTACTGCAGACAAAATGGCACGAATCTAGCTCCAAAAAAATTTACATTTTTAATCAGTTCAAGGTTTCAGGAAGTAGTTCAGACCCAGAGCATTGCGCTACAAGAGACCTACAAACAATCAGAGTTGTAAAGATAAGCAAAGCATACTCGAAGGGGCTCTGTCAAACCAACAAATGCTTAAAACATTCTGATGTTTGGAGTAGCTCGAAAAGGGCCTACGAAAAAACTGGTCTACCCTCTCGAAGAAAAGACAATTGCTTCATAATGTGTGTAGGATCACTGCAAATCAAGATGGATTATGAATGCTTCCGACTCCAGCAGAAGCCCTGAGCAGCAACAAACCAGGATTATATTGCACAAGATATGCCCTGAGATGCCACACGTGTTAAGGCTTTAATTATGTTGGTTTTGATGACGTCGATCTTGATGTTCCATCAATAGCTATGTTACCCATTCCGATCTCCATGGCCTCTCTCTCATCCTTCTCGCTTATTTTTGTAGAAACATCCCGATCTATGGGCTGATTTTGATGGCTTGATACAGAAGATTCAAGAATTCTTGGGACAGAACTCAGCCACGGATGGCTAAGACAGTGAGCTGCTGTTGGTCTCTTTTCAGGTGCAAAATCCAATATAGGAATAAGAAAGTCAGCCATGTCATTAGCATCTTGCTCGCTGAAATCATACTTCTCAATCAAGACCTTGTTAATTGGCCAAAAGCGCAATTGACGAATATGCCTCAGTTCTCCATATCTATTGAAGTAGTCCCTGGAATAGCGACCACCTAATGCAATCTGTAGGGGGATATTTTTCATAATATATGAGAACATTTCATGCTAGGTATTCAAGAAACAGCAAAAATATCTTTAAATATTAGTTTAAAAGAAGGTTTTATATAACCCTTGCCTTGCGAGGCATCACTCCAAGAAGCTCCATCATCAATGCTAAATGATCCTGTGAAACAAATACCAGAAATTACAACTTCCGGAAGAGAACTTCCATGTAACAAGTTGATGGTTACAGCACAATTACGTTCTGCTCTTCTCAGGAATGCATTTGCCGAGGATATTGACATGGCATGCATATAGTTATTTTTTAAAATAAGAAACAAAGACTATCTTAATACTAACACAACGAATACAAAATGAGGGCAATGAGTATATACACCCTACAAGCTAAGTACAGTACCCTTAGCTGAGGTACTAGATATATTTTGGGTTTTTTTTTTTTGGATAGGAAACAAAACTAGATACATTATGGTTTAAAAAAATCAGAAAGTGATGCATGTAGTTGAAACCAAAATTCTTCAAATTTTCCAAAAGACAGTCTTAGCGAACTATTCAGCAGGCCTGTGCGGTGTACAACACGGTTGAAAGTAAATTGAGCCTCAAGAATTGAACCAATTTGTTACAGTATTTCATTATCAGATGAAATTCTAAGTTATGCTGTTCCAACAAACAGCAGAAGAAATGCATCAAATAATCACAGCATAAGTATAACTCATCAAGAACTCAAACATACAACTTTCCAGCACAGTTTTCTAATACTCGAAAACGTGGGACCTTACTGTGAGTAGGAACATTATTAGAAAGTAGAGGTGAGATTTAGATAACAAATGTAAGGTTAAAATTTAAAATGTTTATAAAATAATAATAAAAGAAGAAGAAAAGTTCTTAACAAACCTCATCCCTTTCATAGTTGTCGCCGCTATGTGGATCAAAAAGAACATCGCCAGTGGCCAACTCAAAGCAAATACAAGCAAATGACCACATATCTGCTGGAGTCGAATATTTAGATCCAAGAATAACCTCAGGACACCTATACTGCCGAGTCTGAATATCATAAGTGAATTGCTTGTATGTCCAACATGCATTCCCAAAATCAACCAGCTTGCACTTAAGATCAGCAGCTGCCAGCAGTCTCTTCCTTGTTTCTTGGCTCCTTCTCCTATGACCTTTCTTCCCTTCGCAAGCATCCTTTACATCATCAGCATTTACTATCCCACCTTCGTTCAATGAACCATCTTTACATATTTCGGTCGAATCCCCATTTAACTTAACCCCATTATCAATATCTCCTGGGCCAGCTCTTGTAGAGTCTTCTGCATCTACATCTTCAATAGTTTCCCTCTCTGAACGGCCCTGAGCTGCCTTCTTAGCCCTTTTCCTTATCTTCTTCTTCTGGTTCTTGGTAAGATCCCCACTGTAACTCTTAACATCATTTAAAGCATCAGAACTAGTCGAAGTTCTATTCTTATTGTTCGGAAGGATGAGAGGATTTGCTGATTTTCTAGGATCCTTTGATGGATCAATCATAGACGGAAGCAATACATTCTCTGGTTTCAAATCAGTATGTATAATTGAAAGTTTACTGTGCAAGTAATCTAATCCCACTAAAATATGAAAACAAATTTCCTTCACCATATGAAGAGGAATCCCTCTGTAATCCGCATATTTAATAAGAGTCAATAGGTTGTCACCGAGGTACTCAAAAACCATACAAACATGCTGCCCATTTGGGCCAGAATGTTTAAAATGATCCAAAAGCTTCACAACACACTTCTTGTCTTCTAAATCTCCTTCTGCTATCTGCTTGAGAATCTTAATCTCATCCAGTGCAGCTTCCGTGTAATGCTGAGCACTCTTTTGAATTTTCAAAGCTACATAACGCTACAAACAATAAAATTCTAGTGTTATTAAAGAACTAAGTGCCTGGCTTGGATTTCCGCACATAATCACGAAACAGCGTAAAGTAATCCTATTGGCTGAAAACTGAACACCTTGCAAAGGACAAATAGTGAAATAAAAAAAATAAGACAAGGCAACATCAGTAGAACCTAGACACAGAATGTACGAGAGCTACCACAAAAAGTTAAAATTGGAAGCAAAACATTTAGTTCAGAGTTCGACAATGAATCTTCAAAACAAGATGCGTGCTGTGAGGACTGATCCCGCTCCTTTCAACTATTAGAAGAAGGGGATGAATACAATATGCATGTTTTTAACTCTTTTATCCCTTTCAGTATTTTAATTCTTAGAAAGCAAGACAACAAAAATCTCGTTTTAAACTCTTCTTTTTCTTGAATTCAAACCCACCAATCCCACCAAATTTTTCAGTAAAAATAAACAAATGGATTCAGTTCCTTGGCAACTAATTCTCCAACGTGCATTCAACATTCACCACGTCTCTTTTCTTCTTGTTTCTCGTTCCTAACCAACAAAAAAAGAAATCCATAACTCCAAATTGCGAGAGAGAGAGAGAAAACATACCGATTTCTGAGTGTCCCAAGCTAACCAAACAGTGGAGAAGTGACCCCATCCGAGCTTGCTTTGAACAACATAGCATCCATTCTTAAAGGAATCCCCAACACGAACCGCATGATACCCTCCTCGCCTATAATCCTCAGTCCCTTCGTCCTCCGAGGTGTAGTCAGTCTCCTCACACCGATCGCCGTTCCGAGCGTCCGCCATTGACGAGATGAATGAAGATTAAATAAAGAATTTTAGAAGAGCAGATGAAAACTATATCGTTAGTAAAACTGGAGTTTCGGAGATAAATCTGAAAGAAAATCTGAGCTAGGGCTTCGGTCGTGATGTCGCGACAAGCGCGATTAGGGTTTATTCGGTGCGTACCTACTGCCGGGAAAGAGGAACACTGCGGAATTAATGAGAATAATTTATTTTCCAAACAGAAGGAAAAAGTTTCGGTGGGTCCCACACGCCTATGCTGTGTATCTGTGATTGGAGAGTCGTGAATACGAGTTCGATTAGGGTTTCCTCATCTTTGCACGAAAAGTTTTAACTTCTAATTGACTGAATTTAATTAATTTGTTTAATTTCTTTATCATTACAATCAAATATTAAAATATAAAATACTTCCAATTCCTCGAAAAAAAAAAATATATATATATATATATATAATATTATACTTATCGATATAATCTTTTATTTAATTAAAACAGGTTGATAATGTAATTTAATATTTTATTAAAAATATAGATAGATAAATTATTTTCGATATTGTCAAAACAATATGCATTGCACTACTATCTTTCTTTGTCTAAATGAATTATTAAATAATTTTCATATCAAAATAAATGAAGGAAAAGAAAGGATCTCTACTTATTGAATGGAATGATCTTGAATTATACAATATATAATTGACATTGATTAAAGATAATATGTTGAATAAACTATTGTCTGATAAATTTCATATTAATTTATTTTTTAGAAAATAATAATACAAAAATATAGATACCATAATTTGAAAGTAAGTTTTTCTTTTTAATCGAATATAAGTTAGTTTAAAAGTATTGTTGATAATTTTAACTAGTTTAACCTTTTTTTTGTTGTTTATTTTACAATTGTTTTACGTGAATTAATGATAAATTACAACCACGATTTTCTTGGGATTGGATATTTAAATTATCATATTCTTGTTGTATTAAAGATTTTTTTTTTAATATATGCATATTACCTTGAATGGGCTGGTCGCTTATTTTATGAGTTGGGCCAACTCATGGTTGTCATTTGTCAAGCATGTCCAATCTTCTTTGAATTAGAAAAACTTTGCCAATCAAAATTTCAGTGTCACGTTTGCATATTATAAATAAATTTTAACAGCCTTATTTTTTTAGTACAATATTTAGGCGTTCGAACTCACGTGAGTTTTGAATTGAAATAAATATTTTAAGTAGTTAAGCTATGGTTAGTTGACAGTATTGTTAGTAAATAGTTAATTAAAAATTATTGAAACATTACAATAATAAATTAAAATTTTAAAATAATAGAAATGCGAATAAAAAAAGTCTGTATCATATTTCAAATACTAAATAATAATACAATTGCTAAATTATAAGGTTAGTATATGAAATTTTGAGGTTGTATCGGATGGATTTATGAACTTTAAAAACTATCCAATAAATTTTTAAAATTCTAATTTTGTGTCTAATATATCATTAAACTTTCAATTTCGTGCTAACGAGTCCCTATCCTATTTGTTATTTTAAAAAATTTGCATGTCTATTGGACACAATATTGAACGTTATTATCCAATGAGATACAAGATTCAACTTCGTTTCAGATAGTTCGAGTTGAGAAGTTGTATTAAATGACATAAAATAAACATGTATTTATAAAAATATCATTACTTTTTGTTTTTTTTTTCCAAAACTTATCAGAAATGTGGTTTTTGGTTGATCTCCTATAATTGTATAAGTTTTCGATTTATGTCATTTTTGTAAAATTTTAAACCTGATGCTATATATAAAATACATATTTATTTTGAGATATTTTTGTAATTCCCTCGAAAAAAAGGGAAAAAATATCAAAAGAGGTCAACGACATTTTAGTGGATAATCACTGTCGTAAACACTTTTAAACTACATAGATTCATTAAATAGAAGAATGGTCGATAACTTTGAATATGCATCCCATGTTGTAAAAAAAAAAACATTTAACAGATGAGTTTGTTAATAAACGAAATATCAATATTGAAATTTGAAGAATGGTATACATAGCTAGAATTAATTATGTGGTGGTTAGAGCTTATTTAATTGCCAAAAACGGCGTCGCTTTCCGCTTGATCAACAACCAAGCTATCAAATCGAGTTTCCTCCATTATTCTCCACCAAACTTCGTTGCTTTACCTCTAAATTAGCTTACTTTAGGCCAAATTTTATTTTACCCGTCTTGTTACTGCGACTACTTCCAAACTTCAACAATGTAGATTTTAGGTCAGCCTAAACATAATTCAACACGTTAAGATATTTATATGCGATCATAAAGTTATATCTTAGTTTTATTTTAAGTAGATTTTGACCAAAATATTATAGGTTCGAATTTCTTAAGAGAATAAAAATGTGTGGACAGAGCAGGTTGATCCCTCGTCATTTTAATGCCGACTTATCAGTTAGGGCCTCAGAAGAAAAATAATAATAAAACAAAAACTTCTGTATTTAAAGTTTCATTAAAATAATGGTGGGAAGAAATTATTAGCTTTGATAAGTCTGGAACATTGTTTGAAATTTCCTTCCTACTCCATGTCTCGTTAACCTGCTCCATTGTTAATTAAATATTGAAATTACTAGTTTTGTTCAATTAAGACAATATTAATTACAGTATTAAAAAGAGGTAATTTTAAATATATAAGCAATTTTGAAATTTTATAGGAATAGTATCATTTGGTTTCAAGAGAGGAAAAAGTCAAGTTTATGATATTTATTTAATGCATATAATATTTTTTAGGTTAAAAAATAAATTTGGTCCGATATTTTTTTGTTGAAATAACAATTTAGCTTTATACCTGTCCTAAAAAAAATTAGGTTTATACTTTGACTTTGATAGGTAAGAACTTAATTCTTGACATTTGAAAATTGTAACAATTTTTTTAAACAGAAGAGTAWAACAATTTAATCTAYGGTATAAAAAATCTTATCAAATTAAATGTTGATTCTTATTATATAACGATTTAATATTTGTAATTATAAACACAGTTGGTCCCTCGTTAGTTTATCAATTTACGAAACACTATCAAATCTTAACAAGATTTTATATGATAGGGACTAACCAAATTGTTACATATTAAAATTTAGGGATTAAATCGTTTTCAATTTAACATGTAAGAACTAAATCGTTACAAACTAAAAAAAATTGTTACTTCTACAAAACAAAGAGCTAAATATGTTATATATATGTTAGGTTATTCGTAGGATTGGGTATAATCTTTTGTAGTGTCGCAGTACAGTCTGCGAAAATCAAGTAGCGATCGATTAATCACGAACGAAAAAATCTCACATTTCACCGTGTGAAGAATTTGAGACAGCACGTATCTACAGTAGAAAATCTCTCTACCAATTTTCTTAGTGGTTTTTTTCTCATAATGTGACTCTCACACTAAAACCAACATGTATCACTCACATATTGTGATAGAGTGAGGGAGGGGAGSTATTTTAGGGAAACTCCTCCACTCATTTCAAATTCAAATCAAATTTGATTTTGGATTTAATAAATCCTACRCAATAAGATTCCTTCTACGAAATTAGGGAAATTAATATAAAAAATATATTAGTCATCGCTATTTTACCTCTAAGAAGGATAAATAAACTTACAATATCTTAATTATAGATATATGTCAATTAACACTCAGCTATATTGGATACAATTCTTTTTGTTAAACCGTGTAGATAAAAAATTAACATTTCCAAAGAAATACACACACATATATATTATATATAATGTGGGGCCCACATGTTTTACTTTAAGGCGATGGTAAACTTTTATTTTATTTTATTTTATTTTGAACAATAAGGCGATGGTAAACTAGAGATTGGAGAATGTGTTGGAATTGAAGCTTAACCTTTTTGAAAAGTAAAATTTGAAATGATTGAGCATTGGGTTCTGCCAAAGCAGACTGCGTGACCCACAACTTTTCAGATTTCATTTCGGCATATAATAACCTATTTCCCAAATAACAAAACAAATTTATAAAACATTACTTTAAAATTATAAAATATAGTCCGCATTCTTCTTTTTACCCATCAATTATCAAACGTGTTATATTATATATTCTATACTTTCGTTCGCCTCTCTGACTTCTCTTTAATTTTTAAATATTTTAATCCTCTTATAAATTAATAATTAAAATTTATTTACTGTCAATAATAAGACATGTTTGAGAATATTATAAAATAAGTAATTTTGAAAAAGATATCTAATTACAATTCATTTTATAGGAATGATTTATGAATGATTTGAAGGATTTCTTGCAGTACCAACAGAAATCTCTTATTAACCAATGCTTCAAAAATCATTTAAAAATAATTTTAGATGTTCTTAAAATCAATTTTATTCGTCTATCTAATATCACCGTTTTAAAAGAAAATATTTTTTTACAATGACAAAAGTGATTTTAGATATGTCAAAATAACTTTCAAATGTACCTTATATTATGACATCAGCAACTACTTCGATTCGTTGAGTCGAGAATTAATAAAAAATCACTACTTAATATATTAAAATAATGTTGAAATAAAGAGTGGTTGAATATGCTAGGTAAAGATGAGAGGATACTTTATTTCGTAACCTCAAAAATCAAAATTACCTTTGATAGAGAAGTAAATTAGGTTAAATAGAGATTTTTCATCCTTGGATGGGTGCTAATTTTTTCTTTCTTTTTTTAAAAAAAGTTGGGTGGATAATTCGAATTTATGATTGGTTAGAGACAAGTGTCGATTACTACAAAACTAAGTCCGTATTGGTATTTGGACGGGGCAAATTGAATTTTTTTTTTTATTTACATAATTTAAGTACAAATCTTTTTTTTTACACATAATTTAATAAAAAAAAACAATGATGGTGGAAAGCTATGAACCTAGATTTGGGCATTTGGGGGAAAAAGGATCATGGAAAGACAGAGAAAGAAGTACGATATATAATGGTGGAATTAAAAAGTTCTCACTATATCTGTCGTGCTCAAAATTAAGTTTTTATAAAAATGATGGGATATAATAATTAAATTTTGGATTCCAAACTCTTAAAAGATGATTAAACGTGAAATGAACCAAAAAATTTAAGTAGATGAATTATGATAAATTTAATCATATATTTGTTATCCAACTGCAACCAATATAATATAATATAAATGTACCTTATATCATAAGGTCAGTAATTATTTCAAATTCGTTGATAAGTTTAGAATCATATCATGCAAAAGGAAATAAATTAATATAATGATTTGCAGATACTTTATACTTTGTTTTGATAAGTATTTTATGTTTTTAAAAATTGAGCTTGGAAACACATTTTCCCTCCGGTGATTCTTGTGTTTGCATATGTTTTTGAAAATATTTTCAAAATCTAAGTAAAATTTTAGAAATTAAAAAAAATCAAAAAATTATKTTTATTGTTGAAATTTGGCTAAAAATTTAAATATATTTTTTAATATTTCAATATCAATACATTAGTGTTTCATGCAACCAAGTCGTTTCTTCCCCATAGAATGTAGTTGATAATTGATGAGCTTAATAGCCATTAACAAGTCTGATTCAACCAAAAGYCTTGAATAGCTAAGTGAAATTATCAAATTGATCCCTTCTCGAATTGCRAGGATTTACAACATAAGAGGGGATAAAGATGTCAGGTAAGACTTGGAATGAAGCGTCAGAAGAGTCCCTATCAACGTAGGGCAATTCCAACTTCGATGATATTCAATCTACCACTACAAGAGGCATCAATATTAACCTTGAAAATGCCCGATGATGGAGACGGCCAAGAACTAATACATTGGACTAAATTAAGTATTAACTCTAAGATTAGGGACCATTTAGTATGTTTAGGTGACCAAAAAAAGTGTTAGAACTTTAAAATGTTTTCACGACATTTACTCAATGCAACCATTAGATGACATAACATATCAATTTGTAGATCATACTTTCAACATGATCATAGCTTAGGAATAATAATATATATTCACTCTCTTCAAAAGTTGAAGGTTAAAATTCCCACCTCTTATATATGTTGTATTGAAAAAAAAAATGTTACATCGTGAATCATTCAATATAATTTAGTGGAGAAATTGTTATTACTCTCATAAAGTTAATGATTAAGAATACAGTATTTAAAAATATAAGAGATCTAATAATAGTTTATAATATAAGTAGGTTGTTCCTCGTATTATCAATTAATTTTGAGATAGAATCTAAAAATATTGATACGGTATCAGGTATCAAAAGTCTGACAAATTAAACAAGCAATCAACTTAAAAAATAGATCCCATCAAGATCAGTGAACTAAGTAAAAAACTTTTTTAACCTGTTTTGAATGCCCGCTCCAAACTTAGCAATTAAGAAAAAATGACTTGGACCTACCCTCCAAAAGAGCGCACCTCACCCAAGACTCTTACTTTTTTTTCCCCTTTTTCTTTTTCTTACTTTAAAGGAAAAAAATCATTTTCATTTAATTACTTCCACCAATCCAATAATTTTAATTAGAGCCCCTTTGGACATTCAAAAGTCAACCTTGATGAAACATCAAAGGAATTCTCCTATCTATTTTATTTGAATTGTAATGTTTTTTAATTTTTCACAAAAATTTTGAATATGCTACTTTTAATTTTTTTTTTTTATATATAATGCTTATGTTTTACCGAGTCTTCATGTTCTTCCCTAGTACTACCTTCACAATTCGGAACTTTTGTTATGCTTGATATGCTATATTTTAAATGCTTATCCTATTTCTAGATATCAAATAATAATTTTTGTAGTGCGTCTTTGAGAAAATGATAATGAAAATAAATAAATAAAATAAAATAGAAAACTCAGTTTACGGGGAAAATAATAAGATGTTTTATATTTGTAGTCAAATTAACATTTTAAAATATTAAAAGAGAGAAAATGTGAGAAGTGAGAAGTGCTTGGAATTCCTCTTCTGGGGAGGGAAGGGGATTCGCATTCACATTCCCAGTGGGGACCACCAGCGAGGGAATGCGATGCCGAAAAAGCTGCAGTACAAATAATAATAATAATAATAAAATAAAAATAAAATTGAGAATTTGAATTTGAATGCTAATTCCCGTTTTACAACCAGGTCCAGCCATCGCAGTCCCTCCTTGAATAACATAACGCTCAAAATGTACGATTTTCAAATATTTTATTATTATTATTTATTATTTCCGTAACAATTCTGTAAATGTAGAACTCAACCAAGTACCTATTTTCGATCAAAAATTTATGAGTTTGAATCTCCATCTTTCGTATCTTATATTCTAAAAATACAATCTTGTAATTAAATGTTGGTTAAAGTACAAATTTAGTTGATGGACTTTTAAATATTGTGTTTAAAAGGTCTTTGAACTGAAGGGGTTTAATATGTAGCTTGAAACTTTCAATTTTATCTATGACGTGTCTTAATATATTAGTTTATAAAAGGCCAAATATGAGAAATATCCATTAAACACAAAATTAAATTGGGGTGAGATTCGAACGTACAACCTTTTGTTTAGAGATGAGTGCTTATGTTGACACGTATTTTCTAACTTTAGAAATCTATCTTTTAGGAGAAACTAAAAGTTAAGTGACTTATTGAGACGCTTATTAAAGTTCAACACTACTTTGAAAGTTTATTGACTTATAATTTAACTTAAAATTTTAAATATATATGATATTAGCTAGTAATGCGTGTTTTATGACAATACCCACCAATATAGTAAGAGTGTGTTTGAGAGTGATTTTGAATTGTCAAAATCATTTCCCTTTCCCTTAATCATGTTTGACAAATTAAAAAATTTATTTTAGGAAAATTTATAACGATTTTAAGGTATCACTTAGACAGTGATTTTGAAAAAATCGACTTAGATCACTATTTTCAAAATTACTTAGTGTACCATCACTCTCAAATACACCCTAATACTATTGTTTCAAACATTTCCTCCAAAATCATCTTTTAATCAAGTTCAACTATTTTGGAAGACAAAATATATCTTATGTAAAAAAATATTTTTTCTTTTTATATTGGTTCATAGAATATTCTCGGAACAAATGTTGTATTATTTGTGACATTAATAATGACTTTTGCATGAACAAAACTTCAAAACCAATAGTTTAATCTAAACATAACTTAACCACAAGATATTTATTACCTTTCCAAACTCCACCCTACATCTATTAAACTAAAATAAAAATAATTTATTTATTTATTTTGAGTACAACTAGTGATTAGGGAATTCAAATTCATGACTCCTTGAGACATGTGTGAATTACTGTTGAATTAAAATAAAAGTAGTTTAAGTGGTATACTTTCAAATATATTTGAATTATTGTTAAATGATTAATAAAAAATTATTGATAAAAATTCAAGTAGTTTTTTTTTACAACAAATTAGTTAACCATAATGAATACCAAAGGTAAATTCTTAAAATTTTAGAGAAAATATATTATAGCCACCTATTTAAAATTTATATTGTAAATTTTTTGACAACCAAGTGATTAAAACTAAACATTTAGGAGTCGAGAGGGAAAAAAAACTTCGGTTTGGTCCTTGTTTGAATATTTTTATTTTGGTCCTCGTTTCTATCAGAGCAAGATTTAAAAGCAAGGGAATATCACAATCACGTGATAAAAATAGAGGTCCATATGCGACGGCAGCGTTTAATACGAGATCGAAAAACAAAAAACATAATCTGTTGTTTTAAAAAAGGAAAAAAAAAAAGAAAAAGAAAAAACAGAATTTGTTATTGCGTTTACCAAACAGGAAAACAGGAGGAGGGACGGCCGAAGCCTGCAAAAAGCGAGCATAGGAATAATAAATCATAATTTATTAATTCGAATTGGAACCCTTTTTTTTGTTAAAGAAAGAAAAAGACATATAAATACATAAATAAATAAATAATATATATATATATATATAAAGAAATAAAATGATAGGCTGGAATGTTAAAATTGATAGTTTCGTAACAGAGAACAGAGCAGCGGTAGCGTAATCCCAATTTCTTCACCGAAACTTCTGTTTTAGACTTTTATCCCTTTCGAACTTTTCCTCTCTCTCGCTACTCTCTCTCTAGGATGAACATCGGCAAGACTTTGCGCCTCGGTTATTTCCCCATAGTTCTCTTCGTCCTTGTTTTCTGATATTTTGTCTTTGTTCCTTCATTTACTCTGTATTTAATCGCTTCCGTTGGTGGATTACCGAAATTTGAGGAGGGATACAGGAATGGCCGCGATTGTTCGTACCGCAGTGTCGGTGGTCGCCGCGGTGCTGATGCTTCAGGCGGCCACGGTTCTCTGCGGGTTTCCGGCCAAGCTGAGTCTGGAGAGGGCTTTTCCGACGAATCATGGGGTCGAAATGGCTCAACTCCGAGGCCGGGACCGGGCTAGACATGGTAGAATGTTGCAGTCTTCTGGTGGTGTCATTGATTTTCCTGTGGCCGGGACCTATGATCCATTTCTCGTTGGGTAAGGGAAGGGAAGGGAACGAATCTTTTTTAATTTATGCTTTTATCTATCCTTTCGAATTTTTGTTCACCTTTCCTAATTTGAACACATGTCTTGATTTTTGGAACATATTTGGGTTTTTATTCCCGATTGAAACTTCTTTATGAATCGGCTCAAATTGATGCTTTGTTGTTAGTTTAACAAATGTATAACCTCTGGTTTCTTTTTTCCAGAAATACATTATACTTCTGTTATTTTATGCCTTCTCTTTTTCCCAATTATAGTTTTAAAGAACTTGCTAGTTTTACTTTTAAATTTCCCGATATCTTTATGTATCATCAATCATCATGGCCATTGTCCATGAACTGATCTTTCAATACCTTGGGTTCCGGCTCTTTCTTGATACATTAATCACCTTATTCGCTTGCCTAAAATTTTTTGGTTGTTCTACAGGCTTTATTACACTAAAGTGCAGCTAGGTAATCCTCCGAAGGATTTCTTTGTGCAGATCGATACTGGAAGTGATGTTTTGTGGGTTAGCTGCAACTCTTGCAATGGATGCCCAGAAACTAGTGGGCTCCAGGTGATTCTGTGTTACCACGAGTTTTAAGTCCATTTTAAGCTGGTGGAAGTGTCACCAAAGGCTAAGCCCTAACCTTTTGCTGCTACAAATTTTCAATTCAGTTGTTTTCTCCCCTCACAGATTCAGCTCAATTTCTTTGATCCTGCTAGCTCATCAACAGCTTCTCCAGTCTCTTGTTCAGACCAAATTTGCGCCCTTGGAGTTCAGTCCTCTGATTCTGCCTGTTTGGGCCAGAGCAATCAATGTGCTTATGTCTTCCAGTATGGAGATGGGAGTGGAACATCGGGCTTTTACGTTAGGGACATGATGCATCTCGATATAGTAGTTGAGAGTTCTATGACTACAAATTCTTCAGCTTCAGTTGTATTTGGGTGAGCTTATGCTTCATTCGAAAACTAGTCCTACTCATCGTATGTTTTTGTACTTGTATAAACTCCTTTGGTTGGTGAATTATCATTTATTAAACAGGTGTAGTACATCACAGACTGGAGACTTGACTAAGTCGGACAGAGCAGTTGATGGAATCTTCGGGTTCGGGCAACATGACTTGTCTGTAATTTCGCAACTGTCTTCACGAGGAATAGCACCAAAAGTGTTCTCCCACTGCTTGAAAGGAGATGATAGTGGTGGGGGAATATTGGTCCTTGGCGAGATTGTGGAGCCAAATGTTGTTTATACTCCTCTAGTCCCATCACAGTACGTTTTTTCATTTCCCATCAGTAGTTGAACTCCATTTTCATTATTTTGGTCTTGAGGTGTCTCTGAGTAACTTGGTTAACCTACAATCGAAATGTCAGCATTGTAAACTTATCCGAGTATTTGAAGGTTTGGATCAAATAAAGTCCATAAGCATATGGTTTCTGATTGTTGTTGGCATTAATTTTCAGGCCCCATTATAACTTGAATCTGCAAAGCATCTCTGTTAATGGTCAAATGTTACCCATCAATCCAACTGTCTTTACAACAACCAATGGCCAAGGAACCATAGTTGACTCTGGCACTACTTTGGCATACCTTGCTGAGGAAGCTTTCAACTCTTTTGTTGTTGCTGTGAGTTTTACTTTAAGATGTTTCTCATTGTTCAAATGGTCAAAAGCACCATCATGACGCTTCATGATTCATTCATTATCATTGTTTCACACTGTTATATATATTATTTTCTTTTATAGGAAGGGTGAAGTAGACTCATCCTTGGAAGTTTAATGGATATTGAGTAATTATAACGTTTATTTATCTCTATTTTGTAACTCAGATCACGAATTTAGTTTCACAAACGACACAGCCTGTTCTTCTCAAGGGAAATCAGTGTTATATAACCTCCTCCAGGTTGATTTAATTTACTATCTACATTTCTGTTTGAAGTTTATATATACTGTGAGAATCTGACTCTTCACTTTCGTCTTTGACTATAATAACAGCATCTCTGACACATTTCCTCAAGTAAGCTTAAACTTTGCCGGTGGCGCATCGCTTGTTTTGAGACCTCAGGACTATCTCATACAACAAAGCTCTGCTGTAAGTTTATAGCCATCATTATCTGGACATTGACATTCTCATAGTTGTATAACTGTAATAGGTCATAGTTTTCCTAAAAAACACCAAATTTTCATGCCTTAGAGGTAAGAAGCATTAAATAGAATCAATTTTATTTAATCGTACCTTTATTCCCATAACTTGTATCCTGCTTTGGGAGTGGGTTTGATAAAATTTTCATTGCAGGGTGGAAATACTGTTTGGTGTGTTGGTTTCCAGAAAATCCCAGGTCAAGGGATTACAATTCTAGGAGGTGAGTTCAGGGATTTGATCTTTGAGTCTTAAAACCATTTACTAACCTAAAATAGTGACATTGCCTCTCTTTTTTCCGGCAGACCTTGTTCTAAAAGACARAATCTTCATTTATGATTTAGCGAATCAACGAATTGGATGGGCTAACTACGACTGTGAGTTTCGACACCCCTGGTTAAAAGCGTGTTTTGACACATGGATAATGAAAATACATTCGGAACACAAATTTCTTTCCACACTCAAAACATGCACACTAGTTAATTGTACTTTGAAATCTGGAAAGGTTTTTGTGCTGTGAAATATAATTCAACCACACGAATATTATTTCCTATTGCATTAAAAACGAGGTTCACTCATCTTGCTGTGCTACATTAGACCAAAAACCAAAAACTCTTTATTTCTTTCAGATGTCAAATTATATTTTAAGTTGTTTTCAGCTTCAACTTCCAAGCAACAATGAAATCCATTCTGACATGTTTTCTCCAACATATTAGGTTCAATGTCAGTAAATGTTTCCACAGCTTCCAAGACTGGACAGAGTGAATCTGTCAACGCAGGGCAGCTCAGCGGCAGTGGCTCCGTGGAGAATCAGCCTGACGGACTTATTCTACAGCTAAGCATTCTTGTATTGTTCGTTCAATTATCCATCTTCACCAGCTTCTTCCACTCATAGCATCTAAACAAGAAAATTAGGATCTTCATTCTTTCACTGTATATTATATTCAGATGCCATCGTATAGTTATAGCCATTGAGCCGCTGAAGTTTCGTTTGTGCGCATGTCGCTCGTAATCCCTTTTTTTTTTTTTTTTTTTTTCATTGGTTTCTTGAATTAATATATATACAGTCCACTAGAATTGGTCTCAACTGCGTTGTAAAGTTCTTCATATGTAACTATTGGTTCTATACAAGTTTTAACTTATAAGAGCTCATACTTAATGATACATCCGAGTTGTCTGTTGTAATACAGTTACAAACCCAATGAATGGTTCTCTAGTTTGTAAACTTTGTTACGTTTACAATTTCTTCTGGGCACATAGTCAAAAGGCAACTGTGCCCATAAACTTGATATTAGGCTAAATTATAAAAAATACTTGTGAACGTTTAAAGAATCGTTAATATTAAGTTGATGCAACAGAATAAAGAATAGTACAAAACTTTTGAAATTATAGAAAGATATYTCATTAGCAGAAGTGAAGGGGCATTATTAACCTTGGCGTTCTCTCAACAATAAAAGGACAAGATACATGTCAAATTACAAACAAAACCTTGGGAGTCAAATGAGCATACATTTCACAACAGTCGTCATCTCACATTTGACCACGTAAACTTCATTATGTAATACTCTGCTTTCCAGAAATTTAGCCCTCACAAAATCTTTCCTTGGTGTTAATTCACACCATTTGAAAAACAGATCATCTTTATTGATCGGTACTGGCTCGAGCATCTGCTAATCTTTCTTGCTGCATCGGTTCTGAGGTGAATCAGCAGATAATTTCTGAAAAACATTGAAAAGATGAAGTTACAATTTTTATTTAAAAAAACAAGATCAACGTGAACACTGAGAAGTTGAGAGAACTTTCCATGTTTGCAAATAAAGAAATGGGTTAAGGAAAAATAAAATTTGTTGAACTCACCTCATTTCTCTTCCAAAATAAGTGACGTGCATGAAAGAAGGGAAGACAACTCCTCTTGAGTTGCTAATCCAAAACCTTGCCATCTTATTCTACCAAATTTGTCAAGCAGGAATATATACCTAAGAGGTAAAGATGTTGGCGAAGAATAATTGTACAACATTTTAGTTTGCTAGTTTATCTGATGGAAAACAAAAAAGGAACACTACGAAATGAAATAACTCATCATACCCAGTGAGAAGATTCAGTATTTTTAGCTCTTTTCTGAAGTAATAATGGTCGCCAAATGAGTATACAACCTGCCTCTGAAGTGAATCATTTTGTGCATTGTCACTGGATTTCCTCATTAGCCGAAGAAGCACTCTCTTAATCGGGTTCCGACATAAGAACCAAGAATCTATAAATGAAACCTGACAAATGGAAATTCGAAATGCTGTTAGAGTTGGATTCGAAACATGCATACCCAAAACACCATTAATGATGAGCTGGCTAAAAGAAACATTACATTATGGACTCGGTTTCTAATTTGGTTAATCAGATGACAGCTCAAGGCCACAGCAACGGAGTTCCAATATTACATATGATAATCATACCACACACTTAGGTTTCAAATTCCAACAGAACATGGTCATCTGATGTGGCTCTAGTAATGAACAAAATTAGCAAATAGTGGGTCAAATATGATTAAATATGGAATTGCATTACCTCATATAGCTGGACATTCTTTGAACTAGAAAAGGCATCGAGAAAAGGAGCACTCCAAGAATCAATCATGGGCTGTAAGGGTAAAAGTAAGATTGTTAGTTACCAAAGTGTTGTTTGGACGAAGTAAAATATGGAAACCAAGTTCTCCAAGAATCAATCATATGCAAGCCTGCCTGTCTAAGTCTGATGAAAATTTCCAGTTCCAAGTTCTCCTTGAAGACAAAGTAAAATATGGAAACCAAAGTGTTGTTTGGACGTATTTCATGTGGAACAGTTTTTTTAAACTGTTTTATTCTCTGCTAACTTCTAAAAAAATGATTTTTTCGTTGTTTAGAGATCATTGTGCTGCATAGCCCGTGTTTTAATTGATTCTTCACCAACTAAAGACTATTTTGAGAATAAGTCAACTAAAGCAACATTTAAAAATCCACCGTCCAAATATGTTTTTCTATTTTTCTGTTTCCTATAAAAAAAAAACAAACAAAACATTTTACACCATTCCCAAACAGCATTGAAATTTGAATATGAAGTTGGCCAGCATATTTTAGTACATTGAAGTAGTCTTATATCAGAATCATATTATTTGAGATTCTGAATCTCCAAAATGTTATTCTAGGCAAAGAAAAAGGGAAAAGAAAAGTGAGACAATATCTTTCCTCATAAAATAAAATAAAAGAAAGCAATTCATTCAACCACCTGGATTTGACAGTTGACACTTTGATCAAGGACGCAAGCTTTAATTCAAACCAATTGTCTTTAAAGCCACCAATTCAARTGTTGTCAGCCACTAATCTAGAATAAACTAAAGTAAGTTGTCCCATAAGATTATGGCATATAACTGTGTTTTGTTCATTAGCCAGCTTACTGAAAGTTCAAATTCCTCTAATAGCAATAGTAATGGGAATCTGGGAGTGATAAATGACAGTTCTCTTAAATCCTAACCAATGATATAATAATATCAGTGTTTACAGGCATAATAGAGATTATTATGGACTTCTCCACATTGTATCCATGCAAACACAACTGACTATAACAAAACAAAAAACGTACCTGAGAGCTTGCCCTGAAAGAAAGACACAGTAAAGTGGCCACAGGCAAGGCCGAACTATTGGCTTCAACCACATTAGCATCAAATTTAACTGGTAGCTTCAACGTTTTAGCATCAGAGTAGCTCACTTCAAAATCCGGAAATTTTACAGCAGCCACAGCCGGAATTAGAATCTTGTTAGCTGCTGCAATCTTCAAAATCAATTTTTATTAAATAAAAATAAAGAAAATGCCTTACGCTACCATCTAAAATTAACTTGACTTCTCATCAAAATTAATATACTACCTTTCCACCGTGTTGCTTAAGCTCTGAAATATCAGCGAAGTATCCTCTGTTCATTTCATCTGCACTGTCACAATTTAAATCAACAAAGCTTGTTGATACTTTTCGGTCTCAATTAAAACTTGCCGATAACTTTGTACTGAAACTTACAGCCGAGCGCGCTCTTTCTCAATGGCTGTTTTGTTTCCAAGCTGCAAAAATCCGAAAAAGAGAAACTTAATTTGAAGAATTACGCTCTGCATTCCTGAATAATTGCCTCAAGAAGAATGTAATACATATGACGGCCATGGACGTACATTTCCTCTAGTCCTAAGAAACATAACTGAGCAATCATTTAAATAAATTCGCATCAGATGGTGTCGGCCATGTGTTATTGAGTATCTTACAACCACATAAAGTAAAAATTCTTTGTCGAAAGAGCAACCAAAGAAGAAAAAAAAGGTCAAATCATCCAACATGTTCGTCAAATAAATTTCGTTACATTTTCTCAAAACCTAATGGATGTTAAAAAAAGCAATCAAGGTACCTGATAAATGTCGAGGAATCGGTTGGAAATCAGGTGAGACAAATGCTGCGAAGGAAAAACAAGGAATTTTTCCTGGTAACCAGAGAGCTGCATAGTTAAAGAAGCTCGAATCGAGCAAGCATGAGGTATTAATCGCTTCAATCCAAACATATCTCTGATCGATCCGGCTCCTCTCCGGGGTTTCTCCCTCACACTTTCTGTTGAGCCTCTGATGAACCCTAATCGGAGAACTGTACGGTCATCTCTGTGCTCCGCTAGACTGGTCTGATCCTGAGTTACACCGGTGGGTTGGACGTTGATGCGTAATGCCCGAATCAATAATTGGGCCTGGCCCAACATCACCCAATGKCGATAGCCTGTTGGCCCATTTTTAGATTCTTATTGGGCTAATTACAGAAGCTCTACCATTTTGGGCTCCAGCCCAATAGTGACTTCATAAAATAAAGTTTTTTTATTTTTATTTTTTTTAACAAGTTGGGGAATTCAAATTGAATTCATGACTTCTTTGAGAGGGAYYGAGGACTGCTGAGCTAAGCTCGCAAGGTTTTATTTTATTATAATAACCATAGTGAGATTTTGAAATGTGAAAATAAAAAATACAAATAAAAATATACATAATTCAGGATATTATTCAACCTAACCAAAAAAATAWAAATAAAAATAAAAAGAAGAAKAAGTAGAGGAGTAAATTGACTCACTTTTCTAATATTAAGGAATTGGATAAAAACATTTATAAAAATATAAAAACAAAATATTATTATCGGGCATAGTATTCACRAAACATGGCACGAGACATTTGTCGCGCATAAAATAGGATTGGCCCGTCCAAAATTCGATTGCTTTGCAAAACAAGTTCAAAATCAACATGAATTCGTAGAATGAAGGGAGTATACAATTGAGACGCAAGGAACCAATTTCCTAATTATAAATGTATCAATCAATCCGCTACCATTCTTTCTCTACTATCATTTCATTTAAACTTTTTTTGTTTATTTTTTGATGTAGGTAAAAACAATTAATTTGAGCTTAGAACGAAATCCTTAAATCAACTAAAATTTATCAATTGAACTGTTGTCCCACTTGAATCAATCACTATGTTAATTGAAAAGATATTATACAAATATATAAGATAAGTCATATTTTCTTTATACAATTAAACATCGACAGTTATGATATAATTTTAAAAGTAGACTTCAACTGATAAAAAATGATTTCATTCCAACAAAAAGAAAAAGTAAAATGAGCAATAGATTTTGGTCAAACATTTTGAATGATTCACTAGGTTTGGGCCACACATAGAGCGCATGGAGTATGCTGCCATCATTGCCCAAACAAATGGTTTACACCAAACTTGAAATGGAACCCTAAAAGAATTTGGTCCCAACAATGGAAAATTTCTGACCATATTTCTGCCTCTCAAGTTCTCAACTCACTATAATCACCAGCAACATTCTCTGTTTCTGTCATTTTCCCAAGAAAATATGTTCCATTGTCATTTTCCTGAGAAACTTCTTGAATCACTGATGTTGAAGCTTTTATTGCCTTGTTTCTTTCTTGAATATCATACAACTTTAGAAGCTGTGTCTGTGGAGACAATTTTTGTTGGTTTGATTCCTTTTGACTACGTCCAAACAAAGTCATTTAACTTTAATATTTTTAATCTTTATTCATTCGAAATCCACTTTTCATTACCGAAATATAATTGATTAATCTGAAATTTCCGAATTGCACTTGAAGTCTATCCAAATAATTGTATGAAATTAGATCAAGTGTATCATGAGTTACGAGAAATATAGTGCAACATGTATAAATCTTCATGTATTCCAACAAGGGGTGAAGCCAGCAATTTTGCGAGGGAGGGACAAAATTTTGTGATCTTTCATTTAAAAAAATTGAGAGGAAAACTMCACAATCTTTCTAAGTATTTCGTTTTCGGTTAAAAAATACATTYAGYACTTATATTTTTACTAGTACTTTCACTRAAGTAACAATTTAGTTTTTAAAACTTTAATTTGTAACGATTTAGTCTCTCTACTTTCATTAAAATAATGATTTAGTCCCTGAACTTTAGTTTATCATAATTTAGTCCCTCTAGTTTAAAATTTGTACCAATATAGGTTCTATCAGTGAAAAATCTTATCAAATTAAGTGTTAAGTTTTATAAAATAATCATTAAATCTTTGTAATTTATAAACATATTTGGTCCCTATTCGTTTATCAATCTTTATATATATCCCTCTAGTTTAAAATTTGTACCAACTAAATCGTTACTTTACCGAAAGTTGTTTTTTAATCTTCATTCTTTTTAAGTTGCGGCAAACTAAGGGAGGGCAATCGCCCCTCGTTACTTATTCACTCCGCTCTTGATTCGAATCACCCAATATAACATAACATCAAGTGATGTGTTGTTTATTACATCAAAACCCTACCCAATTCCTATTCTTGCTGACTATGACTATTGGAGTGATCACAACACAAGTGAATGGAATTGGAACTGCCAATAGTGTTGTTTAATTTCAAACCCAAAGCCCTTTTTCAAAAGTGATTTGTTATTGCTATGTGGAATCTTCATGATTTTAAGTGATGAGGAATGGGGTTCATCTGGACTGACAATATTCTTTGAGATGATGGCATATGGGGTTCTTAGAAGATGCATGTAGCTATGTAAGCCAATTCTAGGACAGAATGAAGTGGGTTGAATTAGAACTGGATAAGAAAGTCATCAAAAACTGTAGCTTCTGCTCTTGAGTGGAGCACTGCTATAATGATCTCTGAGCATGCTGTTGAAAGCAGCACTTTGTGAGGATGTGATCAAGTTTTTCTTTTCTAGCATTTCCAATATATGAAGAAAAAAGAAAAGTAATACAAAGTTAAGAAGAAGAAGAAGAAGAAGAAGAAGAAGAAGAAGAAGATAATCTGGCAACTCACAACTGAAAGCAAAAAGAGAAGCAGTTTTAAGCCATTGAGATTTTGAAGTAGTTCAACAAATTTCCACTTCCAATATTACTTCCTACATTATGCTTTCCAAAAGATCTTCAAGAGTTAATAAGAGGGTCCAAAACCACATAATGAACTTGATGGATCCCGAACACTGACGATATATTGAAATATAAAAAGATAGAATAGTCAAAATAACTCCCAAGTAATTTGAGGTACTTGGATTCTCCCTACTCTTGAGTATTCTTACTCAAGCCGAAACCATACTCATTAATTACTTACCTTCATTCTTAACCCCTCACTAATTACTTACCTTCATTCTTAACCCCTCACTGTATTTATAACCAAACTCCCAACCCAATTACTAATATATCCTTGATACCTTAATAATATCCCTAAGCTATCCTAATAACAATCCCATGAGAACTCACATCCCTCTTTCTCTCTTTGGTATCCATTTAGATTTGGATTCATGAGGCATCCACTAACCAGAGGCACCCATTATTAAAGCCAGATGAATGGTTGACTTGCTTTCAATTCATGCTTTTAAGTTCCAAGTGAAGGACACTATCAACACCATCATTTCCAAGTTTTATTTATTTATTTATTATGTTTCTTCTAAGTAGGGAAGAAAATAAGGCAGGACCAGTTATTAAGAATCTTTCATGACTCTGAAAATGGATTTTCACATTCTTTGATGGAGTCGATACAAGTTCATAAATTTATTTTTCAATGGCATACATATCATGCTTTTCATCTCCTTGTGAGTTCTGTTTGATGATGAAGAAAAGGAGAAAAAAATATTCTTCCAAAATAGCCTGCTCCTTAATCACCATTTTGTGTGGTTTTTCTATTGTTTGGACCTCTCAAGATCAGCATAGTACTCACTGATCCATCCTTTAATGATGCTAACCTCTGTCTCTCTCTGTTGCACTAGCCATTGCGGATCGGTTTCATTTGCGCGTAAAATGTCCAAGCAATGGGACCCTGAAAAATTTGAAACATATCAGCCCCAACAAAACAAACCTTTGGAGTTAAAATTTATGACTATGAATCAAAGGAAAAAGATGGAGCTAAAAATAACATGGAAGAAACCATCTGAGAATGTTAAACAATGGCATGTCCAATGCACTGATCAGTGTACTGGTATTTAATAAATACCAACAAGGATCTTTCTTTAACAGAGAAGTCAAGGAGTTACCATTAACTGTATGGATCGCAAGGAGACTGCCAGATAAGTTGTGCAATACTCTGTATTCACAGAGAGAAAGAGATCAGAGATCTAAGATTAAGGAAAAGTAAAATTTACTCTTCTTTGTGTGTTTAGGATTTAAGTTTACCCGCCACTGCTATAAGGATCTCTAAGTCCATTGGAAAAAATGATGTTGCTGCCAAATCTCTGAAGGATTAGTTTTATGTCCTGCAATTTAAATTTAGACAAGAAAGAGGAGATAAATGAAAGCCATTTTTGCAATAATTTGTTCTCAATGAAACAGTTGAGAATTGACTGTTAAAAAAGGAGATGGTTGAAATGCATACATGGCCTCCATAATAGGTGGTGACCCAGTGAGGCCTTGGAGGGACACGGTAAAACTGACTGCAGTAATTTTTGAAACTTCTAAGGTCAAAAGTGTACGGTGGAAACATAGTATCATTGCCTGTGCTTATTGGCATCACCATCTCACTGCATTTCTGAGTACACAAAGAAGCTTCTTCAGTGTATATATTATAAGCAATCATGATCGTCAGTACTCATTTCATTTTTTTTTACAAGTTTGAATTTGATTGACATGTTAGTTTGATCAGACAAACTTTGAGGATTCCTCCTTTTTTTTTTTTTTTAATACACATATATAATTTCACCAGCATTGTCAAAAGTAGAAATCAAAAGTGAAAAATACTATCAAAGACCTTTGTATTTTATTTTATTTGGAATTAAAAGGAGGGGTTATAATGAAGCCTATTTTACATCTCTTTACATGCTTTTCCATCTGCTAAGTCTGATACAGCTTTTTACATGCTTTTCCATCTGCTAAATCTACAGAACAAAGCTTCCTTTCTTTTCCTTTCATGTAATCTCAGTAACAACAATACTGAACTGAACCTTTTGAATTGAAGTGGTCAATTTACTGCTCAAGTATGTGAATCAGAGAGCATTTATTTGGTTTATTACTCATATATTGTTGCCTTTAATATAAAATTTACCTGCCATCTCCAGCCTATATCAGTTTCAGTTTCATTTCTGGGCCCAAGATTATAACAGGAAAGATTTCCTTTATAAGCGAATACACCTGCAGCTATTTTACTAAGAATTCCACTTCTGGAATCAGCTCCGTCAATGCCACCACAAATCCTGGTGACTGGATATCTTGGCGGGTGGTTGTATTGAGCTGAACTGGCATACATAGACCACAAGTAGTCTTCCAGCTGAGATGAACTATTCAGAGGACTAGAACATGGAGAAGCCACAAAACAAAACAAAAGATGTGAAGAACAGTTTTCTTTAACTTCAAATTTGGATATTAGAAACCATTTTTGCACCTGCATGCTTTGAACTCTTTGCTGAGAAAGGAAAGGCCACTAGGCTTAGAAGCAACCACTTCAATTTCGGACCAGGATTCTTGAATGGTTTCATAGCAAGTCTCACTAACTTCCTGCAACCTCATTCACATATTTGTGTTTCAAATTATCAAAAATTAAAAAAGGGAATGCATGATTTTAGGATCTTACTCTAAAATCCTTGGTCACAATAGAATAATATCCATTCTGTGGTTTGATATCATCAAAGTAAAGAATTGGAGCTGAAGATGCCAGAGCTCCTAGTGTCACATGAGGATATTTAAGACGAAACCATGCAGCCAACACTGAATACATAAGAATATATAATCTGTTATATATACTGGATAAGTAGAGCTTGAGGACTTTGAATGAGGAAGTTACTTACTTCCTCCATATGATCCACCAATAACAATTACTGGAGAATGTTTAGCATGTAACTTTTTTTTTATATGCATAAGAACGGCTGCATAATCTGCTATTGCTTGAGCTGAGTTGAAATAGCCTAGAGTGCTCGCATTCTTTAATGCTTCCTGCCTTGATCCAAATGGTATTGATTTCCCATAATATCGATGCTAACAGGAAAACAATGAGTCTTAGACCACAACCAAATTCTGTAAAAATCCTAAAGAAACAAATATAGACTAAACTGGTATAGGTTAGCTTTTACCTCGATATAAACGAGAAGAGCATCAAACTTAACCGCATTATCAGTCATGAATCCTATAACATCCAAATCGTCCTCCAATGGACCTTCAGCACCCAAGTAGGCAAGAATTGGTGCGCTGGAATTGGCACCACCCCAGTACCTAAAGTTGATTATATATCTGTGAGGGAAACTTGTGTAGCTATCAGGCCTATAGTTGAAGTGATCTAGCGTCTGATTGTAGTAAAATGTCTTGAAATCATCTGAAACAGGTGAAGACTTAGCTTCATCATTATGTAGAAAACTTCTGCCTATTGGACTCAGCCTTGGGATTCTAAATTGTGTTTGTGTTGCAGTGACACAGGTCGAAAGGATGATAAATATAAAAGGGAGACATGGGGATGAAAACATGGGAAAGCTCATGGCAGGGTCTTTGTTTTGGTAATTCTTGGACTTGGTTTTCTCAAACAAAGAGCTCCTTTATATAACAAAAAGTTTCCGGTGTTTGTTTTGATTCTCAAACTGCCTTTTGAGCAAATAGTCTGAAGCAATCAAATGATTTAGCTTACAACTCACAACTTGTCACTAATAGTAATAGATGTTGATATAATTGGTGAGTATAAACACGTTTTTCCATAGGAGAAGCTTACGTGAAAATACTAGCTCTTATTTTAAGGTATTCTAGGCCAAATAAAAATTTCATCTCTTTGGTGTCCATTAAGATTTCCATTACTCATTCACTGATCATAAGCACTGCGTTAAAGCCAGTGGAATGGTTGACTTGATTTGCTTGTAATTCATAAAGGCAAGAAACTTATAGAGATTTCATCTGCATAAAATGCTTCAAGTGCCACCAAATATAGGCATTAACAAAAAAAGCATCATTTCCAAATATGCAATAAAATTGTGGTCCCTTCTCAAACTTTTGCCTTCGTTGTTCTAAAACCAATTCAAGATTCTTCACGTTTGTTTTGATTAGTTCTATAGTAGTGCCTTCAGACCAATAAAGAAAATGAAAAAGCATAATCTTACACGAGCATGATGGCAACAACTTTAAAAATCACAAGATAGAAGCTTACAGAGAAGATATAAATACAGCAAGAATCTTTTATTTCTCATTCTTTGGTGGGTCATTACAAGTTCAAATTTTCAAATGATAGCTCAAATAGAAAGCATATCATGCTTTTCATTCCCTTTTGTAGGTTCTTTCTAATGGAGAAGAAGAGCAACAGAAATGTATCTCTACAAACTAGAGTGTCTTCCATCACCTTTGAGGAAGTTTTCTATTGTTTGTTCTTTGCTAGATCAACATAATACTTACTGATCCATTCTTTAATGATACCAACCTCAATCTTTCTCTGTGTCACCAACCAATCTGGATCAGTTTCATTTGCGCGAAGGATGTCTAAGCAATGAGACCCTACAAAATTCAAAATGTGGTCAGAACAAAACAAGACTCGCCTATTAATTTCCTCATAAAACTGTTTCTAGTATTATTTTTTGTGCCAGACAAACTTAAAGTAATAACTCATTATACTACACATATAACTATTAACAATTATTGCTAGTGTTATGATATAGGATGAAGTTTTAATTGGAAATCAAAGGAAAATAAAAAACTAGGGCCAATTGTAAAACCAATGAATCATAATCCTCCAAGATACAAAAGTTCTATATCTGGAATGGCTTTAAATGACAACGACAAACTTAGATAGCACAGAATTTAAAGCATTACCATTAGCTGTATAAACTGCAGGGAGACTGTCTGATATATTGTATAATACCCTGGTGTCAGAAAGAGGCAGATAATTAAGCAAAGTAACAGTTATCATCTTTATCTATTAGTGGGGATTGCTATTATGTTTACCCGCCAATACTATAAGGATCTTTGAGTCCATTGGAAAAAATGATGTTGCTACCAAATCCCTGAAGGATGAGTTGTATATCCTACAATTTAAATATAGAAAGAAAACGAACCCGAATTAATTCTTTTTTTCTTTTTTTCTTAGTACAAAACCTGAACTAATTCTTGTAGATAAGGAAATAATTATGTTTTCAATGAACTATTAAGAATTCCCGTTAAAAAGGAAAGATGTAGCAGTTGGAATGCATACATGGCCTCCATAGTAGGTGGTAACCCAATGAGGCCTGGGAGGGACACCATATAATTGATTGCAGTAACTGATGAAGCTTCCAAGGTTAAAAGGGTATGGTGGAAACATATCATTGTCTGAACTTATTGGCATCACCATCTCACTGCATGTCTGAGAACAAAAAGAAACTCTTCAATGTATAAACAATCACCACCATGAATATTGTTTGCATTCTTTTGTCAAGTTTGAAGTTTGATTGATATGTTAACTTGATTGGCTTTTACAAAGGAAAAACAAGTAAGTCTTGTCTTCGCACTTCTAGCTTCCAACTTTTTTTCAAATTCAAAAGAATAGGAGTTTTCATTTTATATTTTTTTTATCCTTTCAATTTCTTCTTTTCATTTCCAGAACTTCAAATTTTACCAACATATTTGAATGTAGAAATCAAAGGGGAAACATATATCAACGCACGTGCTTTTGGAAAAAAAAATATATAAAACGGTTATCAAAGAAGCCTAAACTCCTTTTTGTATTTCCAACTTTACATCTTCTCTATGAAGACAAGTAAATCTCAGGTGAAGGAGGTCCAAGACCACTTTCTACATGCTGATTCTCCACCGGTTGAGCCTACCAGACTTAATTCCCTTTTTCTTTTTTCCTTTCATGTAATCTTAATGTAATCTTACTATTTCTTATCTCATATTTTCTTTGATTGCTTATTTATTTGTGTTAGCACGTTAGGTCTGATTGAATAACAACCTAAATTTCGAAGAAAAACAAAAGAGAACAAATTACTGAGTTAAACTTTCTGGTGATCACTTTACTATAAGAAAATATACATGTGAATCAGAAGCTCTTATTTGGTTTATTTTATATATACGGTTGTCTCCAGGAGAAATTTTACCTGCCATCTCCATCCTACATCAGTTTCAGTTGCATTTCTGGGCTCATTAATATAACAAGACAAATTCCCTCTGTAAGCAAATACACCTGCAGCTATTTTGCTAATTATTCCATTTCCAGAAGAAGCTCTGTCAATGGCACCACATATCCTGGTGACGGGATATTTTGGCGGGTGGTTATATTGGGCTGCAGTGGCGTACACAGACCACAGGTAGTCTTCTAGCTCAGAGGAACTTCTTAAAGGACTAGAAAATGGAGAGAGAAGAAAGGGAGAAACAAAACAAAACAAAAAGATGTTAAGTACAGCAATCCAACTTCATCGAATTTGGACTAGAGAAAATTTTACCACCGGCATGTTTTGAACTCCTGGTCAAGAATGGAAAGGCCATTAGGCTGAGAAGCAACCGTTTCAATTTCAGACCATGATTTCTTAATAGCTTCATAGCAAGTCTCACTGACTCCCTGCAAAGTCAGTTCACATATTTGTAATTCAAAACATAAAAAAACAGATATAAAAAGAAACGGAAGCAGGATTTCAACTTCTTACTCTAAAATCCTTGGTGACAACACTGTAGTATCCATTCTGTGGTGTGATATCATCAAAGTAAAGTATTGGAGCTGAAGATGCCAGAGCTCCTAGTGCCACATGAGGATATTTAAGACGGAACCATGTAGCCAACACTGACACAAAAAATACAAGCATGTCCTATAAGATACTGGATGTAATAGAGTTTGAGGACTATGAATGAGAGACTACTTACTTCCACCATATGATCCACCAATAACAATCACGGGAGAATAGTTAGCATCAAGCTCTTTTTTTATATGTATAAGAATGGCTGCATAATCTGCTATTGCTTGTGCTGAGTTAAAGTATCCAAGAGTGTTTGCGTTTCTAAGTGCTTCTTCCCTTGATCCAAATGGTATTGATTTTCCATAGTACCGATGCTGGCAAGAAGACAGTGGGCCTTAGTCCGTAACTAAATTCTTTAGAAACTCTGAAATAACAAATATGAATTAAAGACCAGAGTGTGTTAGACTTTACCTCAATATAAATTAGAAGAGCATTGAACTGAATGGCATTATCCGTCGTAAACCCAATAGCATCCAAATCGTCATCTATTGGTGCTTCAGCACCTAAGTAAGCAAGAATTGGAGCGCTCGAATTTGCACCACCCCAATGCTTGAAGTTGATTATATATCTTTGAGGGAATGTTATGTAGCTTTCAGGCCTATAGTTGAAATGATCGAGTGTTTGATTGTAATAGAATGTCTTGAAGTCATCAGAAGGAGGTGATTCCAGAGCTTTAGAATGATGTAGAAACTTTTCACCAATAGGACTAAGCCTTGGGATCCTAAACTGCAAAGCAGTGACAGAGGTTGAGAGAAAGAAAAGTAAAAAAGAGATCCATGGGGAAGAGAACATTGGAAACCTCATGCCAGGATGCTTGTTATGATAATATTTCAAGCTTAGTCATTTGTAGCAAATAAAGCCATATATAGCAAATACTTTCCCCTTTTTATTTAGCAAACTGACTTTGAGTATATGCTGACACAGCATAACAGACAGTTATCAAATGGTTTAGCTCACAAGCTCCAACTTATAATCAAAATTAAACATATTTTAATATAATAAGTGGGTGAAGCCCCCAAGGGCAGCTCAATTGGCAAAGACTTGGGACATACTGACTTAGAAGTCTCAAGTTTGAACCTTCTATTGGACTTGATACCAAAAACCCTTGATGTCTCTTGAGTTCGGGCCTTTGGACGGGTGCGGGTGACCCTGGGCATAGGGGAGCAAAGTTTCGACTCCCAATTATATAATATATGCGTGTATATATATATATATAAAATAAGTGGGTGACCAAGTTTGTGCCATTGAAGAAGTCTTTGTAAAAACGTCTGTCCTTATGTTGAAATGACTTGGAGGTGCAGTGACATTCCAGAGAAAGCGAAAGGCATTGACAATGAAAATTATTCAAGTATCAAACAGTACACATTGCCCATTTGGCAGCCCAGATGTAAGTGAAACGCCATGAAATTATGTTAGCATGCTCACATTGACTAATTTTCTCGTATTAGTTTAAGGAATTTGATAGATATGTATGACTGAATCAATACAACCATGGAGAAACAGATCATTTTGCAATTGGAAGCTTCGCAAAACTATTCTACATGTAAACAAATGGAGGATGATGTAATATGGATTGAATATTTTTTAATAAACTCGTTCAACATTATGACTGATCAAATGCTATAGTTTTTTTAATAGGAGAACAAATTGGATGGAATTGAAAAGAAAGTCAGTTTGAGCGCGTAAACAATTGAATATAAGAAGAAACAGAACCACAAGAGACAGAAATTTCACCTTGATATCTCCTCCACGAATGTGCTGCAATCAGAAGACGGTAGGTATCAACAAGAAAAAATCTTCTACTTTCCCGGGAAACAAACAGAAACCAGAATTGAAGATGAACTTGGGAAGAGTTGAATCTTGCTCTTACCTTCGGCGTGCGTTTGTATTTGAAATAAAAAATGACGAATAAATACTCGGTTGTATGCCGTAGGCTCGCACAATACAATATTGAAATTACCGTTTCATTCCTTTTTCATTTATTTGGTTTTTTTTTTTTTTGAGTTATTGGGTAACTTTTTAAAAAGAAAAAAAAATCTAAAAACAAAATTGTTTTTGAAATAAAATGCCAAGTTTTATTATTTTTTTTCCCAAAAAAATCAAAATTAAATAAATTACTTCTAAAATAATTATTTAGTAGTTTTCTATTCATCACTTTATCAAAGCTTGTCATCAATTTAATATACAATAGTTTTCAATCTCGGTCAATTGTGAAATATGATAAGAAAATGATGCAACGAAAGAAAGTTGTTTTTTTTTTCCTTTTTTAATATTTTTAAATTCAAATTTGTTTCTGAATTGCAAGAGACTTTTCTTCTAGCACAACAAAACATAGAGAAAATACAACACAACCAAATTGTAAAAATACTTTATATCTCGTTTCCAAGTTAAAATTGACAAAAAAGAATATTTTTAGGTGGATTACCACTAAAAATTAATTTGTAAACTTTTTATTTCTTTTACTTATCAAAACTTTAATGATAATCACTAAAAGATAGATGTTGACTCGTCATCACCTAAATATAATTTTTATCATATATACTTTTTGTATTCATTGTTTAGCGATACCAACAACCTCAGTCTTTCTTTGCACCACCAACCATTTAGGATCAGTTTTAGCCGCCCGTAGGAGGTCTAAACAATGAGATCCTATATATAGATTTCAAAATGTATTAGTCAAAACAAAATAAGCTTTATAATCAATTAGTCATTAACAATTATAAATTGCTAGTGTAACAATATGGTAGGGAGGTTAAGGTTGTTATAAATATTAGTGGTATACACTGTAACAAGACTGTTATAAACAATCATAATCTTCCTAATATAATAATATCACGTTAAATGTCAAACTGAACATAACTCAAATGGTTAAGGCACCTATCTCTGACCAAAAGATCATGAGTTCGAACCTCCACCCCACATATTGTATTAAAAAAAAACAATGCTTATATAAGATAATTGATTAAAGTTGAGAAACCTATTACATACAAAATATTAGTCAAAATTAACAGTCAAATAAGTCTAAGGCCCATAGTTCTAAAAGAAAGAAAAAGTCTAAGGTCTATCTAGAACTATTTTCCAAACATACTCAACTGTTTTTTTTTTAATTTCTAGAATTAAATAGACACTAAATTCAATTTTTAAATACCAAAAAAATGTACTTTTACATTTGAACCTATAATATACGAAAGACGTCGTATATTTCTATTAATTAAAAACAAAACATAAAATATACATCTATATATTGTTTAATTGAACAATACTAGCTAGCTTTAAAACAAATTTCGTCAAATTTAATATATATGGTTCGAACTTTCATTGATTTTGCAACCATATACAATATATAAAAGACATCAAACATTACTTTCTTGTCTCTGTTGTTTTAATTAGACTGTATGCTCTTTTGTTAATATATGAAAAAAAAAACAAAAACTGTATATGTTATTTATCTTTTCCTTCTCCTTCTCTCATAATTTAAGAAGCTGGCGAGTCTGTGATTGCACCCACCATATCCAATGCTACACACGGTTGATCAACTGGCACCTATGTGTATAATTAAAAAAAATAAGGATTAAAATTTATCCCAATCCTCTAAGTTAGTCTCTAAAATTTTAATAATAAGAAAATTGAATGGCTTACATAGTGGCCAGCTCCAAGGATCCAATAGAAGTGGAGGTTCTTATATGATCGGGTGAAGCCCTTGGTGTGTTTCTCATTTCCACAAAATAGTGGAGTTCTCACCGTGTTTAAATATTCTTTAAGCCCATCCCACCTAATTATAATTAATCCACAAATTAAAAACCAACCATAATTTATAATTTAGAGAGGAAAAAAAAAGAAAAAGAGAGAGACTTGAGCTTATCAATCCATGCTTCTGTTCCCTTAGTTGAACAAATAAGATCAACCTAAAAAAAAATCATATAAATTTAAATGCATAATAGATTAAATAATAAATAATAAAAATAAAAATCTTACTTGACCATTATAAACAGTCATATTAACACCTTTAGCAAGCAACTCATCAACCTGCTCAAAAGAGAAAAATAAAAATATATTTATTGAATAAATTAAAATCAAAATTAGTTAGTTAATGGACATACCTCATTAATTCTAGGTTTCATAAAATCTCCCGCAAAAAATTGAAAGACGGATTCTGCTTGACCACCCCACCTGTTCGTACAAATTCGAATTTATTACTATATCATATAGTTTTAACGTACGAAATAAGTTTCTTTTTTTTTTAAATTTATCTCCGAATTAAGTAAGCAACAGTAATTAAAAATGTGTATGAGAAAAAAAAGAAAAATTTTAAGTACTGACTTAAGATTTTGTGGTATGATTTGGAGTTTTTTCTTAATTTGTCCATTCATTAAGGCGTCCAAGTCTGCTCCACCTCCAGGTTTGTACCTTCGGAAACTGAGATATTGAGAGTATCTTTTTAATTTTTGTGCACCAATTTCATTCCTTTCTGCACTCTCACTTACACTTCCAGATATTGGATCCATATCAGAATCCAACATAAAGTTATAGAAATCCTGCAAAATTAAATTAAATATCAAAAACAATTTTACTTATCAAAATTGAAAGTTCCTTTTTTTTTTTTTTCCTTTTTTTGAGTTCAACAGCGTGGAAATTGAAAATTCTAACATATTTGGAATGAAAAATTTTTAAACTTACCACATTGTTGCTCGTAGTGGTAATTATTTCTTCAAGCTCGCTCCAGGAAAGGGTTGCATTCTCATAATTCCCCTCTTTAATTTGCTGACTGATCTTTAAAGCTACTCTGTTTTTACAAATGCCTTTAGATAACTTTAAATGTAAAAAAGTTCTATTAAAAAAATAAAGTCTTTCAAATAAAAAATAAACTCAAAAAATAAATAAATAAAAGAAAATTTAGATAATCAGTTTGTTCCTTACCTTTTAAGTTAATGTCTAATAAACCTTTCAATTTCTAAATTTCGTGGTGCTAATAGATTTTAACATATAAAAATTTCAAATATTAAAAATTATTGAATTGATGAAAGATTTGGTAGACACAAGAAAGAATTTCAAGAATCTATTACCTACAAAATTAAAAGTTTAATAACCTATTTTACAGCACATAAATTTCAAATTTTAATGATTGAATTTATAATTTTAACCATATATTTATTACGTTTTTTTTTGTATATGCAATAAATAAATATTCTAAATGGATAATATAGAATTGAAAAGTGAAAAACATTGACCTGTTTGAATTCTCCAATCCAATGCTGCCAAGCCGTGAGAGGTCTTTGAGAAGTGGACCCCACGAAGACTGCAGTTTTTTTTTAAAAACAGTTTTATATTATTATATTTATATCTCTGAGGAAAATTGCATACAATGTGGAAAATAATGTCGAGGAAATAAATATGATTTTGGACGGACAAAATTGAGAGAGAGGGAATACGAACCGTGTAATCTTCCGGGGAAATCCAGCTGTCTCCTAAGGCCACTCCTGCAAATAAAAAAATTAAAACAAAAAGAAAAATTCATTGTACTAGTGAGAGAGACATATTTAAATTACTCAAATTTGATTCCTATTATATTACTTTTTCTTCTAGCTTGTAACAAAAATATCATTTTAAATTATTATATAATAAATAAGAAAAACTTGACCATAGAACATTAATTCTAACGATCTGATTTGATTGATTCTTAAAATGTAATTAAAAATGTTCTATTTTAGTCAAACTTTCCCTTATCTACAATGTTATATGCCAAATACAAAGCATTGTAAGGTGTGAAATGCAAAATATATAATTATAATTCATAAGAATAAAACTATAGGCTTGCATATTTAATTTTGGATTATACATAAATTTATGAGATGAAGAAGCATGAAAATGAATTAAAAAAAAAAACCTCTGAGGTTAAGCTTTAATTTGCCGGCTTGGATGGCCTGAAGGAGGACGAGTGCAAGAGTGACAGCAAATTTGCCCCCATAAGACTCCGCAATTATATACAGAGGACTGTTCTGTAATCCGACAATATCGTTCGAAACCTCCGTTAGTAGAGTCGTCATGTCGGCAGCCGCATCCCCATCGCCTTTCGCAAATTCCCCCGTATCCTCCACGTAGCTGTATCCCGTCCCAACCGGATTATCCTATTTTGTTTTAATTTTAGAATCACATTTCAAATTCAATAATTAAATAATAAAAACACTAATAATAAATTAATGGAAGTGGAGATTACCACAAATAAGAGGTCAGCTTTTCGCAACCAAGTCGAGCTTCTTGGCTTCAAATTGGTGTCCAGTGGCCCAATTTCTTCAAAGTTCCCTATCCCAACTCCGGATCCACCCTGTGTTTCCATCCAAATTATTATAATAATAATAATTATTAAAAATACATATTAAATTTAAAATTAAGAAGGAAAAAACCGCCCACCGGTCCGCCCTGTAACCATAGAATGGTCGGCCACGGCTTGGAGGCCTGGTTGACTTTAAAAGGGCTTCTGTAATGCCACCAGAACATATGCGCTTCTGAACAACACAATTCCAATAAAATTTAAAAAAAACATATGTAAATAAATAAATAAATAAATAATGTTATTATGTTTAAGGATTGGAATTAATGGAATTGTGAAGAAATCGACTTACTGGGTCTGACTTCAACGTAGCCCCACTTTTGAGTTCCATCTGGGGATTTCTGAGTTATGGCATTTCCCAACTCAAAAACAGAAGAAAAAAATATCACAGCACAACACAGACCAAAAGGGAACAATGGTTTAGCCATTTGAGGGCGTTTTGCGTTTTGGAATTGAAGTGCAAAGGAAAAAGGTATTTATAAATAAATAAAAAGATGGGATTATTTTTGGGCATTTATTAAATGCATTGCATTCAAACAGACAAAAAAATGGAGATTTGGTCCAGGGAGAATGCTCCACTCTTAAGAGAGCGTTAAGATCAGGGCGTAAAAAAAAACGCCTCTCTTTCTTTTTATGGGGAAGGGAAAGTGAACATCAAGAGACAACGGCAAGGACGAAAAGAGAGACGGCAAATACTGCAGGAATTTGGACAGCACAAAATACCATAACGATGCTGATCTAATCGTATGTTTTGAGTAGCGATGACAGCGGAGTGGGATGAGGTAGGTTAATCCTCGTCTCTTCTTATTTTAAAGATTTGAACTAAACGAGTTGTAATATATTTAAGCTCTGTTAACCAAAGAATTATTTAACCAAATTATAACAAATGGCTGGTAGTTTTACACAATATTGAATGAAAGGGTTATTAGGGACCATACATATTTCCAACCATTACTAGAGGGTAGTCATAAGATGGTAACTGTATAACATCATTTTCTCTACTTATGCTTATTTCATTCAATTGATTTTGTAATTAAAAGTAGACAAAATTTAATAAATATTTGGTTTAAATCAAACTTAAGAGAAAATTAACTTTCTGAATTATTTGCTATTTATATAATTAAATTGGAAGTTAAAAATGAAGTTTTGTTGGGTTGAATATATTAAATATTTAGTTCCTTATCGGTTATCGGTGATGACCAAACTTTGTACTATTCTTATGTTTGAGAACTCAACAAAGAAAAAAATTATTATCCCGTTTCGTGGACGAAAGTGAATCGGTAGGGAGGGATCCTTAGTGGTTTCGTTACTTGCACTATTTCTTTGATCTAAAAAGCAGGTGGAGAACTCATTAATAAATAAAAAAGGTCTGTTTTTTTGTATTTTCTTATTTTAATCGTCAAATATTTAATTTTACTTTTAATAATGTTGAAGACAACATTGATTTTTCGCTATGGTAAAAAGCCAAGTATTTTTCATTTTCTATCTCCATCCTAATGAGTTAAAAGTGAAATATATTGATAACGCTTTTTTTAATTACAATAATGCACTATACTTAATGGTGGATTATGAAAAAACATAATTAATTAGATACTATAAATGGCCTACTAATAGTGCCAAAAGTAAACATATCTAGCGATAATTAGTATATATCTTTCAATTAAGAGGTTGTGAGTTCGATCCATCACCCTTATATGTTTGTGCAAAAAAATAGATTTTTTATAACGACTGTTGAATGGTTTGTTTTATAGTTTTTAAAATCATTTTTTTAAATCTTTAGTAAATTAAAAAAATTAAAACAAGTTTTTGTTATTCAAAATCCATGCTCAATTTTTTTAACATATTTATCTCTCAATTTTTTCTCGCTCTAAAATATTTTTCTTTCTAAAGTTTTTTCAATAAACAAATTTATGTTTCTCTCTCTAAATTTTTATCTCTGAAAATATTTCTCTGGTTCTCCAAAATTTTCATTTGTACTTCTTTTTTTTTTAACATATCACTCCTTTTTTTCTCTCTCTAAAAATTTAATATATCATCAATGTATCTAATTCTCAAATTTCACATTTTATAGTTTTTCTTTCTTTGTCTAGTCTATTTTTTTCTAAAAATATATATATCTTCAACTTTTCTTTATTTAAATATTTAATTAGTTCGATTTTCTCTCTTATATCTTTTTCTTTTTATTTATTTACTAATATCTTTTAATTAGTTCTCATTATAATGTTTAATTAGTTCATAATTAAACTTTGAAAGAGAAAGATAAAATGTTTAATTAGTTCGATTTTCTCTCTTATATCTTTTTCATAACAAATACATTTTGACCTTTTTTTTTTTCAAATTTTTGTTCTCATTATAATTTTTCTCTCTTTCTTAACATGCCATTTGCTCTAAACATTTTCCATAATTTTCTATTTTTTACTTTCGCTTTTCTCTCACTAATTTATTTTTCTAACTAATTTTCTCTAACTCTCTAAAATTTACTATCTCGAAATTTCTCTTTCAAAATTTCTTTTATCTTTCTAAACTTTTATTTTCATGTCTCTACGTTAGAGACGACAAAGTTCTCATAGGGTTGAGTCCCCGCTTTAAGATTAGAGAATGAATTTCCCACCTTGTCTTCCATTCTACTTTCTAAATAATTAATATATATTTTATTAATTATTTTATTAAATTATGAATAAATATTAAAATAATTATTTATTCTAGTAAATAGTATTTTGTTTAGTAAAATAATATAAATTATATATCTTTATTAATTTTTATTTTTTAAATTTAAAAATTAATTAAATTAATTATGAAACCAATAATTTTTCTCGTGAAGATCCTCAGCTTCAAATGAGAATTCCTAAACCTTGACCTCGATTCCAGAAATCGAGAAACAGGTTGGAGATGAAAATTAAAAATTTCGTGGAAGAGGGCATCTCGACTTGTACCCCACGTCATTGGCATCTCTAATATTTTACATAGAGTTTTCTATCTCTAACCTATATTTTTAATTTTCTAACTTTTTAAGAATAGAAAATAAAATAAAAAAATGATTATCAAACATATTTTTTATTTTCAAATCGGGCCTCAACACTTGGACACAAAAGGGACCCTCCAAGTGTCACATCCCGAGCAGGGATAAATCCAGAGACCAACATGGACCAATGATCCATGGCAGGTCACCAACCCGAATAGCCAAATATCTTGATGAGACAGGTAGCTACCCTTTGACTACTATAAATACACCCCTACTCCATTAGAACATATATGAAAATCTGCCTGAAGCTGATCTGGTTAAGATCAAATTTCAAACTAACTTGAGCGTTGGAGGCCATACCTGTTTTTACAGGTACTTGGGAAACTTGTTTCGAACAGCTCGCACCGACCTAACAGGCCACTCCATAGGACTTAGGCAGATTTTGACATCAATAAAAGAAATGTATTTTGTACCTTTAATTAATTTAACTATTTGATTACCTTGTGTTGAAGTGTGTAGGTTTTAAATAATTATTATTTGAAATGTTTTAACTTTTTAATTAAATATATTGGCTAAATAAAGAAAGATGAGTTGAATGGTAATTTTGATGATAATTAATAAAATTAGTTAGCAAGTAGAAATGAACAAATAATTAAGAAAGTCATTTTTTTAAGAAGAATAATTAATCATTAATAACATTTCTTACGTGATTTCTCATAATAATAACAATAATATTTCTTTTGTGATAAATTACTTCTCGGATAAATTTGTATAAAATAATTAAATATTTATTTTATGAAATAGTATTAAAACTGGGCGAGTAAATGTAAACATTTTTATTTATACTGAAAATTATGCTTCTTAAATTCATAAAAAAGAAACAAAATTTGTTATTTTTTATTATTTTAATCAAATAATTAACATATAAATTATCTACTATTCATGATAAATTCTAAATATACCCACCAAACACACTTTTAACAAAGTAAGCATCTCGTCAAAACGAGCATACCTCAACGATAATTAACATATATCTCAAACCAAGAGATTGTCAGTTCGATCCCCCACCCCCACATGTTGTACTAAAGAAACCAAAGTAAGCATTCAAATACACATTTAACAAACTTTCTCCATGATTCAAATATAGACTTGATAACTCATTAATAATAAGCTTAATAAAGTCAAGCAAAGTCTCGAACTAAACATTCTTCCTGTGTTTGCCTACATATTTTACAAGAAAAAGGAACGGTAGGTGTTTCTTCTCTTTTATTTATTCTAAAACAAGTACATAATTTAAGAAGCTGGTGAGTCTGTGATTACACCCACCATATCCAATGCTACACACGGTTGATCAACTGGTACCTGCATTTATAATATAACACAAATTTTAATACAAGTATAAACAAAAATATCAAAATTTATCCTAATAATTGAATTGAAGTTTATTAAAAAGCAACAGTTAATAAATTGAATGGCTTACATAGAGGCCAGCTCCAAGGATCCAATAGAAGTGAAGGTTTTTATATGACTTGGTAAAGCCCTTTGTGTGTTTATCATCTCCACAAAACACAGGACTTCTCACTGTGTTCTTAAATCCCTTCAGTCCTTCCCACCTAATTATAATTAATCCACAGATTAAAAACCAAACATAATTTATAATTTAGAAAGAGAGAAAAAGAAAAAAAAAAGAAAAAAGAAAAAGGAGAGAGAGACTTGAGCTTTTCAATCCATGCTTCTGTTCCCTTGGTTGAACAAATAAGATCAACCTATACCCAACAAAAAAAAATCATACAAATTTAAATATAATATATGTTCCAATATATGAATTAAATTTACCCAATCTATATGTTTAAGCTTTCGAGTTGAATGATGATTTATTCATCTTTAACATTGTATTAGATAATACAATTAATAAAAATCTTACCTGACCGTTGTAGACGGTCACATTAACACCTTTGACGAGCAACTCGTCAACCTACTCAAAAGAGAAAAATTAAAATATACAGAAATAAAATATATTTATTTAAATAAATTAAAATTGTAATTAATTAGTTAATTAATGGACATACCTCGTTAATCCTAGGTTTCATATAATTTTCCATAAAAGATCGAAAGACTGATCCTACCTGACCACCCCATCTATTCATAAAAATTCAATTTGTTTTATATAGTTGTATTTGTCTGCGAATTAAAATAATAATAATAATAAATGTGCACCAAAAAAAAGTTTATAATTATAGGTAGAGGTACTGACTTGAGATTTTGTGGGATAATTTTGAGTTTGTTCTTAATTTGGCCATTCATTAAGGCGTCCAACTCTCCTTTACTTCCACTTCCAAATATTGGATCCATATCAGAATCCAGCAAAAAGTTATAGAAATCCTGCAAAATGAATTAAATACCCTAATTAAAACTTATACCAACACATTTTAAAAAATCAAAATTGAAAATTCCTTTTTTCTCTCT